CCCTAAACCCTAAACCCTAAACCCTAAACCCTAAACCCTAAACCCTAAACCCTAAACCCTAAACCCTAAACCCTAAACCCTAAACCCTAAACCCTAAACCCTAAACCCTAAACCCTAAACCCTAAACCCTAAACCCTAGTCCTCCAAACCCTCGTTTACCCCGCCCTCACTAACGTAGTCCTCAACCCAAAACCAGTATCACACATTTCCAAAAAAACCCAAACCGCGGCCTACACCCGCGTCGACGTAAAGGTCCGGGTCGCCGCCGGCACCCAGAGTGCCGCGAAACGCGCGCGTCCACAGATGCAAATGCGTGTTCCCGACACATCCGCAAAATTCCAGCGTCGTCGACCGCCAGTGTAGTGGTTTCGGTGACCCCTTTACTCGCGCAACTTTCAGGGCGCCAGAAGCGTCATGTTCCAGAGAAACTGCTAACCCTAGTTTCTAACCCTAGTTTCTAACCCTAGTTTCAGGGAGGCGCGTGCGGGCGACGCGCGCTGGGAGACGACGCGGGACGACGACGGCGCGGGTTCGTTGCGATATCACGAGAGAGTTTCGACTCTCTCTTCGATTCGTATTTTTTTTAGATTTTTCCGACGCATTCAATTCGCGCACATTCTCGGTGTACTCGCGCCGTGCGCGCTCGCTTCGCGCGCTCGCGTCTCGAGGCGCGAATCTCTTTAGCAGGCGCGAAAGCCGGCAAAGCGGCGCGCGACGGCGCGCGTCACTTCACTTTCGTCAGCACGACGCGCGCCGTGAATCGTCGTCTTTGAGAAAGAATTGAATTGAATTGAATTGAATATATTCTGTGACGAGTCGAATTCGCTTCGCGGCGCTCGAACGACGTCGCTCACTTCTTCTTCTTCGGGCTGCCCTTCGGAGGGCTCTTTTTCTTCGGCGACGCCGCGGTCGGTTTACCGCCTGATATTTGCATCTCTTTCACCATCTCGTTCATCTCGTCGCTATCGAGAAAGCTCAAGCTCAACTGTCGCTCGAGCTGTTCCGAATCGTTTCGACCGAGCAAGAGATTGCCCACGAACGCTTCGTCGCTCGCGTCGAGCTTCGCGGCGTCCAGTTCGCCTTCGTACGACATGTCCTCGACCATTTGACGCAAGCTTTCGTTCGTCGGTGACGTCAAAAACTCGTGCCACGGTAATTGATGCGGCGTCGCCGCCGCGTCCGCGTCGACGTCGACGAGACCGTCGTCGATTTCTTCGAGCGAGAGCGGCGACGGCGGTAATCCCATCGGTGAGCTATGATGGGGGCTAGTACTCGCGAGACCATCCACCGCGGGTAAGTATCGGGGCGCCGTGCGTCGCTTGCGCGGCCCGCCCACGGCTTCGGCGTCGAATCCGGCGAGTCCAGATTCGCGAAGCGCCGAATTGATGTTTTCCCCGTCGTGCACGGCTTGCACGAAGTGCCGCATCTGCGTCTGGAAACTTTCGGTCACCGCTAATCTATTCGTCAGCGCGGCGACCTCGTCGCGTTGCGAACTCTGCGTCTCGCGCAAACGCATCACCTCCTTCAAAAGCAAAAGACGATCGCGTTTGAGCTGTTCGACTTCCGAAGCTAGACCTCCGTACGCACCCAACTCGAGAGCGCCGCTATTCAACATCAATTGATTTTGCGAGCCACCGCCACCGCGCGCGCTCGCGCCGCCGCCCGTCTTCTTCCCCGTCGCGCCCGCGCCCGTCTTCTTCGTCCTCGGCGCGTCGTGTCGCTTCAGCGTCGTCAGAAGTTCCGGCTTCCCGCGCTCGAAGCCTTCGACGCCGAACTCGTATCGATCGCTGTGACACTTGCGAAACCCGTAGTTGTTCAGCTGCCGCACGAAGGACGCAAAGTTGGAGTGCTTAAACGTCTTGGGCAAGTATTCACTCTCGAGCACGTCCGGTTTCCAAACCGTAAACGTGCGCCCGTTCTCGTTCCACGCGATCGTGTCGTTGGAGTGTTCATCGCTCACCAAGTTCCACGTTTTCCTGCGCTCGCGTCGCGCCGCGCGCGATTCGTCGTCAGTCGAGAGCGCGAAGCGAGCATCGATCGACGTCTCGCCGTCCGACTCGCGCTCGCGCGGCGGTTCGTTCGTCCGCTGATTCGTTCGACGCACCACAAAAACGGCGAGACGTTCACCGTGGCAAAGGGGAACGCCGCGCTCGTCGACCCTGGCTGCGCCGACGCCATGTCGACGGCGCGACGCGCTGAGAGTCAGTCGTTCCCTCGCGCGACGTCGCGCGGCGGTGGACCGCGAGCGTCGGCCGCGCGCGCGTCGCGATGTGACGTCGTGACGTCGCCCTCGGCGGCACCCGACGCCGCCACTCGACGACGCGCGCGATGTCGTCGACGATCGCGCGCACCGCGCGGTCGATCACCGCGCGCACCGCGCGATCGTTGCTCACGCCGGCGCCGTCGACGTCGGCGCCGTTCGAACGCGGCGCCGCGCTCGCGAATCGTCTTCACCGTCACGGCCTCGACCATCAACGACGCTTCGCTTCGTCGTCGCCGCGCGCACGCGTGGACGCGAACAAAGGACCGGTGGGGTGGACGTCTCTGGCGTTGGTGTCGCTCACGGGCGCGACGTGTTTGTACTTTTACGACCGCGAGAGGCAGCGACGCGTCGACGGAGTCCGCGCGGCGAAGACGCAGAGCAACGGGTTCCAGACCAACGTCGCCGGCGGTAAGGCGAGCGTGGGAGGCGCGTTTCGATTGACGGATTCGCGCACGGGTAAGGCGTTCACCGACAAAGACTTACTCGGGAAGTGGGCGATGCTGTATTTCGGGTTCACGCACTGCCCCGATATTTGTCCCGACGAACTCGAAAAAGTAGCCGAGGTGACGACGTCCATCAACTCGACGCTCGAGAAGAAACACGACGGGACGGCGGCGCGTTTAGTGCCGGTGTTCATATCGATCGATCCGTCGCGAGACACGGCGAAGCGCGTGAAGGAGTACGTGAAAGAGTTTCACGCCGACATGATTGGGTTGACGGGGAGCGAGAAACAGTGCGAAGACGCGGCTCGGAAATACCGCGTGTATTATCGTAAAACGGGCGACGAAGCCGCGAAGGATGATTACTTGGTCGATCACTCCATCATCACGTACTTGTTGAATCCCGAAGGCGAGTTCGTCACCTTTTACGGCAAGAACACGACGGAGAAGGAGGTCATCGCGAGCGTGCGCGGCCACATCGAGGCGTACGAAAATCAATAAGACGCCGACGGTGCGGCGAGACTTAGTTTAATGAAAGCGAGCGAACCATCGAAACGAAGCTCGACGACGCGCGCGCGCGTTCGTCTCGCGTCTTCGACACCCGCGCTCGCGCGCGCTCACTCACCCAACCGACTCTTCGCCTTCACACGTCGCCTCGCGAGCCGCGCGTCGTCGCCATGCCGAAGATGAGCGTGGGACGATTCTTGAAGAATCCTGTGAGCGCGATTTCAAACGCGTTCGAATTGAATGATCATAAAGATAGACTGCGTGCGCTCCAGGAGCAAAGGAATGCGTTGGAGCGGGACCTTGAATTCTCGGCGAATTTAAGAGACGTACAGGAGAGGCTCGACGCCATGGACGTCGCCGCGAGGGGATGCTACGATTTACTGACGACCGTTCTTAGTAAGCTTAATAATCTTCCCCGCGACGATGAAAGTTCTGTGGACATGCGCGAAGAGGATGAGAGGTTTTGCGAGCTGCTGAAGGAGGCGTGTGCGACGGTGGACGAAGATGAGCGTGAAACGGTCGATGAGGACGAGAGTGAAACGATCGATAAAGACGAGCGTGATTCACGCATATGTGCACTTTTGAAGGATTATCGTGATTGCGCCTACCGCAACGCGGAAGCGCACGCGCTTGACGCGTCGTTCCGTCATCGGTTGTATCGCGGCGTGGACAGACAACTCTCAGAACTAAATAAATTTCGCGACGAACTGAGAAAGCAAACGCAGATTCAGTCTATAAACATGGAAGAGCTCAAAGGAGTCATCCAGCAGATCGGGGTCACTGAAGAAAAGTTGAGCGCTGTGAGACAAAAGCAGTTTGGTTGAATGAGTGTCAATCGAGGCGCGTTCGAGGGCGTTCGTAGTCGTTGTAAGTTCTGAACCCTAAGCTAAAAGCCCAAAGCCCTCTTCGCGTCGTCGTTCGCGTCGTCACATCGCGCCGGCGTCGCTCGTCGCGCCATGACGCTTCGATTGCGACCCGCGGCGGCGTTGATCGACGCCTTCAAGCGCGGTTCGCGCGAGTGCGTCGACGCCGCGACGCCGCAAACGACGAAAAACGACGCCGCATCGAACGATCGCGCGCCGCCCGACGCGAACGCGAACGTGCGTCGATACACGAAGAGCGAACTCGTGCGCGTGAACGACGCGAGCGGCGAGCACACGAAAGAGTTACCCGTGGAGCTGTCGACGTCGACGCTCGAGTGCGTGACGAACGCGATCAACGAAGAGATCGCGGCGCGAGAGGGAAGCGTCTGGGGAAGACACCACGCCAAGAAGGACAAGGCGGACAAGGAAAAGGACGCGAAGACGGGCGATAAAGACGCGGTCGGTAGAGACGGTGAAGAGGGCGGTGAAAACGCGACGAGCGACGGCGCGGCGACCGAATCGAAGACGGCGACCGATGTCGCGGACGCGACGCACAAGAAGCCGACGGCGGCGGCTGGGCCCATGGATGCGGAAAAATCAAAGCGACATTTGAAGAGCGCGTTCAACAAACTCTCTCCCTCGGTCGCGGTGGATAAGTTTGTGGAGCAAATCACGGAGTGCGCGCTGCACGAACTCGCCGTGGCGGAGTTTTTGGCGAAGACGACCTGCGAGCGGGCGTCCGTGGATGAGAAAAACGTCGCCGTCATCGCCGACGCCGCGGCGCGTTTGATTTCGTCGGGCGCGACGCCGAGCGCGTACATCACGCAGAACGGTGCGAGCTCGACGACGTTCAAAAAGCTTCTCGTTGGCGCTTTGCAGGATGAGTTTGAAGGCGCGCAAGAAGCGCGCGAGGGCTTGCTCGCGCACGCCGAGCGCCACGAGCGAGACGCGCAGGCGAAGAAAGTCAAGCAGCGCTTGGTCGGCGTCGCGCGCTTGATCGGCGAGCTCTATGCTCGCGGTGTGGTCTCCGTCGCCGTGGTGCGCGCGATTACCGATGAACTTTTGGGCGAAGCGCGATCCGTGCCGCGCGAAGACGACGTCGAAGCGCTGTGCGCGCTGCTCGCCGTCGCCGGCGCCAAGGTGGACGCCGAGGCGAAAAAGGCGATGGACGCCTACATGGCGCGCGTCAACGTACTCGCGGAGAGCGAACACCTCAACGCGCGCACGCGATTCGCGTGCCGCGACGTCATCGAACTTCGCGGCGCGGGATGGGCGAGTTCGGGGGCGAGCGCGGACTCTAAGAGTTCGCAAGCCGACCTCGCGAGCGAATCGCGCGTGGTTTCCGACGAACTTCTCTTCCCCGAAGGCCCGAAATCGCGCTCGAGCGGAGGTGGCGGCGCCCTCAAAGGCCCGTACTCGAAGCCAGGCGCGTTGAACGCGACGATGTTGCCCACAGCGGCGAACCGCGCGCGACTCGAGGCGGAGATGCGCCGCGGGGCGCGCGAACGCGCCGAAGCCAAGGCGGACGCCGCCATGGCGGCCGCGTCGGGCGACGCCGGCGCGTCTACGTCGAGCTACACCGCCGAACAAGTGCAGCAAAAGATTGCGTCGCTCATCGACGAGTACTCCACCGTCGGCGACGTCAACGAGGCGTTGATGTGCGTCGCCGACGTCGTCGCTCGCTCGAGCGACGCCGACGCGGCGCGAGACGCCGTCGCGAAAGCGTTGGTGAATTTCGTCATCGACACGTCCACGCCGAAAGCCGCGAGCGCCGTCGGCAAACTTCTCGCCGCGCTTCATAACCGCGGCGGTTTCGCCACCGCCGTCGTCGAACAAGCCGTCGGTGACGTCGTCGCCGCGCTCGACGACGTCGCCATCGACGTGCCGATGGCGCCCAAACTCATGGCCGCCGTCGTCGCCGCCGTCGTCGCCTCGGGCGCGGTCGCCCTCGACTTCATCACCGCCGCCGGTTCGGGCGTCGAGGACGTGCAATTTCGTCGCGCGTTCGCCGGCGCGTGTTTGAACGCGCTGCGAGTCGAGCATAAATTCGCCGGCCTCGTCAAGGGCGCGCTCAATTTAGGCGACTTCGCCAAGAGCGAAGACGTCGGCGACGACACCGTCGTCGAGTGGCTCGCCAAGCTCAGCCTGGACGACCTCGCGTGAGGGAGTCGAGTCAGTCAGTGGACGCTTCACAGTAGCACGATAACACACGATTAATGCGCACGAACGAACGAGCGAGCGAACGAGCGCGTCGCCGCGAGCGCCGCGCGCGTCGACGCCGCACTCGTCGACGCGTCATGTCGCGCGACGTCGCGAGCGCGCTCGACGTCGACGACGGCGCCGCCGCGACGCGCTGGCGATGCCCCAACCCGGCGTGGACGCCGCACCCGCGCGCGTCCGTCGCGACGTCGCGATTGGGACGACGCGACCGCGACCGCGACCGCGACGACGACGACGACGACGCGACGCGTCCACCGCGCGCGAGCGCGCGCGCGAGCGCCCACGACGCGTCCGTCCCTGCGCTCGCGTCGACGTCGACGCGCGCTGCGCTCGCGAGCGACGCGCGCGGCGACTCGGACGGCGACGACGCGACGACGCGGACGTGGCGAGCGTGCTTCGCGACGAAGACGCGCGTCGAGATCGAGGACGACGACGGACGCGCGCGAGAGTTTTGCGTGTACGCGTCCGAGGGCGCGAACGCGGCGTTTAGCGCGTCGGCCGAGGAATCGCGGGCGACGCTGTTTCTGTTGCACGGGTGCCCGCACACGGCGTTGACGTGGTCGCTCGTGGCGGAGACGCTGCGATCGCGGCGCGAACGATGCGAGATCGTGGACGTCGTCGCGATGGATTTGCGCGGACACGGCGAGAGCCATTCGCACGACGACGCGCTCGGGGAGACGAAGGCGTCGTTCGACGCCGATGTCATGGCGCGAGACTGCGCGAAGACGTTGCGGCGATTCGTCGACGGCGACGCCAGGCGCGTCGTCGTCGTCGGGCACAGCATGGGAGGCGCGGTCGCGACGCGCGTGGCGAAGATTTTAGAGACCGAATTCGGTGTGAGCGACTCGGCGTTGACGCTCGCGGGATTGGTTTTGATCGATATCGTCGAGGGGAGCGCGATGAAGGCGCTCCCGGCGATGGGCGCGCTCGTCGACGCGAGACCGACGACGTTCGCGTCGCTCGCGGATGCGTTTCATTGGTCCGCGACGCGAGGCGGCGGGACGAAAAATCAGCGTTCGGCGTCGTTATCGCTGCCTTCGCAGTTGCGCGAGACGGACGGCGGCGCGTGGACGTGGCGCGTCGACTTGCGCGAAACCGCGCCGTATTGGCGATCGTGGTACGAAGGGCTGTCCAAACGCTTTCTCGCCGTAAAGGCGCCGAAGCTGCTTTTGCTCGCCGGAAACGATCGTTTAGACACCGAACTGATGATCGCACAGATGCAAGGCAAATTTCAGATGACCCTGTTGCCGAACGCCGGGCACGCGATTCAGGAGGACGACCCCGAATCCGTCGCCAACGCGCTCGAAAATTTTCTCGCGAGGTACGTGTTTCATCCGCGCCCGACGCCGCCGTCGTTCCTCGGGACCGAGGCGCCGAGAGAGCGGGGTTCGGGAATCGTTCGGGAATGATGAGTGTCGCCGGCACGACAAAACTTAGTGACGCGTCGTCGTCGTAATAATAGCTATAGCTAGCGCGCCGTTTCGCCGCCGCCCAAGTCGTACGTCGCGCCTTGCCCGCTCGCGACGTCGAACGTGAACAGATTGACGCACGGCGCGCCCTTGCGGCTGATGGATTTCAAAATCTCTTGCGCCAGCACCCCGCCGACGATGGCGTTTATCGCGGGAAATTCGCGCTCTCCCGACACCAAAGCGCGCACGTGCTCGGCGTCGACGCAGTCGGCGCTCGCGCCGAATCGCGTCGGCAACTCGACGCGCAGCGCGTCCAGGGCGTCCCAATCCTCCATCGTCGGCGCGCGCCCGTGCGCGCGCTCGAACTCGGCGACGACGCGCACGGCGAGCGGCATGCGCGGCGACCGCCGCTTAACGCGCCCGAAATCCGCCTCGGCGGCGTCGAGCGCTCGTCGCAGCGTCGCGCCTCGAGGCGCGATTTTTACTTCGTCTCCCTCCGCGTACTCGAACGCGTCGCCGAGATCGGCGAAGAACCACGCCGCTGACGCCCCGCTAAACGCGGCGAAAAACGGCTTCCCGTGTCGCCTGCACGCCTCGTTCACGCGCATCGCGCGCTCCAATCCCATCTCCGCGACGACGACGGCGTCGAACCCCTCGATCCCGTCCAAGGCTTCCGCGTCGTCCGCGAGCGCGCGCCCGTTCGGCGTCGACGCCTCGAATTCACCGAACGCGTTCATCTCTCGCAGCGTCGTCGCCATCGCCTCGGCGCGCGAGACCGAGACGTCGTCCGCGTCGTCGTCGCGCGTCGACGCCGCGTTTAAAAAATTCCCATCCTCGCCGCGCGACGCCTCCGCGCGCTCGCCCGCGTCGTCCCTGATCACCGCGCGTCCGACGCCCGCGAGCGCGACGTTCTTGAGCGTCTCCGCGAGCGCGCCGACGCGCGTCGTCGTCGTCGCGCGCGTCGTCGTCGCCCCCGCGCACGCGAGCACGGACGCGCGACCGAGTCGGCGCTGCGTCTCCACGCCCCACACGCGAATCTGCCGGTCGTACACGCGCAGTTCGAGCTCGGTCAGCGCGTCGGCGGCCGACGCGTTCGGCGCGGGCATCGCGCGTCGACGCGCGACGCGACGCGCGACGCGCGACGCGACGGCGCGCGGGCGATGGTGCGGGCGGATTCGGACACACGGGGCCGACGCGCCGTGCGGTCGTATAAATAAAAAATTGAAAACAGATGGCCAAAATAATAGGGCCATACGGGGCTCGAACCCGCGACATTCAGATTCGAAGTCTGACGCTCTTCCAACTGAGCTAATAGCCCCCGTAGTGTGAACGGCGCGAGCGCCATCAATGACGTTCCCAGACGATTTCGGGTCCCCACGGCGCCCCGCGGGCGTCGTCGCGCGAGTTACGGGTTGTTTCCCCAGTGCGCGCCCGCCGCCGCGATGGGGAAGACGCGCGGCGACGACGCCGCGCCGACGACGCGCGATGGACTCGGACTCAAACCGCGCGGTGGCGTGAAAAATAAAGCGCTCCTAGGACGTAAATTCACGGGCGGTGCGCGCGCGTCGCCGTTCATTCGGCAGTGGGCGTGGAAGCGAGAGATGAAGACGGACGAGGAGCGATTCCGAGACGACTACGTGTACGACAGAGACGACGACGAGGACGACGCGAACCCGAAGGCGACGATCAGGCTGCGACAACGAAAGTTTAACGCCGCGTCGAGCGGATTCGCGTCCACGGTGTGGGACAGCGCGATCGTGTTGGCGAAATATTTGGAAAAGCGAAATCGAGCGAGCGGCGCCGGCGCTCGGTGGCGAGACGCGGTTGAGTTAGGCGCGGGATGCGGGCTGTGCGCGTGCGTGTTGGCGAAACGGTGCGAAAATCTCGTGACGGGGACGATTTACGCCACGGACGTCGCGGAGAATATGGATTTGTTGACGGAAAATGTGAAGGCGTGTTCGTCGCGAATCGCGCCGCTCGCGTACGACTGGCGAGACGCGCCGCCGAAGTCGATCGACGCGTCTCGCGTCGATCTCATCCTCGGGACAGATTTGGTGTACTACGACGACGCCATGCCCGCGCTGGTGAAGACGCTGAAATCGTTCGAGAGCGAGGCGTTGGTGGTGTACTTTGCGTTCGGGCGAAATCGACAGGCGCTGCCGCGATTTTTGGAATGCTTCGACGCCGAGGCGCGCGACGCGTTCGAAGAACCGAGGTTTTTGGAATCGCACGAGCTCGACGCGTTGTATCAGTGCACGGACGTGAGCGTGATGGAATTGAAGCGAAAGTAGAAAATTATTGTAAAAAAGTGAGTCAAAGTCGCGTGTAAAAAAGTCGTCGCGAATCCTACGCCTGCACGCCCTTCATCTCGCGCCAGACGTCGAGCGACACGCGCTTGGTCATGCTCTTAATTTGCGAGTTCGGACCGAGCTCGAAGAATTTCGTCTTGCCGTCGCCGATCAAGTTTTTCAAAGTCTGCTCCCACATGACGGGCGACACCAACTGCGTGGCCAACGACGCGCGCACGCCGTCGGCGTCCTTCGCCGTCATCGGCAAACCCGTGACGTTGGAGTAAATCGCGACGTTGGCGCGCGGGGCGTTGAAAGTGACTTCGCTCAACGCCTTTTCGAGCGCTTCTTTCGCGGATTCCATTCGTTTGGTGTGAAACGCGCCCGAGACGGCCAAAAACGCGACTTTAATCGCCCCCGCGGCTTGCGCTCGGCGCTGCGCGACGTCGAGCGCGACTTTGTCGCCCGACAACACGCGGCCTTGGGGGAACAGAAAGTTTGTGATTTCGAGCACGCAGTCTGGCGAGGACGCGATGACTTCGTTCTTCGATTCTTCCACGATCGTTTTCAACGCGTCGTCGTCCAAACCCACGACGCTGAGCATGCCGTGCGAGCCCTCGCGCGCCGCCGCCGCCATGGCTTCGGCGCGCGCTTTGACGACTTTAAACGCGTCCTCGTAGCTCAGCACACCGGCGAAGACGAGCGCGGCGTACTCTCCCAACGACAATCCCGCGCACGCATCGCACGCGTTGACGACGTCGGGGTCTTGATCCTTAAGCTTTTCCAACGCCGCGAGATTGGCGAGCAAGAGCGCGGGTTGCGCGTACACGGTGTCGTCGAGCTTTTCCTTCGGACCGTTGACGCAAATCTCGCGAAGGTCGTACCCGAGCACCTCGCGCGCGACTTCGCACATTTTCGCCACCGCGGGAAGTTCGAGCAACTTGTCGTCCGCGAGCATGCCGATCGCCTGCGAGCCTTGGCCCGGGAATAAGAAGGCGAATCGCGCCGGTTGCGGCGCCGTCGCGGAATCCGTCGCGCCGGGCATCATCTCCGTCATCCCGAGATTTTTCGTGAAGTCCGGCGCGCCCTTTTCCCGTCGCTCCGCGATCTCGGCCTCGATCTCGGCCTCGATCTCGGCTCGTTTCACTCGTCGGCGCTCCTTGAACTGCGCCTTCGCCGCGCGCGCCTTGTCCCGTCGACGATCCTCCGGAAACGTCTTCTTGAAATCTTTCGCCCACGTGCGCACTTCGTCCAAGCCGTAATCGTACAGCGCCCACCAATCGCTCAGCGCCGGGTGCGGTTCCGCGCGCTTCTCGACGTGCGCGTACTTTTCGATCAACTCCTCGATTCGCTCGCGCACCTCGACGTCCTTGTCGACCAACCGCGCGGGCGTCTTCCGCCCCGGATTCAAATACGGATCGTAATCCTCGCACTCGATCGCCGGATCCGCGCCCTCGCTCAGCAAGTACTCAAAAATCTCCAAGTACCCGTCGAACTGCGCGAGATACGCCGCGCGGTGCAACGGCGTGAACCCCTTCGAGTCGCGCAGATTGACGCACTCCGGCACCTCGCGAATCAACCAGTGAATCATGTCCAACTGCTTGTACGTCACCGCGAAGTGAATCGGCGCCCCCGCGCCGTTGTCTTGCGTCAAAAAGTACGGATCCGTGCTCGCGATCAGTTTCAGCTGCTCCAAGTCCCCCAGGCGCACCGCCGAGTAAAACGCGAACGGTTGAAACTTCGGCTGCGGCGGGTACCGCCCCGACGCCGTCATGTCTCGATGGCCGAACCGCACCATCTCGCGCGCGCGCGCGTCTCCGCCGACCTCGCGTTCGCGCGCGTTCGCGCGTTCGCGTTTTTTTCTTCGCGTCGCGCGCGCGCTCGCGACCGACCTCGCGCGCGCGATCGACCGTCGCGCTCGCGAGTGACGCCCATCGCGCGACGCGCCGGGCGTTTCGTCGAGCGTTTCGCGCCGCGCCTCGAGGCGACGGACGCGCGGGCGGGCGCGACGACGCGCTGTTACATCATATATGGGTCTAAATACCCCCACAGTACGTTATTTTATACAATACATAAAGCCACAAATCACCAGTCCACACACGATCGATCGATCGATCGATCGCGTCGCGCGAATCTCCAAAAAATCGCCGTCGCGCGGCTTATCCGGAGCGGTCGGCGCGCGCGCCGCGATCGCGCGTCGCGACGCGCGCGCGTCGTCACTCCGCGACGCCTCGCGCGTACGCACGGCGCCGCACGACCCCTCGAATCGCGACGCGCGCGATCGCGATGTTCGCCGCGACGACGACGCTCGGCGCGACGAAATTCGTCGTCGCGAAAACCTCGACGTCGACCTCGTCGCGCGCGCGACGATCGACGCCGCGCGTTCGCGCGCAGAGCGTCCAGGCGCCGGCGCTGAACACGACGCGATCGAGCGAGATCTTCAAGGCGGCGCAAGACATCCTGCCGGGAGGCGTGAACTCGCCCGTGCGCGCGTTCAAGTCGGTGGGCGGGAACCCGATCGTGTTCGAGCGCGTCAAGGATGCGTACGCGTTCGACGTGGACGGGAACAAATACGTCGATTACGTCGGATCGTGGGGACCGGCGATCTGCGGACACGCGAATGATCGGGTGAACGAGAAATTGAAGGCGCAGATCGATAAGGGGACGAGCTTCGGGGCGCCGTGTGAGCTCGAGAACGCGCTCGGCGAGATGGTCATCGAGCGCGTGCCGAGCGTGGAGATGGTGCGATTTTGCAACTCTGGGACGGAGGCGTGCTTGTCCGCGCTGCGCGTGATGCGGGCGTACACGGGGAGAGACATGATCATTAAGTTCGAAGGGTGCTACCACGGACACGCCGACCCGTTCTTGGTCAAGGCTGGTTCGGGCGTCATCACGCTCGGGTTGCCGGATTCGCCGGGCGTGCCGGCGGCGGCGACGGCGACGACGCTGTGCGCGACGTACAACAACCTCGATGAAGTCAAGGCTTTGTTCGCGGCGAACCCGGGTAAGATTGCGGGGGTGATCCTCGAACCCGTGGTCGGGAACAGCGGTTTCATCGCCCCGGACAAGGAGTTTTTGCAAGGCTTGCGCGAGACGTGCACCAAGGAGGGCGCGGTGCTGTGCTTTGACGAAGTCATGACTGGGTTCCGCATCGCCAAGGGCTGCGCGCAAGAGTACTGGGGCGTCACCCCGGATTTGACCACCATGGGTAAGGTGATCGGCGGCGGTATGCCCGTCGGCGCGTACGGGGGTAAGCGCGAAATCATGGACATGGTCGCCCCGGCGGGTCCGATGTACCAAGCCGGTACGCTCTCCGGGAACCCGCTCGCCATGGTTGCTGGCATCGAAACGTTGAAGATTCTCGGCGAACCGGGTCAGTACGAAAAGTTGGACAAGCTCACCAAGCGCTTGATCGAGGGCATCTTGAAGGCGGGTAAGGACAACGGCCACGCGGTGTGCGGCGGTCACATCTCGGGCATGTTTGGTTTCTTCTTCACCGAAGGTCCGGTGAAGAACTTCGCCGACGCGGCGAAGAGCGACACCGAAAAGTTCGGTCGCTGGCACCGTGCCATGCTCGAAGAAGGTGTCTACTTGGCCCCGTCCCAATACGAAGCCGGTTTCATGTCTTTGGCGCACACCGAAGCGGACATTGACGCCACCATCGCCGCCGCTCAACGCGCGATGGCGCGCATTTAAACGCATATTTTGACGATTTCGATGACGCGGTGACGCGTCTTCGTAGTCATCAACATTTACCACGACGACGACGGCGCAGTCAGCGCACGCACGGCGACGATCGACGACGATTACTTTGATTAACTTGCTCTCATTGAAATTTAACAACTCTTCAAGCCGATTCGCGTCGACGTCGCGCGCGCGCCACCCTCGGACTCACTTCACGACGCCCAATATCACACGTTTCTCGCCCGCGCGATCGCATCGAAACAGACTGAACCTCAACCTTTCGTTCATGTCCGACGTCGACCGCCCTCGACCGAGCAAGCGGCGACCATCGATGACGTGCTACGAGCTCGAGTCGCGCGAGAGACACAAAAAACCAAAAATCTGGAACGGCGACGGCGTCGAGGGTAAGCAGGCAATCGGTCGCGCGCGGTGCGCCGTCCGCGAGGCCGCGCGAGCCGTTCGCGATGGTTGTCATGGCGATAAGCTGCTTCACATGTGCTGGAACAATAAATCCTGGAACGTGTTGAACGACGACGTCTTACTCGAAGCCGCGCGATGCGGTAATCGCGAATGCGCGCAAACGATCGCGGAGCATCATCACCACGGCGAAGGATTGACGAAAGAGGGAGTGATGCGCGCGAGCTTCGCCGCGGCAGAGAGCGGCCATTACGACATCGTCGAGATGTTGAGCGATTCGATCGCCTTCGATCTGTCCTGCTCGCTGTCGACGGCGCACTACGAAATCGCATTGGCGTCGAAGAACGCGGAGTTTGTGTGGAGATTGATCAGGGCGGAAGCACCGATGGCGTGTTCACAGATGGAAGATGTGACGGATTTGGTAGTTTCGCACTACACCGGTGCGATTGCCGACGAGCGTGAAAGATTGCAGATCGAGATGATGATGATGAAGTACGTGGAAAATTGTCTAGATGACGGATCTGCTGAATGGGACTCTCAAACGCCGACGCCCGAGCTCGATCTCGACTCGGGCGTCGACGCTTATGAAACCGAGGACGCGATCGGAAATGATGAGAAGGAGTATACTGCACGCGAATGGAGATGATGTATCAAATATGCCGATGTATCAAATATGCCGATGATGAAATAGAGAAAAATATATCCAAAACGACGTCGCCGACGACTTGTGTATTTTCACTCAGCGTCGACGACGACGAGCGAGCTCTCGTCCGTGGTTTTCGCGTCCGCACATGTGAAGCACGTGTTCCCGGCGCGATCGACGGCGGAGATTTCGAACGTGACTTCGTCGCCCGGGACGTCGCCCGCGGCGCGCGAGATTTCGACGTAGCCATAAAACGCGTCGCCGTGATGGCTCGCCAAACTGACGAACGCGTCGCGATCGCGCATTCGCACACGCACATCATCCACAGGCTCGCTAAATGAGACGTACAGCACGGCGATGTCGCCGATTCGAACGACGTCGGCGCGAGACGAGACGTCGCGAGCGTACGGGCGAAGGTACGCGTCGACGACGAACGGCGCCGTGGAATCGAACACTACGGTGACGCCCTCGGTGACGCCTTCGACGAAGAACGTTCGCTCGTTTGGTGTCGTCTCGGGAACGACATCGATGCGAAAGCGCAACGGTCCTTCATCCACGTACACACCGTCGTCGCCCAAGCGTCGAGTGGCGACGAACGTCGACGCGAAGCGCCAGTCGCCATCCTTGTTCGTCGTCGTTCGAACGCTCGTCGGAGACATGCGCTCACGAGGGGTGATGAAATCGGCGAACACGTCAATTGGAACCTTGGTTTCGATGTCTAGCTCGATGGAGACGTAATCGCCGTACGTGGCGTGCGCTTCGTACGCGTTGCTCGTCGCCATGCGACACGCAAAACTTTCGATTTCGTCGGGAGCGTCGACGTAGATTTCGTCGTTCCCGTCGTCCGGAAACTCGATCACGATATCGTCGTCGTTAGTATCGTCGTCGTTGAACGTGTCGCCGTCGTCGCGCGCGGGTGGCGGCGCGCACGCGCACTCGGCGCAGCACGCGTCGACTCCTTCGCCGCGGAAAAACGCCGCCTTGGATTCAATCTCTCGACGCACAATATTCAACGTGCTCGCATCGCTCGGGGCGTCGTACACGGTGAATCCGTCGTAGTCTTCGATTTCAGCCGGAGAAAGTAACCAGAACAAAGCCCCCGCGCGTCGGCGATCGTCCTCGCGCAAGAGCTCGAAGGTGCGCGCAAAGTACGCGTCTCGAACCGCGAGCGGTCGCTTCTTTCCAAACTCTTCGAACACGATGGGCTTATCGTTCGCAGACTTCGCCAAGTGCGCTCGAATCCATCGCTCGAGGAAACGAAGCTTGGACTCGTCGTCGCTATCCATCCAGTCGTCCGTCCAAACGTGCGCGGCGACAAAGTCGACGGCGTCGCTCTCGCGCAATCGATCGACGTCCACGCCCTGACGTTCGGCGCCGGCGAACGGGTTCGCCTCGACGCCTTCGCCACGCATGAAGAAACCTTCGGTACCGACGCTGACGAGATGATTTCCCTCGTCGAGTCTTTTCACCAAAGCGCCGAAGTACGTCGCCCACTCGTGAAAGACGTCGCCGCGATCGTCTCCGGGCAAGCGCGGTTCGTTTATCAGCTGGTACGCGAAGATCGTCGGATCATCCTTATACGCGACGTTCGTGAACGTGTTCGTTCGCGTCACGACTTTCGCCACGAACGCCTCGAACGCGTCTCGACACTTTGGCGAGGTGAAAAAGTCTTCGCGTCGATACGCGCTCGTTTCGCCCTCTTCTCTCGCCCATCGCGCGTATCGCGCGATGCCGCCGTAATCGTCCCAATAATTCGTCAGCGTCAAGATGACGCGAATCCGTCGCCTCTCGCACTCGTATAAAACTTCATCAAGCCCCACGAACGCGCGCTCGTTAAACTCCCCCCGCCGCGGTTGCGTCGATCGTCCGTCGTACGAAGATTCGTCGCCGTCCAAAAACGCCCACGTTCGCGCGACGTCCGCGCCGATCTCTCGCATCGCGTCCAGAGTCTCGAACACCCACCGACGCTCGGTCTCGTTCCCCAACATCGCGTATCGCAACCAATCTGTCCCTCGCGCGCGTCGACGCGTCCATCGTCAATCCTCGAATTCGCGCTCGATCTCGCGCTCGATCTCGCGCTCGATCTCGTCTCGTCTCGTCTCGTCTCGTCTCGTCTCGTCTCCCGCGCGTCGTCCACGCACACACGTTCGCCCCGATCGCGCGCACCCGCCCCCCATCGCTCGCGTCTCGAAACGCGCGATCGCGCGCGTCCATCACGACGCGTCCGAACGTCCCGCGCGCGTCTCCCGCGCCGTCCTCGTCGCCGCGCGCGTCTCGCGCGCGCGCGCCGCCCGACGCCGCGACGATCCAAAACAATCCTAAAACGCCCCGCCGCCGTCTCGCGCGCGTCTCGCGACGCGCGCGACGCGCGCGCGACATGTCACCGCGATCGTCGCTCTCGCGATCGTCGCCGCCCGTCGTTTCTGCGCGTCGCGATCCGTCGCCGCGTCGCCGCGCGCGCGCCGAGGCCGAGGTCCGACCGACCGATGCGTAGACTGTATTGCCATACATCTCGTATAAAGACAACAGAAACGCCATCGCGCGCGCGCGCCGAGGCCGAGGTCCGACCGACCGATGCGCAGACTGTATTGACATACACCTCGTATAAAGACAACAGAAACGCCATCGCGGGGCACTAGGGCTTCGCGACGACACACCGCGACGCTTCGCCGCCGCCATGGCGGACTCCGACAGCGACTACGCGAGCGACGACGAATCGACGATCGACGAGAGCGAGTTCACGTGCGAGAACGTGCGTCGATCGACGCGACGCGCGACGCGACGCGGTGACGCGCGACGACGCCGCGACGAGCGAAGAGGACGATCGAACGATCGACGACGACAGGCGCGAGCGACTGACGACGACGCCGAGACGACGCGCGCGGACGAAACAGCCGGATGTGGTGACGAAATATAAGATCGCGGCGGACTGCGCGAACGCGGCGATGAAGGAGGTGCGCGCGGCGATCGCGGTCGGGGCGAAGGTTGTGGATTTGTGCGCGCTCGGCGACGCGGCGATCGAGCGAGAGACGGCGAAGTATTACAATAAAAAGGATAAGGATGGGAATAAGGTGGAGAAAGGGATCGCGTTTCCGACGTGCGTGTCGATCGATAACTGCGTGTGCCATAACTCGCCGGACGCGAGCGATGCGAAGACGATCGAGGACGGGGCGAGCGTGAAGATCGATTTGGGGGCGCACGTGGACGGGTACGTGGCGACGACGGCGACGACTGTCGTCGTGGGCGGTAAACCGGTGACGGGGGCGCAGGCGGACGTGATGAAGGCGGCGGAGTTGGCGAGTGAAATCGTCATTCGTAAGCTCAGGCCGGGGGCGTCGACGGGGGAAATCGGCGGCGTCATCGAGGGCGTGGCGAAGGATTTCGGCGTCAACGTCGTCGAGGGCGTGATGACGCATAACATGAAGCGTTTTATCATCGACGGTAACAAGGTGATTCTGAACAAGTCTACGCCGGAGATGAAGGCTGATCCCGAGGAGATTGAGCTCTATGAAGTCTACGCGTTGGACATTGTCATGTCGAGCGGCGAGGGCAAGCCCAAGCAAAGGGACGAGAGAGAAACCAAGGTTTACAAGCGCGCCATCGAAAAGAACTACCAGTTAAAGATGCAAGGTTCGCGCGCGGTTTTCTCGGAAATCTCAAAGCGATTCCCCACCATGCCCTTCACCGCGCGGGCGTTGGAAGAGAAGCGCGTCAACTTTGGCCTCGTCGAATGCTGCAACCACGGGTTGTTGCACGCCTACCCGGTGCTTTACGAAAAGGATGGTGCCGCCGTCGCGCACGTCAAGAGCACGTTCTTAGTGTTGAAGAAGGGCAACGATCGCATCACGACCTTTGAGCCGCAAGAGGTGCAATCGGACAAGTCGCTTAGCGACAACGCGTTGGTCGAACTCATCGCGACCGAACTCAAGCCGAAGCCCAAGCCCAAAAAGAAGAAGTGATGCGTCGAGTGATGCGTTTTTAATATCAGTTTCTCACGTCGTGCGGTTCAATTAGTCGTGCTAAATCGTTCGTTCGTTCGTTCGTTCGTTCGTTCGTTCGTTCGTTCGTTCGTTCGTGTTACAACTCGCGAATGGCGCGATGAAGGGAAGAATCGAGGCGGCGTTTCGACCGAGGCGGTGCGCTGGTGCGTTCGTCTAGCCGACGAATTCGGCCGACATCCCATCGCCACCGCGAGACGGTGCGCGGACGCAGAGCAAAACGCGGGCCAACGTATTAATCTTCTTACCGTCACGCTCGGACTGTAAAATGTCTTTACCATCCATGACGGAGACGGTTTCCGCGGCGGCGTTGCTTCCAGCCAAGACGAGCGAGGACGTCTTAGCGACGAGATAATACTGGCCGAAGCGCGGTGAGTTGTCGGATTTATCGGAGATCAATAAACCGGGCTCGGCCTTGTCTTTGACGCCCTCGATGTCCGTCTGCGACGTGTCGTCGATGAACAAAGCGAAGGGCGCTACGGCTTGGAGCAACAGATCCCACTTCGGCAACGCCACCCAATCGGTGTTGGCCTGCGGCGAGAACACACCAAAGATGTTTCCGGTGTTCTCGAGAACACCTGCGGTGCGAACCTTTGCGGCGGTGACCTTGTTCAAGTTTCCGATGACTGGCATCGGGATGAATAGGAACTCGGCTTCCTCGAGGCGAACGACTTGGAGCTCCGCCTCGCGAGCGCCTTCGTCGGATTCACCGTTGGCGAGCGAGCCGCCTTCGCCCAGTTTTGTGCGCTTAAACAGTTCCACCGCCGTCGCCATGCGCGCCTTGGCTTTTTCCGTGACGGCGTACAGCATACCGCGTTCGAAAATCTTGAGCGCCTCCTCCTCGCCCTGGTACCGCTGCAACTCGAGAATGTCGCGATAGAGCTTGTAAGCCAAAATGTCCCCCGGCGTGTCGTTGAAATCTCTGGCCGCCACCGTGCGAACGTTGGCGGATTTAATTTCGTACGCCTTGACCAATTCGCGCGTTTGTGTTTCTTCAAATTCGTTGTCGACGACGAACGTCGCCGCCGCCGCGCGCGTCGCCGCGGGCATGTACATAATTTGCGACAAGTTCGGCGCCCCGCGATATTCATCGTGGAAATACTCGAGCTTTGTGCTGTCGAAATCTAACCCTTCCTTCAAGCTCGCGTAGCACTGCAACCACACCACCCACGTCGCCTGTTCCTTCGGTTCGATGCCCGTCGCGTCGAAGATGTCCGTCGACGTCATCCCCTTCGCCTGCAACGGTCTGATAAATTTCGCCAGCGTGAACCACATCCCCGCGCGCTGTCGCATAAGCATCATCATTCTCTCCGGGTCGTTCTCATCCTCGCTCACTTTCGCCGCTTCGTACGTCTCCGGCGGCTTGAACGGCTCGTACGCCCCCTGCAACTCGCCGCCAACCTTTGGAATCACCCCCGCCGGTCCTTTCCGCTCCCCAGCCGTCGTCGCCCCCCCGCTCATCGGGTTCCTCTGCACCACCACGGCGTCGGCGTCGAATCCATCCATCCCCGGCACGATCAGCCCCCCCCCCGGTGGTTTCGGCGCGCTCGCGCCGCCGCCGCCGAACGTCGGCAGCGCGCTCGGGTCAAATTGAAAATCATCATTCGTCGCCCGCGTCGCCCGATCCTCGCCCCTCCGCGTCGCCCGTCGCGTCCGCGCGCGTCGCCCGTCGCGTCCCGCGCGTCCCGCGCTCGCGACGACGCGCGCGCGCGCGCCCGCGACGCGCATCTTTTCGTTCGCGCGTCGCTTTTTCGCGTATCCGACTCGACGACGCTCGAGCCGCGTCGATCGGTCCGCGCGCGCGTCGCGTCGCGCGTCGCGTCGTTCACGACTCGCTCGGCCGTCGATCGATCGAAGTCTCGGGCGTCGTCGATCGTCGTCGACGCGCGCGCGACGACGTGTGCGCGCGCCTCGGGGGGGCGGCGGCGGTCGATGCCCTAGCGAAACCCTCGTTACGTATTATACGCTAAATTCGCCGATGTAGCGAAGAATCGCGATCGCGCGCGATCGATCGCACCCGCTTTTCGCGCGATCGACGGCGCGTCGATCGCGATCGACGCGCGATCGACGGCGCGTCGATCGACCCGAGACGTCGCCGCCGCGCGACGAACCGAACGCGCGCCGACGATCGCGCCGGTCCGCCTTTACGCCGCGCGCATCGATCGCGCGTCATGGCGGTCGGAAAGAACAAGCGCATGTCCAAGGGCAAGAAGGGCGGGAAGAAGAAAGCGTGCGTGCGCGACGCGACCCGAACGACCGCGAGGCGACGCGCGAGGCGACGGGAAGAGGATCGATCGACGCGACGGGCGAAAGAAGGACGCGGGACGACGACGACGACGGGCGACGCCGGGGGGGGTGACGGACGCGCGCGAAGCGCGAGGACGCGCGAGAAGGCGCGAGACGGTGGATCAAAATCGCGACCGTCGATGGGGGGCGCGACGGGCGCGCGAGCGCGCGGGAGGAGGACGCGGGGGAGGGGGACGGCGACGCGATCGATGCGCGTTTAGGGCTTGCGGAATGACGATGGGACGACGACTGACGCCAAGTGTTCGCTCGTCGCGCAGTGTTGACCCGTTCACGAAGAAGGATTGGTATGATATTAAGGCGCCGAGCATGTTCTCCGTGAGAAACATCGGCAAGACGCTCGTGAGCCGCACGCAAGGGACCAAGGTAGGGCGCGCGCGAGATGAGGGTTAAAAGCCCTAGCGAACGACGCGACGCGACGCGGCGCGGATTCGAGGAACGGTTGACTGACGATGACGAACGATGTTTTGCGCGAAAATAGATTGCCTCCGATGGCTTGAAGGGACGGATCTTTGAAATCTCCCTCGCGGACTTGAACAACGACGAGGACCAGAGCTTCCGCAAGATGAAGCTCAAGTGCGAAGACGTGCAAGGCAAGAACGTGTTGACGAATTTCGCGGGCATGGATTTCACCACGGATAAGATTCGCTCGTTGGTTCGTAAGTGGTTCTCTTTGATTGAGTGCTTCGTTGACGTGAAGACGACGGATGGGTACACGCTTCGCGTGTTTTGCATCGGTTTCACCAAGCGACGCATGGATCAAGCCAAGCGCACGTGCTACGCGCAGAGCGCGCAGATTCGTAAGATTCGCGCCAAGATGGTTGAAATCATCACGCGCGAGTGCACGACGTGCGACTTGAAGGAACTCGTCTTGAAGTTCATCCCGGAGGTCATCGGCAAGGAGATTGAAAAGTCTTGCGCCGGTATTTACCCGCTTCAAAACGTGTACATTCGCAAGGTCAAAATCTTGAAGGCGCCGAAGTTTGACTTGACCAAGCTCATGGAGGTGCACGGTGATTACAGCGGTGAAGCCGTCGGTGAGGCCGTGGCGCGACCGGTCGAGGAGAAGGCTGAGGAAACTGCGGAGGCTGCGGAATAAGTCGATGACTTGATCCAAAGATGTTTCGTCGACGCCGGCGGCGTTTTTTGAAAGACGTCGGCGACGCCGGCGAGCGCGACGACGCGCGAGTTGTCTCGCGCGTCATCGTTTACGGGGGTGTTTGAACGAATGAGGAGACATTTTTACTAGACTGAAATTCTCGCCGATCTCATTTCGAGGGTGACGCGTTTGTAATGAATGAATGCGAGCGCGTTTACAAATTTTGCGAGCTCGTCGTCTGCGATGCGTCCCGACGGCGACTCGATCGCGGCGTCGGAACGTTTCGATAAAATAGTATGCTCTTCGTGATTGATTGATTAAAACATCGCCTTAATGTCTTCGTAACGCGGCGCGGCGTGGAGCTCGCCGGTCATGGCCACCGTGGGCGCGCTCGCGAGCAAGTCGCTCGCGACTTTTTGCACGTCTTGCGCGCTCACCGCGCGCACTTCGGCGATGAAGTCCGCCGCACTCTTGCGGTACTTGTAAGTCAGCATTTGTCGCCCGATGTCTTCCGCGACGACAGCCTTGGACTCCAAGTTCATCAAGATCGAGCTCACCGTGGCGTTCTTGGCGCGTTCGAGCTCTTGCGGGCTCACGCCCCCGCTCGCGGCGACGGCTTGAAGCTCGCCCGCCATCACCTTCACCATGTCACCGGTGTGCGCGCTGTTCGCCATGGCGGAGATCCCGACGATCCCGGTGTCGTTGAAGATGCTGTGGAACGCCGTGCAGTTTTGCGCCCAAGAATATCTGTTCAACACGCGAGTGTAAAGGCGCGAGTACATGCCTTTCCCCGGCCCCCCGGCGCTAAACGACCCGCCGCCGCCGAGCAACATCGTCAGCACCGTCATCGCGGTCGAGGCCTTGGTGTCGCGCCAGCCACCCTTGAACTCAAACCCGAGCACGATGGACGTGATCGGGGAATCGCTCTTTTGTCTAAAATCACCCCCCACGTACGTCGTCGGCGTCTCGGGCGAACCCTCGCCGCTCGGAAGCGTCGCCAACATCGGCTCCGCGATTCGCACGAGCTCGTCGTGTTCGCACCCGCTCGCCGCGAGCACGACGCGCGGAGCGGTGAAGTTCTCTCGCACGAACTCTCTCAGAGCGTCGCCCGTGATGTGACTCAGATCCCCGCTCGGCGCCACGAGGGCGTGCCCCAAGCCCCCCGCGTACGCCGTCGCGTGCGTCGCCTCCATCAACAACGCCTGCGGGTTCTCGTTCAACTCCTTCACCTCGGTCTTCAGATTCTCCACCACTCGTTCGATCTCGTGATTCTCCAACGCCGGATTCAGCGCGCAATCGAGCAACAATTCCACCGTCTCCGCCGCGCGCGTCTTCAGCGCATCCGCCGCGAAGCAAAACTGTTCCCTGCTCGCGCTCGCGCTCAGATTCGCCCCGATCGTCTCGCACTCTCGCGTCACCCTGAACCCACTTCGATGTTTCGTCGCCCTGAACGCCGCGCGCTCCAGCGCGTGCGAGAATCCGCGCTTCCACGGCGCGTCCTCGCGCGCGCTCCCGCAGTCCACGTACGCCCCGCACGCCAGCGTCGCTCCCGGCGTGTTCTCGCTCGCGATCGTCGCCCCGTTCGCGAGCACCGTCACCGACGTCGTCGGCGGCGCCGTCGCGCGCGCCTCCGTCGGCGCGTCGTGCGCGTGCGTCTCGCTCATCGGCGCGAACGTCGTCGCCTTGCCGCCCGACCCGAAGATCGCGGCGAGCGCGCCGTTCGTCGCCTTCGCGTCCGCGCGCGGTCCACCGAGCGCGGGTTTCGCCGCCGCCGCGTACGCGCGTCGCAGCGCGCGGTTTTTCGCGCCGCGAAGCATGGTCGACGTCCGCGCGCGTCGCGATCTCGCGCGATCGCGATCGCGATCGGGCGCGGTTTTCGTCGTATCAGCAAACAGTGAGAGATGGGCGCTCGTTCGGACATTCGGTGTCAGACCGCGTCCACGTCCAGTCACATGGGGTTCGTATGCGCAGAGTACGGCGTGCGAGATCGTATTGCGATGGGACTCGACACCATGTATCGACTCGGTCCGTCGACGGAATGTCGGCACGTCGCGACGCGCGTCGACGCGTCGTCGAAAACGCGCGCGCGCCTCGAGGTCGCGGCGACGCGACGCGTCGTCCAGGACGCGCGACGGCGCTCGCGCGCGCGACCGCGCCGACGCGCGCGCCGACGCGCGCGCCGACGAAGATTGCGAATCTGGGATTCGAACGTCGACGGGTCGTGACTCAAGACGCGATGGGGGTCGGGCGCGGCGACGACGACGGCGCGACGAGCGACGACGAAAGCCTCGCGCGCGCCGCGAGCGAGGCGCGAAGTGCGGCGGACGCGTGCGCGGACGCGTCGGCGCGCGCGATCGAGCGGGCGCGGGCGACGGTGGAGACGCACGCGAGACGACGCGCGGCGAGCGACGCGCGCGCGGCGACGCTCGAACGCGAGCGAGACGCGCTGCGCGCGGAGTGCGAGCGCCTGCGCGAGAGACTGGGGAGGGAGATCGTCGCGCGAGGGGCGCTGGAGGATGGTTTGGACGCGCCGACGACGGAGGCGCTGCGAGGGGAGTGCGAGTTGTATCGCGAGGCGACGCGAAAGTATCGCAAACGCGCGGAGCACTACGAGGCGCTGTACAGAGCGGCGAGAAGGGGGGTCGGCGCGGAGGGAGGGGACGTCGCGCGCGAGGCGCGAGAAGGGGCGAAGCTGCGCCCGCGCGCGTTCGAGCGCGCGCGAAGCGAAGAGGAACGGGTGAGGAAATTTAAACGCGCGGCGCGCGACGACGGCGCGCGAGAGGGCGCGGAGGACGCGCTCTGGGGGGCGGGGACGACGAGGAAACCGTCGACGCGCGGCGCGTTCGTGGACGTCGTTCCGGCGTCGCCGTCGTCGAGAGACGACGAGGACGCGCGAGGGCGCGCGCGAGCTCGAAAGGGCGCGCCGCCGCTGGATCGAATTTTTCTCGATTCGAAAAACACGCGCGCGGCGAGACGCGATTCGACGACGTCGAGCGAGAACAAGGTTCGTAAGAACAAGCGCTTGAGCGATAACGCGCCGAAATCGCCCGATGCCGTGTTCGAGGCCGCCGACGCCGACGCCGCGGCGCGTAAAGAAAAACGCAGCGTCGTCAAGTGCGTGGAAGTCGTGCGCAAGAAGCGCGAGCGCGAGCTCTTGACGTCGTACGTGTGCGAAGATTGTCAGACGTTTTACGACGCGATGATGCCGAACAAGGATCGCGCGACGATCAAGTGCACGCACGCGCCTAAAATGAACGGTATCGGTGGCGACGCGCCGTCGAATTCGCGCCATCGCGCGAAGTGGGCGCCCGAGCCCGCGCCGAAGGGTTTCTGGAATCTCGCGTTTACGCCGCCCGAGCGAGACGGGTGAGCGCGCGCGAGAGAATGTCGCGGTATTCATGATTCATTCGTTCGTATGATTAAAGAAACGAAATTGTAGTGATAAGGTTAGTTCTGTACTCTAACGTCCCGCGAGCGTCGTCTCGACTCGCGAATTCACGCCGTCTTCGTCTTTCCCGGCGCCTCCGCCGCGGGCGCCGGCAGCATCGACGCGATGTTCACCGCGCTCAAAAACATTCCGAGCGCCCCGATTTTCCTCTTCGACATCTTCACCTTCTCCAACAGCGCCAACGCCAGGATCGCCTGCGCGCTGTTCGTGATCAGTCCCACGAACACCTTTCGCGCCCGCTTTCGCAACGCCTCGACCTCGCGCTCGCGCGCCTCGCGTTCGTCCGCGTCCAAGTCCTCATCCGCGTCCACGAACGGCGACGTGTTCTCCCCGTCCCGCGTCTTCGGCGCGTTCCCATCTTCTCCGAACCCTTTCTCTCGCATCACGTCCAACAGCGCGTTCAGCTCGTTCGTGTCTAAAAACAACCCGCTCGCGCTTCCGAAAAACCATCCCCAATAGCTCAGGCGTTGAAACCTCCCTCGCGCGTCCTCCTTCCCCGTCCCGCACGCCCCCGACGCGCACGCCCACACCAAGTGATCGAACGCAAAGTAACACGTCATCCCGAGCGCTCGAATCGTCTCCGCCGCGCTCGTCGGCGCGTCGCTCGCTCGTTTTCTCGCCGCCGTCGCCGCGCTCTCCAGCGGCTTCACGATTCGAAACGGTTTCCGGCTCATCCCGATCGACGCCGACGCGCTCGTCAGCTTTCCCGGCGCCCCGTTCGACGCGCACAGCGTCGCGTACTGCGCGAACGCCAGCGTCTTATCGCGCGCGTCGTACGAGCTCAGGAACGATTTCGCGAGCGCCAGCGCGCGCAGCGCGCGATCGAGCGCATCCTCGCGCGTCGTCGCCCGCGTCGTCGCCCGCGTCGCGCCGGGCGCGGGCGCCTTGCGTCCCGTCGTCATCGCCGCGCGCGCGTCCGAATCTCGCGCGCGTCGTCGCGGCGCGCGCGCGCGCGACGATCGTCGCGCCATCCGAAATCCAAAACCCAAAACCCAACGCATGGGCATTCGCACGCACAAAGTACGCAATTCAAACTCGTATTGCATCACTCGAAATCCCCATCCGTGTGCGCGCGCGTCGACGCGTCGTCGACCGCGACGCCGCGACGCTCGCGCTCGATAAAATTAATATACGCATTCTAGATGCGTACTCTACGCACCGAAACCCCCGTCTCGGCGCGTCCCGCGCCCCCCTCACACCGACGCGCGCCATGTCGCGCGCGCTCCTGACGCGCGCGACGCGCGCGATCGCGCGATCGCGCGCGCGGACGTGCCACGACCAAATCGCGCTCGACGTGCCGCCGTCGAGCGTCGTGACGGCGAGCGATAAGTTTTGGTTCGACACGAACGGGTTTTTGATTTTACGAAACGCGTTCGATAAATCGGCGATACGCGCGATGAACGCCGCGATCGACGCGCGAATCGACGATCCGACGATCGAGCGCAAGGGGAACCTTCGGCTGACGAAGCGAGGCGGACCGCTGAGCGGCGACGGGACGACGGGGCGGAAAGACGTGGCGGGATTTTTGGGGTGGCCGAGGGGCGAGCGCGAGGCGTTTCGAGACGTGCTGACGCACGAGAGGCTGGTGCCGTACCTGCACGAGTTTTGCGGGCGAGGGTACAGGTTGGATCATAATCCGCTGTGCATCGCGCAGGATCCCGGGGCGGAGGGATTCGAGTTTCACGGAGGGAGCGCGACGGAGGACGGACGGTGGAACTGGCCGCTGGCGTACGCGGTGGAGCAGGGGCAGATTCGGTGTAATCTACTGGCGGTGGCGGTGCCGCTGACGGACGTCAAGGAGGGCGAGGGGGGGTTCGTCATCGTGCGCGGGTCGCACAAGAGTCGGTTTCCGGCGCCGGCGGCGGTGAAGCGGTACGAGGACGGGCCGGAGCACGGGTACGCGCCGGCGCTCAACGCGGGCGACGCGGTGCTGTTTAGCGAAGCGACAACGCACGGGACGCTGGCGTGGAAGGGGAAGTCCCAGAGAAGGACGCTGATTTATCGCTTCTCGCCCGCGACGAACGCGTACGGACGCGGGTACTCGCCCGAGTGGCCGGAAAACTGGACGGATGGGATGACGCCGGCGCAACTGGCGACGCTGCAGCCGCCGTATCATCCGCGATTGGATCGCGACGCAGTGGCGGACGATGGGATCAACGTCATCAAACCCGCGGCGCGCGAGACGTTCAAGGTGGAATTCGACGAGAAAATTTTCAAGTCAAAGTATTTTTAGAGGGCGAAAGTCTTCGCGAGCCGCGTCGCTCGAAGCGGCGAAATTGTTTATTTTAATCGCACCAGCGCATCATTCTTTCTTTCTTTCATTTTATTACAATCGCGCGGTCTTCAAGTCACATCGTCGTCGCCGGCGGGAGAAAGCACACCTCGCTCGCGCCCGACCGCCAACTGTGATCCTCGACGTCGTCGTCGTCAGCGACGTCTCTCCACGCGTCTTTCCACAACAAAGCCTCCGTGGCGCTCGGACGTCTTTTTGCGTCGTACGCCAAGCACGCGGCTATGAGCTCGGCGAACGGTTTGGGTTGCGATCGCGATAAGGCTTCGACGACGCGGCGCTCGAGCGTCGTCGTCGCCGTCGCGACGGGGATCCCGGCGTCGCCGTACATCTCGACGAACCTCCTCGCGTGATTCGCGGGCATTTTCATGTCGGCGTAGCTCAACATGGACGATAAAATCAACGCATCGCTCGCGTCTTCCTCGCTCGCGTCGTCGTCTCCGCCTCGATCGCCGTCCCGGCGCCAAAACGCCATCGCGACGCGCTTCACCTTGGCCTCCGCCTCGGGTTTGTTCGGCGCGTTCTCGTCCGCGGACCCGCCGAAAAGCTCTTTCCCGGTGCACAAAAAGAACGCCGTGACTCCGAATGCGAACATATCCACCTTGGCGTACTCGTCCATGTCGACTTTGCCCGACATGTCCCCGAGCAACATCTCCGGCGCTTGGTACCCCGGCGTCCCGTACATCGAGCAGTGCGACTGGTCCGCCAGAATCGCCTGCTTGGCGACGCCGAAATCGATCAAAGTCGCGCGATATTTCGTTTTCACTCGCGCGTTCGCGGGAGTCGGACTCAACAGCACGTTGCCGGCTTTGATGTCGCGATGTACGACGCCGTGCGAGTGGCAGTGGCGCACGCCGTGCAAGACGCGCCGAAGCGCCGAACGAACGTCGCGCGGGGTCAATTCACCGTTTTCTCGCATCGTGTGCGCGTCCTTCCCCGCGGCGCTGAGCAACAAATAGCTCTCATTTCTCGACTTTTCCAAAAACGCGGCGTAGATTCGCACGATGGCTGGGTGCGTCGGCACGCTCGCGAGCGTCGTCGCCTCGACTTTGCCCATTCTGTATCCATCGCCGACGGCGCCCCCGTTGACGACCCCCGGGAACGGATTCGAGCACTTCAAAACCGCGTCGCCGGCGCCAAAACGTTGTGCCGCTACTTTTGAGCTCTGATGGGTCAGGAACACGTCGCTGAACGCGCCGTCTCCGGCCAGGGCGTCGAGGTAGCGTTCGCGCCAGAGCGATTTGGCCGCGTACCCGAACACGGCGGCGTCGAACGGCGACCCACTCGCGGTGTCGAAAAGCCACTCCATCGGTTCGGGAGAGGCGATTTTACGTTCAAATTCCGCAATCACCCGCTCGCGCTCGTCGCGCGACTTCCCGTGCTGCCGCGAACCGACGAGATTAAAATACTTGGCGCGTTGCTCCTTGCGTCGAGCTCGCCGAAGCTCGTTTCGCTCCGTCGTCGCCGACGTCGCCTTCGACCTTTTCGACGTGCTCACGGCGGGGTAGAGATCGTCGTAATTCCGTGGATAATAATCTTCCCGCACGCGCGGCGGCGGCACCGGTCGAGGCGCCGGTCGAGGCGCCGGTCGAGGCGCCGACGCCTGTCGAGGCGACGAATCGACGACGCGCGCCGCACCCACCGGACCCACCGCCGCCGAACCCACCGTCGCCGAATCCACCACCCCCCCCCCTCCCGCCCGCTCTCGCGCGAACCTCGCGCGCATCTCCCGCCTTTTCTCCTCCACCGCCGCTCGTCTCGCGTCTCGCCTCGCGCGCGCCTTCGCCGCCTTCGCCGCCCCCGACACCACCCCCATCGACGCCAGCGCCAGCGCCAACCCCGCGCCGCTCCACCACTCCGTCGTCACCGTCCCTCGATGCCCCCTCGGCGTCGTCGCTTCGTTCGCTCGCGTCCCGACGACGCCTCGAGTTCGCGTCGTCTCGCGCGTCGCCTCCCGTCTCGCGTCATCCATCGTTCGCGCCCCGCACGCCGTCGCGATGCCGCACCGCCGACGCCGTCGCGGTGGTTCCCGCCGTCGCGCGTCGTCACGACGCGTCTTCGCGCATCGCTCGAATCGCGCGACGCTCGCGCGCATCGAATCGATCGTCGACCGTTAGTTTTGGATAGATACGCTCGCGCGTCGTCGATTCGACTTTTTGACGTCTTCGCGAGATTCGGGAGGTCGACGCGCGCGTCGTGGGAGCGTCGACGCGAATCTCGCGCGCGCGTCACCGCGCTCGAGGTCGGGCGTCGGGCGCGCGCGCGACGCGGCGCGCGATGGCGAACGATGCGCGCGCGCGCGAGTGCGTGAACGCGCGAGGCGCGGGCTGGACACGGGCGACGCGAGAGGTTTGTACTCATCGGGATAAATCGTGTTCAATACGCAGAAAACTATTCGAGTTTTCATGTCACGCATATCGAGCCCCACGCAGGCGCGGGCTGGACACGGGCGACGCGAGAGTTTTGTATTCATGGGGATACATCGTGTTCAATACACAGAAAACTATTCGAGTTTTCCCATCCCGCATATCGGGACGAGCCAGCCCCACGCCCTCCGCCGGCGTCGTAACCACACAGACAGACATTTATCGATCTCGTATACGTACGAATGACTCGTATACTACACACAGATACCAGTAATATCGCCACCATCCCGCGCGTCGACCGGCGCGCCAACACCTTCCTCACAGCCGCACTTGGAAGCGCGTCGCCCGAGACGCCGCGCGACGCGCGCGTCGACGCGACCGCGCGTCGCGACCCGCGAACGTCGCGCGCGTCGCACCGGTGGGTCGTCGGCGCGCGTCCTCGACGACGCGGGTCGTAGAGCGCGCGTAACACCCAGGCTGATTTGGATTTGATTTGATTCACTTCAAAGCCGACGTCGAGGGCGGATCGAGGACGGACGCGCGATGTTCGCGCGCGCGCAGTCGCACCCGAAATCGCATCGCGCGCCCGCGGCGCGAGACGCGGAGAAGCGCGAGACGACGCGCGCGGAGGGTGCGACGAGGGACGTCGAGGCGAGCGCGCGCGCGGCGCGAGACGATCGCGGACGACGGAGACGCGACGACGCGATGGGCGAAAGACGCGCGACGACGTCGTACGGCGCGTGGGGAGGTGATGTCGAGGACGTCGGGGCGCGAGATTCGAGACGCGGCGGAGGGTGGCGGGAGACGAGGACGCGCGCGAGCGAGGGCGGCGGGCGAGACCAATTTTTGACTTCGGCGATGTTGTGCGTCGGGGCGGTGTCGGTGTGCATCGTGAGCGTGATGATCGCCGGTGGGTTGGCGTTCGTTGGGTTGTCGGAGAATCACGCGGAGCGCGGGATGGATTTCGTGCGGAATGGGAACGACGCGTGGACGACGAGCGGGGGGTACGGCGCGGGGGGCGACGGCGGGTCGACGCTGTACGCGTCGCGGGGGGGGGCGAACGCGCGAGGGAGGTTCGATTATTTCGCGCAACCGGATAGGATCGATCAAGACAGACTCGTGGATGAGCTCGATAGGCGTTACGGCGCGCGGTTACAGGCGATGATGCGCGAATTGAGAGGCGAAACGACGGACGGATTCTCGACGCTCACGATGACGCGCGGGGAAGATCCGAGTTATCTTCCGCCGGCGCCGATGACGGAGCAGGAGCGCGAGATGAACGAAGCCGCGGAACAACTACGAAGGCTACCGAACGAGCGGTTGCCGAGCGTGGACGACGACGGTGACGCCGACACGACGACGACGACGGGGCAAAGTCATCACCTTCACAAACACCATCACCATCACCGATCCAGCGTTTTAGCGACCGAGGAAGCGGAGTATGAGAAGCTCAAACTTCCCGCTCACGTCGTCGTTAAGGCGCGCGAGAGGTTTGAGCAGTTTGAAAACACGCAAGAGTGGCACGCGAAGATTCGTCAAGACGCCGACAAGTACGTCGAACGTTTGGAAGAAATCTACGGCTTGATCAAAAAGTCCAAGCATCACGGCGCGAAAAGCGAGATCAAGCTCGGTGTCGAGGCCGTGCGGCAGTGGCACGCGACGATCGCGCGCGATTTGAAGACGAAACTCGCAGTCATGGAGGTTGGCTTGGAGAAGATCGCCGACGCCAAGTCGCGAGATCCCGAGACGCACGTGAGCGCTCTTTCGGAAGACATCAACGATGAGTTACAGGCGTTGACGACGACGATGGATCGCGTGGATAACTTGCGGGACGTTCTTGGTAAACTTCTCCGAGTCTTGACCGAGGAAGACGAAGACGTCGCCGGCGCCGGGACGGCTGAAGACTTGGCTTCGGCGGAGCCGTCGTACGATTTAGCCGCCACGGCTCCGAGTCACGAAGAGGTGATGAAAAAGTGGAACAACGTCGCCAAAGAGTGGGTGAAACCGAACGGGGAGTTGAACACGGGCCGTGACAGCGGCGTGGCGCACGTTAGCGCGAGAAATCGTAGCGGCGACGAAAAGTTTGACGATGCGCTGGACGAATCAGACGACGCGGCGCAAGTCCCAGATTGGGTGAGCAAGACGCGAGCGAACGTTGAGAAAGTTACCACGGGCGCAATCAGCGATGCGGTGAGCGCGAAAGACGCGCCGGGTGGGGACGCGCCGTGGGTGCACTCGCGGGCGCGACTCGGATCGTCCATGGAATTTTCGGCGCCGGCACACTTGGGCGTAAACGTCCTTCCGAGCGATACCTTGGCAGACGTGCTCACACAAATCGTTGATCTCGTCCTGAACGTCACCGAAGCTTTGGACGGCACGCGCTTTGATTTCAACGGCACGCGCTTGAACATCACCGTCGACGTGAACGAAACCGCCGCCGAAACAGCCCTCGGCCCGGACGCCGCGGCGCTCGGAGAGATGCTCCAATCTGAAGTCGCCGACGCCGTGACGGCGCAACTCCGCGATAAGCGTCTCGCGTACGAGGCTTCGCTCGGGGAAAAACCAACGACGACGAAGACACCGACGCGATTCGCCGCGCTCGGTTCGAGCTGGGGATCAAACGAATGGACGGGCACCGACGCCGCCGACGCGTCTTGGGATCCGATTCGTGGCGAAGACGACGGCGTGTACGTCGACGATGCGAGCACGCGGCTCGATTGGACGATTCCTCCGGGAGGAGATTCGCGCCTGTCCTCGTCCCAACCGAACGGTGACGGGGAAGACGAAGAGCTCGCGCCAACGCCGACGCCCGCGGATGAGCACTTCCAATCCAAGAGCAAGAAGAAGATTGTCGAAGAGTTTGCCAAGGCGGAGCACAAATCCGCCGAGGCGTGGCGACAAGAAGCACTCAAGGCGCAACAAAAGCTCGAGGAAGTGGCGGCAAAGGGTATGGAAAACGACGCGGATTTGCAAAAGAGCGCCGGCGCCGTGGAAAAGCTCAAAGGTTTAGTCAAGGAATTCAAAAAGGCTTTGCTGAAGGAGTCCACGGCGCGCGCTAAGGCCGAGCGATTACTCGAAGAAGAGACCACACGCGCGGCAGAGGAGCAAGAGGACACGGAAAAACGCGTCGTCGAGCAAGCGAAGTTGCAAATTTTAGCCGCGCGCACCGAGGCGCGCGACGCCTCCTTGGCTCGCATCAAAGCCGAGGAGGAGGCAGAGAAGGCCATTAAAGAGAAAATCGCTCTCGCCAAAGCCGCGGCCAAGGTGCAACGAAGCGCCGACGAGGCTTTGCGCAGTGTTTTGGCGGATAAGGAAGACGCTGTGGCGCAGAAAAAGTCAAAGATTGAAGAAACCGCGCCGCGGCCCGACGGGACCGTCGACGCGGTTTCCGACGACGTCCTCGACGCCGCAACTGAAGCGGCGCACGTCGATACCGACGCGACGATCACGCCGCCTGCGAAACGTAAGCCCAAAGTCACGACTTGGGACTCGGCGTTGAAGGACATCGCGCGCGACGCGTCGGACGACGAAGACGAAGACGACGAAGAAGCGTCCGCCGGAGCGCCGAAATCGAAACCGAGCGCGCGTTCAGCCAAGAACGACGACGACGACGACGACGCGAAATCGTCGTCATCATCATCCGCGACGAAACCCGTCTTTACCGCCACCATCGCCGTCAAATCCTACGACGTCTCCAAAAAAGACATGAAACTCCTCCGCGGAGCCTTTCTCAGCCTCTTGCGCGCCAAGGCGCCCGGCGCGTGCGACGACGCCGAACTCACCCTCACCAAACGCGTCGTCTACGACGGCTCCGTAAAAGTCGACGTTCGGTGCGCCAACGTACCGTCCGTCGACCACCTCACCGAGGCCAACGACGCGATGAATTGGGCCTTCGTCGCCAGTCGTAAATTCCCCGACAACTTGGTCAAAATCGGTTTTCGCTCCGCGAGCGCCGACGACGTCACGTTGGATAGTCACTGAAGGATCATCACCGAATGCATGGGATGATCGCCGAGTGTGAAACACGTTAGTCGTTTGTTAGATAGAGACAAACCACATCACGCGAAACCGCGTCGCGCGCGACCGACGCGCGAGCCTCGAGTCGAATTCAAATTCCTTCGGTCCCCTCGTCAGCTCGTGACTTGAAACGACCGTTGTCGACCGCGAGTCAACGCGCGTGAATGTAAACACGCAAACAGTCTCACATACACATACACAAGGTGCCGACCCGTATCACAGACTAAAAACCCACACAGTATGTGTATTTATACGTATAATAAAAATTAGATGGCATTTGCCAGCGCATCGCCAGCGCATCACGCCGAATGTCCGAACCTTCCATTTTATCGCGCCACACTGGTTATCTGGTAACAGGTTATAATTTCTTTGAATACGAGGCGTGTCGACCCGGTCGACGCAGACACGTCGTTTCGCGACACGTCGTTTCGCATGACGTGTCGCGCGCGCACCCGGAGACGCGCCGCATTCCTCGACGCCGAGCTCGTCGGTTTCGCGCGCGCACGCTCGAACCGCGACCGCGAAACGAAAGAATATATAATCTCTCATCATGGGTGCGTGCGCGATGCGCGATAGCGACGTCGTCGGTGCCGCGAACGAGGCGACGATCAGAGACGATTCGACGACGCATTCGAATGCGCGCGAAGCGACGCGGCGCGAAGCGACGCGGCGCGCGGTCGCGCGCGACGATCGGCGACGGCGAGTGATGGTTGGAAAAGTTTTACATCGTTTGTGGCGCGCGCGGGGGGCGTCGCGTCGTCGCGGGCGCGGAGAGGACGGACGCGGTCGAGGGGGACGACGCGACCCGCAATTCGACGAGCTGGGGCGGGTCGGTTGATTGAGGGTTGAAGTGGGATTACACTGTTTACGCATACGCGCTCGGGTGACTGACGAAGACGCGAATCGCGCGCGCGCAGCTGTTGGTGATGACGTCGATATCAACTTTATGCTGACGAACACCTTCTTGGTGTTCTTCATGCAAGCCGGCTTCGCGATGTTGTGCGCCGGATCCGTGCGAAGCAAGAACACGAAGAACATTTTGATTAAAAACGTGCTCGACGCGTGCGTCGGCGCCATCGCGTGGTTCTTGTTTGGCTACGGTTTCGCGTTCGGGGCGACGACCGGAAAGAAGGAAAACGCGTTCATCGGTTCCGGTAACTTCGCGATGAAGGACGTCACCACTGCGAGCGAATTGGCGATGTACTTGTTCCAGTGGTCGTTCTCCGCTGCGGCGACGACGATCGTGTCTGGCTCTGTCGCCGAACGCACCAAGTTCGAGGCGTACCTCGGCTACTCTTTCTTCCTCACCGCCTTCGTGTACCCGGTCGTCGTGCACTGGACCTGGAGTGGTGGCGCGGGCTGGTTGGGCACTGGCTACACTTTGGGCGACAAGGTCGCTGACGTTGGCATGCACGACTTCGCCGGCTCTGGCGTCGTCCACATGGTTGGTGGTTTCGCTGGTTTGATGGGCGCCATGATCGTCGGTCCGCGCACCGGTCGCTTTGCTTCCGATGGTCGCGTGAACCCGATGCCGGGCCACTCCGCCCCGCTCGTCGTTCTCGGCACCTTCGTCCTCTGGCTCGGCTGGTACGGCTTCAACCCGGGCTCCGCGGGCGGCGTCGTCGACAACGCTGAAACTGTGGCCCGCTGTGCCATCACCACGACGCTCTCCGCCGCCGCTGGTGGTGTGACAGCCATGCTCTTGAACTACAAGTTGTACCACGTCTGGGACTTGATCGCCGTGTGCAACGGTGTTCTCGCGGGTCTCGTCTCCATCACCGCCGGTTGCGCCGTCACGGAACCGTGGGCCGCCCTCGTCTGCGGTTCGCTCGGCGCCCTCGTCATTCACTTCTCCTCCAAGCTCTTGCTCAAGTTCCAAATCGACGATCCGCTCGAAGCGGCGCCGATGCACGGCTTCTGCGGCGCCTTCGGCGTTCTCTGGGTCGGTTTCATGGCCAAGAAGGAATACGCCGAGGCTCAGGGTGCCAGAGCTGGTGCGTTTTACGAAGGTGGCGGCAAGCAACTCGGCGCGCAAATCGTCGGTATCCTCGTCATCATCGCGTGGACGTGCGGCACCATTGGTCCCTTCTTCATGTTGATGAAGAAGTTCAACTTGCTCCGCACCACCGTCGAAGAAGAGACGCTCGGCTTGGACGAATCCAAGCACGGCGGCAAGGCGTACGCGCTGGAACTCGTCGCTCCGGAACCAGCGTAAACGTGCGCTCCACGGGTTGAACGAACGTATCGTCGGTCAGAAATTTTCTGAGCACGTACATCCCGCTCGTTTCTGCGAAGAAGGCGCTCGTACGCACGCGTTCGCGCGTCTCTTTTTCACTCTTAACCATCACAAAACAGATTCACCTTCCTCTTTTGTAAAACCGATGATTACTATACCTATTATTATTACACCTCGATCACCACGCGAAACGTTCGATCACGTGCGTCGGCGTCGCATCGGGATGCTCTCGCAGAACGTCCTCGAGCGCTCGAAGCTTCAACTCCGCGGCGTGAACGCCCACTCCTCGCACGAACACCGTGTCCACGCCCGCGCGCGCGCCGCCGGCGACGTCGTGCGCCAACGAGTCTCCGACGGCGACGACGCGCGATTTATCCAAATCGCCGCCGGCGGCTTTGATTTCCCACAGCAACTCTTCGTAAATGATGGACGACGGCTTCCCCATCAAACACACGTACGCCTCGCCGTCCTCGCCCGCGTGCGTGGCGTTGAATTTATCGACGTAATATCTCGCGAGCGTCCCCGGCATGGCGACGAGCGTCTCGCCCGAAACCGTCACGAAATCCGGATTCGCGACGCACAGAGGCACCTTGGCCGCCGCCGCCCGTTCGACGAGCGCCCGCATCGTCTCCTCGTCCACGGTCTCGCACGGCTTCCCATCGCCGCGCCCGATCGCCTCCGTCCCGTGCGCCAACACGAAATCCACGCGTTCGATCGCGTTCGCGTCGCCAGCGTCGTCGGCCGACGAAACGTCCACGATTTCGATTCGCGCGTTCGTCTCCTCGCCCAGCGTAATCGCGCCGCGAGCGCTCCACGTCAAATGCGCCGCTCTCGCTCTCCTCCCCTCCGATCTCGCCCCATCGATCGCGCGTCGCAAGCGACGAAAATTATCTCCCATCGCCGTCGTCTTTTCCGTTCTCCAATCGTCCGCGTCGCGCGTCGCGAACCGCCGCGCGACTTCGCCGCTCGTCATCGCGCCGCGAAACGCCGTCGCCGAGAACCCCATCGACGCCAACCGCGCGATCGTGCCCTCTCGACCGCGCGAGGAGTTCGACACGATGTATATCCGCTTCCCCATCGCGGCGAGCGCGTCGACGCACTCGACGGCGCCGTCGTACGGCGTCGAACCGTCGTGCAGTAGACCAAACTGGTCCAGCAGCCAAACGTCGTAGTCGTCCGCGAATCGCGACACGCGCGTCGCGCGCGTCGACGTCATCGCCGCGGAATCGCGCGAGCGACGCCGTCGCGAGCGCGCGGACGACGCGCGCGCGGTGGCGACGCGAGAGAGATTCGACGCCGTCGCCATGCGCGACGAAGAGTGACGCGGCGCGACGCGCGCTCGCGGATCGCGGACGCGCGCATCACGGTATTACAGCGCGCCTAACGTGAGATTTAAACGATTTTCGCGTCGCGCGGCGCGCGGCGCGCGCGACGACCGATCGACCGATCGACGCCGCGCTCGACGCCTCGGTCGACTCGACGACTCGACGACTCGACGTCCCGACGTCCCGACCGCCGAACGCCCTTTCGCGCGCGCGCCTAATCCCTCAACAACTCGTCGTTTTCAGCGTCCACGATGCACGCCTCGACCTCGTCGACGTCGCCTCGCATCACCGCCGTCATGCAGTCCTCGAAGACGCGCTCGGCGCTCAGCTCCTTGAGCTTCGCCGTCCAAAACGCGTCGCCCTTCACCTCCGGTCGTCGTCGCAGCGTCTCGATCGTCGCCGTCGCGCTGACGCCGTGTTCATCGAAACCGTCCTCGCACTCGAGCAGGCACCGCTCGAGCTCGGCTTCGTCGCCGGACGCCACCGCGTCGAGGCACGAGCGCAGCACGCGCTCGCTCGCGCGCGCCTCGGTCTCCGTCTCCGCGTCGCGATTCGCGGCGTCCGACGACGCGGCGCGGCGCGACGCGCGGTCGCGCGTGTCGCGTTTCGCCCGCGCGGCGCGCGCGCGAATCGACGGCGCGAGCGCGACGCGAGCGCTTCGGGACATCATCGCGATCGCCGCGCGGTCGCGCGATCGGCGGGTTTCGCGGCGTCGATTCCGCGCGCGGCGTCGCGATGCGGGACGTCGCGCGCGCGGCGTGCGTCGATGCGTTTAAACCGCGAGCGGACGCGCGCGAGCGGGGCGAATCGGCGCGAGGCGAAGAGTGCGGCGAAGAGAGACGAAGGGAGACGCGATCGGGGCGCATCGTGCTGAGTCATCCAACTGTCGATTAAATTATTCGCGGCGAGCTACCGCGCGCGTAATTCGTTAATTTTAAGCGTGAGATAGGCGGTGACGTCGTCGGAGGCCGGTGGCATGGACTCGGCGATGTAGACCAAGGTGGCGATCTCGCGCGCGGTGGCGCCGGCGCCGTCTAAGACGGCGTCGAAGACGCGCTCGGCGGCGGCCAAGGATACGGCGCCGGATTTCTTCACCGAGGCGTCCGCGATCGAGAGAGCCTTGTCGTCGTATTTCGCGCCGTCGATGACGCGGTATTGCTTTGAGGCGGATTTTGTGAGACCTGATTCGATCTCTTCGCGTCTGGCGTCGATTCGCGGTTGTAAATACGTCGCCGCGGCGTCGCTGAGGACGTAGGCGTATCGACCGCCGCCGCCGGCGAGCACCAGCGCCAAAGTCTCGAGCTCGATCTTCGTGATTCCGGCGCCGTCGAAGACGCTTTCGTAAATTTTTTCCGCGCCGGCGCGATCGATTTCGCCTCTTTCCGCCATGAAAGTGTCCGCGAGGCACAGAGCGGCGTTGTCGTACCTGACGCCGCCGACGGTGCGATAGAATCCTTGAGGCGCTTTACGCTTTTGCGCGCGCTGTTGCTGCGTCAAAGCGTTCTTTTCCGTCAAACGTGCGTCGCGCAGTCGGGAACGGAGCTCCGCAGCGAGACCCGTGGCGTCGAGACCGCGCGCTGCGCACTCGGCGATGAGTTCGTCGCGCTTCATTTTGCTCAACGCGGTGAGCGAGGACGGTTCGAAGACGATCGCCGGGCGTTCCTCACTCGCGGCGTCAACACCCGGCGAGGAGGTTTCAGTGCTGACGATTACGGGCGTCGGCGTCGATGGTGCCGGCACCTGCGCTCCGCTCGCGCGTTCAGCCGCGGTTTCGGCTTTCGCCGCGCGTTTGGCCAGAGCCTCCGTCTTGGCTTCGGCTTCCTTGATCGCAAGCGTCGCCGATGAAAGCTTGGCTTCGAGCTCTTCCAACTGCGTCGCGAATCGAGACTCGGCTTCCGCTAAATCGCTCGCCGCACGCTCAGCGATCGTCTGCGCCTCGACCGCAAATTCTTCTTGGGCTCGCTCGCGCGCAACATCGGCGTCGTCCTCGGCAGCGGCGAGCCGCGCCTCCATGCGTGCCAAATCTGCTCGCAATTCTCGCTCGACGTCGTCATTCAACGCGCTACTCGATGCCTCAACCTTTGCTCGCGCTTCCGTTAAGTTGCGCGTCAACTCGTCGCGCTCGGCGGCGATTGCCGCGAGCGCCGCCGCAGCCGCTTCCTGTTCGCTTCTGAGCTCGCGCGCCAGTTCGCTCGCGCGATCGTCTGCTTCGGCTAGCTTTCGCTCCAACTCATCGCTCATCGAACGCAGGCGCGTCGCCTCGGAAGCTTCAGCCCTGGTGCGCTCGATTTCATCTCTCAACTCCTCCTGCTCGAGTTCAGCGATTCGAAGTTTCTCTCGCCATGCGTTTTCTGCGCGTCGCGCGTCGTCGCGCGCGGCTTCGAGTTCAGAAGCCTCGACGAGACTCGCCGTCTTCGCTTTGAGGGCTTCAAAGCGCGCGTTGGCTTCGCTCGCACGGCGCTCGGCGTCGGTGAGTTGACCTTTTAAGCTCTCGAATGCCTCCGCCGCAGACGCGGCGGAGAGTTCGCGCGCTGATCCTTCTTCGACGAGGCGCTCTATGTCGCTCACAAGGCCGTCAGATTTGCTCGTTTCCTCGACCAATCGCGCGTCGACTCGGGACTTTTCTGCACGTAAGCGCTTGATTTCGACTTCTAGTGCGGTGAAGCGCTCCTCCACTTGCGCGACGGCTGTTCTCGCCGCCGCTACGTTTTGTTCGCTCTGCGACATGGCGTCGTCGATGGATTTCTTGGACTCGGCGTACGCACGATCGACCTCGGACTTTTCGGCAACTAATTCATCGTACTTTGCTCGAATTTCGGCAATTCGCGCTTCAGATGAATCCACCGCCGTCGCAAGCTTTGCTTCGCTCACGCGTAAAGCCTCCGCAATGCGCTCGCGTTCTTTTTCAGACGCAACGGCGTTTTCTGCCGCCTTTGCTTCCAATTCGGCGAGAGCATTACGCACGTCATTTCGCTCTTCAACCAGGCGGTCGATCTCACCTTGTCGACGCAATGCTTCGTTTGCCGCGGCGGCGTTGATAGCGTCCTTTTCAGCGCTAGAAGCCGATTTCAAACTCGAGATTTCACTCGCATACGTGCGTGCACTCTCGGAAGCGGCTTTCTCCGCCTTGTTGAGCTCGTCGGTTTTAGCTTGCAATTGCCCGCGCAAAGTTTCGCACTCGGCTCGCGATGCATCCAGCGCCGTAGAATCTACCGCATTTGCGAGTTCACGCTCAAACGCACTCTTTTCCTCAGTCAATCTCGCGACGGTTTCTTGTAACTTTGCCATATCGCTTAACCGCGCGTTTTGCTCGCCGTCGAGTCGCGACTGTGCCGCCGCCTTTTCTTCTTGAACTCGCGCGAGCGCTTGACGCAATTCGAGCGCTTGCGATTCCGCGCGAGCTTCGGCACTCTTGAGCGTCTCCAGCGCAGATTCCTTCTCTGCGCGAAGTCGCTCAATCTCGCTCTTCATTTGCTCCTTCTCCGCTCGGCTCGACTCGTTGAGCGAACGCTCCATCTGAGCAACGGAGTCTCGCATCTCTTGCAGTTGTGCTTGCGCTTGTTTAGTTTCCGCGGAAGCGGCGTCAAGGGCTCGCGACATTTTGAGCGTCGCGTACGATTGCTCGTTCGCGCTTCTCGTTTCGAGTTTCGCCTCCACCTTGGCGAGTGCCGCGCGCGCGGTCGCGGCGTCTTCCATCGCTACTTCGGCTTCGCGCTTGGCGTCGTAGAGCTCTCGCGCAGTTTTGTCTTCATCGAGCAAAGTCGCAAATTGCTTCTCCAATCTTGCTGAATTTTCAATAGCCTTCTTCGCGTCAGCTTCGAGATTCTTGATCCGCCGCTCTTCGTTGGCGTATTGATGCTCGAGTTCGCGACGACGTTGATCCGCGGCGAGGGTCACTTTCCTCAATTCGAACGCGGCGTCCCGCTCCACGATTTCGGCGGCGCGTTCAGCCTCGCGAAGCATGCGCGTCAAGTCGGAAACTTGCGTCTTCAATTCGGCGTTTTCCGTCATCAACGCCTTGACACGCCCTTCGAGTGCGCCGGCACGCATATCATCGCGCTCAAGCGCCTTGTTGGCCGTGCGAAGTTCGCTGACTGCGCGCTCGAGTTCGCTGACCTTCGCTTTGAGTTGCTTTACGCGCGCGATGGCTTCGTCCTTGGCGATTTCTTCCGAGCGAACGCGGTCTTTGAGTTTTGCCACCTCATCGACAGTCATCCCAGATACACCTTCGAGCTCGGAGACGCGCGCATCCGTCTTGCGTTCGACTTGAGTGCGTTGGTACGTGTACTCCAACTGCACTTTTTCCAGACGCGAAGTCACCTCGCGGCACTCTTCGCTCAATTCATCGTTCCTCGCGTTGGACGCCTTCAGTTCGTCTTCCAAATTACGCACGCGTTCGCCCAAGTTGCGCGCTTTTTCGTCGCTCTGCGAAGCAGACGTCATGGATTTTGCGACAAGCACTTGCAACTCTTCTTCCATTTCCTTTACCTTGAGCTGCTCCGCTTCGAGTTTTTGCGTGAGAGAGAACTCAACTGCCATTTGCTTCCCGAGCTCTGCTTTGGCGGTTTCCAAGCTCTGAAGCGCTTCGTCGACATCTGTTTCACTGGTGGTGCGCTTGCTCATGAAAACGTTGATATTTTCGATCCAAGCGGCGACGGGCATGCCGACTGAGGTTTCAATAGACGGAATTTCCGGCGATGACTCCGGCTGCGTTGGCTCTTCCTTCGTCTCCGTCGCTTGAGCTTCGATCTTGGCTTGTTCGCGCTCGCGTTCTTCCTGCGCCGCCTTGGCCTTAGCCTCGCGTTCCTCCTGCGCCGCCTTGGCCTTAGCCGCGCGTTCCTCCTGCGCCGCCTTGGCCTTAGCCGCGCGTTCCTCCTGCGCCGCCTTGGCCTTAGCCGCGCGTTCCTCCTGCGCCGCCTTGGCCTTAGCCGCGCGTTCCTCCTGCGCCGCCTTAGCCTTGGCCTTGGCCTCGCGTTGTTGGCGCTCGCGTTCTTCCTGCGCCGCCTTGGCTTTGGCTTCGCGCTCTCTTTGAGACGCTTGGGCTTTCAAATCGCGCTCGCGCTGTTCGCGTTCACGTTTCTCTACGAGTGCCTTTGCTTTGGCTTCGCGCTCGCGCTGCTGACGCTCGCGCGTCTCCTCTTGCTCGCGTTTGCGCTTCAAGCGGTCGAGCTCCGCCGCCTTGGCTTTCGCCTCGCGCGCTTGCACGGCGCGAATCTCCTCCTGCTCGCGCAAGAAGACGGCATTCTTCATCGCTGCCTTTTCAGTGTCTCGGGCTTTATAATAGACGTCGATCGCCGCGAGCACAGACGCCGGAATCTTGTTGCGAGGCGTCTGTTCTTCCATATCGGCGATAGTCTTGCAAACGGCGGCGTCAAGCTCGTCGCTCGAAGCCGCGAGCTTAGCCGCGAGCTCTGGCGCGCCCGAGATTTGCGAAAAAGCCTCCGCGAAGTCCAAACGAAGCGCTTGTCGACCTTCGGTCGTGGTGAGCAAACGCCTGTACACGGTGCCGTAATACGCCGTGACGACGAAACCGACGAGCTGTTCGAGCGCCGCGAGCGGCGGGTTGGATTCTAAACTCGACAAAACGGCGTCAATGGAAACCGTGGACAACACCGCCGTGACCGCGATCCCGGTCACGGCGCTGTACGCCACGCCCTGACGCAACGCGCGCTCGCGCGTGCGCTCGTACTCTTCCCAACTCGAATTCGCCTCGGCGTCGAATTCGCCATCCTTGTACTTTTTCAAATCCTCCAACAAGCTCGTCGTCTCTTTCGCCGTCTTCGCCGTCAGCGCCTTCACCGTCGCCTCCGCCTCGCTCTCATCTTTCGCCGCGAGCAAACTCGCGATCTTAGAGCTTATAAACGCCGCCTTCTTCGCCGCGTCCGCGAGCTCCGCCGGAATCGCTTCGTCTTCGTTCGCCCGCGCCTCCCGCGTCGATCGATCCAGCACTCGCCTTCCCGCGTCTCGCGCCCTCGACACCACCGCCGACGACGTCTCCGACTCTTCCTCTTCGTTTCCCGTCTCTCCCGTCGCTTTCACGATCGCGATTCGCTTCGATTCGCGTCGTCGTCGCGCCTTCGCCGCGCCTCGCGCGCCTCGTCGCGCCCCGCCGTCGATCCTTCCCGCCACCGTCGCCGCGATCGCCATCGCGACGCCCCCGGACGACGCGAGCGGTCGCGTCGCGTCGACGCGCGCGCGCGCGGTCGCGCTCGGTGCGCGCGCGCGACGAGCGCCGCGCGCGGGATCGGCAGACGGCGCTGCGATTTCAAACTTCGCGCGTCGATTTCGTCGCGAAACCGCGTCCGCGGCGCGCGAGATTCGCGCGAGGCGCTCGCGTTCGCGCGCGCTCGCGTTCGGCGCGCGCTCGCGTCGCGCGTCGCGCGCGCGTGTGCGGTCGGCGAGGCGCGCGTTCGACGACGGTCGACCGCGCGGGTGGGTAAACAGTGCGGTACATTTCATCGGTCGGTCGGACGCTCGACGGCATCGATCGAGTCGCGCTCACGCGGCGGGCGCGCTCGATCGCGTCGGACGCGAGCCTCGTAAGCGCGGCTGTCGGACGCGCTCGAAGAATTCTTGCCAAAACGGGAGCTCGTACGCGCGACCGACCTCGCGAGCGATGTCCCACGCCGAGACGAGGCCGACGAAGACGCCGTCTCGGTCGGTGACGGCGACGTGGTGCACGCGATTGCGCATCAGCACGGCGCTCACCTCATCGCGCGTCATCCACGGACTCGCCTGAATCACCGCCTTGTTCGCCACCGCGCCGCACGCGCAGTCCATGGGAAGCTTTTCGAGCCACCACTCCAGCGCGTCCGCCTTGGTGACGACGCCGACCGGTTTCCCGGCGTCGAGCACGCACACGCACCCGACGCCGTCGTAGGCCAGCGCGTGTACGACGCTCTCGATCGTATCGTCCGTCGTCGCCGTGATGCACCTGCGCGAGCGAAACGCGCGCGCGCGGTTCAGTCGAACGTCCTCGCGCGCGCCGTCGCCTCGTCGTCTCGCGCGTCGCCGCGTCGCGCGTCGTCGCCTCGCGCACGCACGCGCGCGCGGGGGTCATGAAATCTCGGCACGTCGGCACCATCGTCGGCGAGTCGCGCGTTCGGTCGGTCGGTCGGTCCGTCGGTCGCGCGTTCGTTCGTTCGGTCGCGCGTCGAGCTTTGCGAACTCCCCCCCCCGTCGGTTCGAGGCGCTTTGATGCGTCGTCTAAATATCTAATTATATGGCCCTATACCATTCTTAGTACGGTCTCGTACTCGTATTTAAGTATACATACCATCTGTATACATAGGAGAGCCGTTGCGACGCCCGCGCGGCACACGTCCACGCGCGCCCGCGTCCTCGCGCGGCGCCGGCGCGCGCGCGCGCGGCGCGACCCGATCGTGTTCGCCCCCGCGCGCGCCCGCATGCGCGCTCGCGCGCTCGAACGCGCCGCGGACGAAGGATTCGACGAATAATCTTTAGAATTTCACATTCGCACTCGCGCGCGCGATGTCGCGCGACGCGCTCGGAGAACGCTCGACGCGGACGTTGACGGCGTACGGACGTCCGTCGACGTCGCCGCTGGCGGAGAGCGCGAGAGAACTGGCGAGGACGACGATGGCGGGACGACTTCGGGACGCGGCGACGACGACGCGACGAGGACGGCGAGACGACGAGGGCGAGGACGAGTACGAGAGCGCGACGACGACGAGCGAGACGACGAGCGCGACGGCGAGTTTGATTGGGTCGTCGGTGATCGAATTCGGGCGCGAGCGGGAGGGCGCGAGGAGACTGCGGGGGAGGGATCGGTTCGGAACGGCGGCGCGGCGCGAACGATTCGAAGAGTCGAAGCGAACGGCGAAGACGCGAGGGACGTTTGACGTGGCGGAGAACGCGAGATTGGCGCTCGAGGCGAAGGAGGCGCAGTTGCAGAAGATGGCGGCGCGATTGCGAGCGTTGGAGCGCGAGCGGGAGCGGGAGCGCGGGCGTGAGATGGACGAGGAGCGGGAGACGTTTGCCGACGCGGCGAACGATTTAGAGGGGGAGATGGCGGCGGCGATGGCGAGGTTACGAGGCGACGCTGGCGGCGCGACGACGTCGCGTCAGCAGACGACGAAGTCGTCGCGCGCGCGCGAGGACGCGGGCACGTTTGCGTTCGCCCCGGATGCTTTCGCGAGTCGCGACGGCGACGACCCCGCGACGCCCGAGCTGCCGCGCGGGCGAGGCAAAGCGGAGGAACACGGCGATGACGTCGAGATGACGAAGACGCCGGAGATAAAGCCGATGCACCCACCGCGCGCGCCACCGTCAGAGCGCTCGGACGCCGAGATTTCGGAGTCGAAGACGCCTGAACCGATCAAACCAGGCGTACGCGTGGACGGCGGATACCTCACGCCGAGCGGTCGAGTCGTCGGGAGCGCGTTGAAATCGGGTTCGTCGAAGCCGAAGACGCCGAACGAATCCAAGTCCGTCGTATTCACACCCGGAGAGATCGCGCAGTACTCGGACGCGGGAACGCCGTTCGACGCGGCCGATGTAGAAGAGTTGCGCGCCGAGCTCCGCGAAGTCAGGGCGGCGCTCAAGAGCGCGTTCAGCGTGAGTGAAAAACTCGTCGCGCAGTGCGAAAAGAAGAATAGGGAGATCAAGGAAAAGAATACGAGCGTCATGCTCGCGCGCGAGGAGCTGGAGAACGCGCGCGCAGCGCTCGAGCGAGCGCAAAAAGAAGCGCTAGAGGCGAAGAAGTCCGTCGCCGGCGTCCCGGCGGGCGATCTCGCCGAGGCGTACGAAAAGAGCAAACGTTTGAATAGCGAACTCTTGCGCGTGATGCGCGCGTCGATCGGGGTGAATGTCGAATTAAGTCCGGACGTTGTGTTCGCAATTCTACCCACGCTCGCGAGCTTAGCCGTGCGGGGAGACGTCGCCGAGGCCATGGCGCAGGGCGGCGCCTTGGACGCCCTCGCGGGAGCGTTGGATTTGTTCGCGCACGACCCCGCGGTTTGTCGCAAAGCCATCGCCGCGATCGAATCTATTTGTCGCGCCGGATCTCCCGACGCTAGCGGGGCGACTCAAGACGAAGAGATCATCGCCATTCGCTCGAGATTGACGAACGAAGCCGTGGACGCGTGCGGCGCCGCCGTGGCGCGATGCGCGTACGATCACGTCGCCGACGCGCGATTGAGCGAAGCCATTTGCGCGCTCGCGCACGCGTTCGCCGAGATCGGCGATTATGATCGCGTTCAGTTCTTGATTGGACGTGAATGCGCGCTGGTGCAAGCGATTTGCAAGATCTCTAAGACGCACGAGCACGACGAGCGAACGCAGCGCGCGTCTTCGTTGGCGCTCGCCGCGTTCGCCGCGTGCGACGAGAACACCAAGCGCGTCGTCGAAAGTCTCGGTGGCATCGCGCTCATCAAGCGGTGCGTGCAGGAACTCGGAATAGATGACGCGCAGCGCGCGTTTCCGCACGTCAAGCGATGGATTTCCGGGAAGAAGACGCGCGAGGACAGAGAACGCGGCGCCCGCGGTTTCGACTCGGACGACGGCGAAGCCGACGTCGACGTCACGGGAAATCTATGATGAATCTTAGTGTTGGCTATTTATAATCTAATTTCTACTAGCAGCGATCGAACGAGCGTTTCGCCCGACTCGGCCGCGCCCGCGCTAACTCGACGCGTCGTCCGAACGTTTCTCTCGCGCGCCGATGAACGCCGACATTTCCACCGCCGCCGTTCGAGTCGGCGACGCGTACGCGTCGTCGTCGTCGTCGTCGTCGTCGTCCATCGTCGCGCGCGTGAGCACGACGAACCCATCGCCCGCGGCTCGAGCCCCGCCCTCGTCGTCGCCCTCGTCGTCGTCGCTCGCGAAATCGACGTCGTCCGCGAGATCTCCCAACCCCGTCTGCGCGTCCTCCGCGCCGACCCCCCGCGCTCGCGCCGAGAGCCGCGCGCACCCGAACGCCGTCGCCAACTCCACCGCCATCTCCCCTCGCGCCGGGTGCGCCAACACGAACACGATCGCGTGCACCGCCCCCTGCGACGTCTTACACGCGACGTGCGCGCACGCGAGCCACAGCGCCGGCTTCGCTCGCCCCGCCAGCGTCGACGCCCGCAGCGCCGTCCCCGGCACGTTCGTCACCACCTGCGCGATCGGGTACCACGCCAACCGTCGCACGTACGTCCGCAATCGCGCGTGCGCTCGCCGCGCCGTCGCGTCGTCGCGCCCCAACGTCGCCTCGAGCGCCGCCGCGCTCGCCATCCCGCGACGAATCGCGCGCCAGCAGCGCGCGTTGTAACAAAACGCCGCCCAAATCGGGACGTAATAAAAAACCAACCGGATTGTCGCCGCGCGCCTCCCCTCCGATTTCACGTGACACCGCCCCAGCCTCGAATCGCCGTACGCGTTCGCGAGCATCGGCGCGAGCGCCGACGCCGCGCACGCCGTCCACGCGAATCCGTCCTCGCGTCGCGCGTCGCCCCTCGCGCGTCCCGCGCGCAGGCTCTCCATCAGCGCCCGCGACACGAGCGCCGCCCACACCGCGCCGGCGACGCCGAACGTCTGTATCAACGCGCCCTGCAAAGCGCAGATCGCGCCGCCGCGCGCGCCGCGATCGCCGAGCGCGCACGCCGTCGAAAACATCAAATCGCTCAGCGCCAATCGTTTCACGTACGCGTACGTCCTGCCGCGCGTACTGCGCGTCGCGATCGCGCCCGCGAGGAGCACGAACGACGCGCCGGCGATCGACGCCGCTGAAGCGACGCGGTTCGTCGCGCGCACGATCGCGCGTTCGTCGGGCGTCCACGACATTGTGGATTGAAAATTCGCGATCCGATGATTCGCGTCGCGATCGCGCGGCGTTCGGTTCGACGCGCGTCTCGATCGTCTCGGAACGTGTTCGCGATCGTTTACGACGCGTCGACGCGTCGACGCGCGGCGCGCGCGCGGCGCGATCGCGCGATTCGACGCGGGGGCGATCGATCGACGGCGGTGATTCGCGGACGCGAACGCGAACCGTCGCGATCGGACACTCGGGTATAGGTATTGTGTTTCATATGATAAATATAATGTATAGAACGTGATAGTAATAAAAGGTAGTCGTATATATAGGATGCACGTCGTGCGCGACGGCCGGCCGCGACGGTTCGCGCGACACGACGACGCATGGCGAACGCGACGGACGCGTCGGCGATCGTCGACGACCGCGCGACGACGGCCGACGACGACGACGACGTGACGAGCTCGATGCGCGCGCTGCGCGTCGGCGACGACGGCGAGGACGAGGACGCGCCTCGACGCGCGCGAACGATACTGTGCCCGGTGACGGAGCGCGACGACGACGCGAACGCGGTGAAGTGGGCGCGCGATAATCTCGTCGACGCGAAGCGCGGCGATTGCGTGCACTTGCTTCACATTCTGCCGCGGCGAACGGAGGCGGTGGCGGGGTACGCGTACCCGATGATGGGGGCGCCGACGCGGCGAGGTGGGCGCGTCTCGTCTCGCGCGCGCGCTCTCGTCTCGCGCGCGCGCTCTCGTCCCGGCGGCGGCGGCGAAGGCGCGAGACGACTGACGGTTCGGTTCGCGAACGCGAGCGCGCGCAGCGTGCGAAGAGCTCGAAGACGCCGAGCGCGAGCGCAAGCGATTGGATCGCGTCAGGGCGAAACACTGGATCAACGCAAAGTTTGGACGAATGTTGCGCGAGAGCGAGACGCCGTACCTCGTCGATTTGACGTGCGGATCGCAGGGGAACGTGGCCGTCGGCGAACTCATCACGGCCGTCGCGGAGGCGATCGACGCGGACGTGATCGTGATGGCGACGCACAATCGAGGCGCGCTCGCTCGATTCTTCGTCGGATCGGTGGCGAATTTTTGTTTGCGAAACGCCACGATGCCCGTCGTGCTGTTACGTCCGGGCGAGTACGCGCTCGATCGCAAGCGCAGTCATCACCGCGTGTTGATCGACAGACACGATTAGACGAGTCGCGCGCGCGGGCGCGAATCGATGAAAACGACGATCGATTTCTTTACAAACACCGTCAAATCACGTGAGATCGTCCTCCTCGGCTTCCACGGCGGCGACGATGCGCTTCTTAGCCTTTAATAGCATCGTCGTCTTCCAACCGTCGAGCCTGGACATGGAGTCGAATTCCGCCACCGCGCTCGAAAACGCGTCTTGATCGCCCGCCTCGAACGCCTTGGCGCAATTCACCAACAAATCGCGCTCGCGCGACGACGCGAACGCCGGGTCGCTCTCCTCGTATCGCTCGCACGCGTTCAGCACCCCGACGGCGTCGTTCCAGCACAATCGACAGATCCCCGCCTGTAAAAAGTACCCCTTCACCGAGAACCGCAGTAAATTGTTATTCAACGACGCGCGTCCGACGTCCTCAAAAATCTCCGTCGCCTCTTCGAATCGATCGAGCTTGCTCGCCAGCAGCGTCGCCGCCTTCAGTTTACAATTATTCCCCGTCGTCCGTCCCGAGTCGCCCTCGCCGTCGTACAGATCCGCCGCGCTCGAGAACGCCTCCACCGCGCGTTCATCCCCCTCCGCCGTCCCCAGGCTCTCGTACGTCTCGCCGATCTCCTTCAAATGTTTCGCCGCCTGCGCCAGTCGTCCCAATCGCGCGTACGCGTTCGACGCTTCCCTGTAGTGTCCGATCGCCTCCTCGTTCGCCCCGCACTTCTTCAGCATCTGCGCGCAGTCCACGTGCGCCGACGCCGCGTCGTGCGTCTCCTTCGTCGTCGCTCTGCACGTCGCCAGCGCCTCGTACGCGTCCGCCGCTCTTCGCCAGCTCTTCGCCAGCTTAAACGACGTCGCCGCGCGCTCGTACAGCTCCGCCGCCTCCTCGTGCCTGTTCGCGCCCGTGATCGCGCTGAAGAATCCAACGCTCTGTCGTCGTCGTTCAGTCGGTCGCGCCGTCGTCAGTCGTCCTTCGTTCCTTCGTTCGTTCGTTCGTTCGTTCGCATTCATTCATTCATTCATTCGCGTCGATCGTTCGCGTCGAGCGCGCGCGTTCGCGCCGCTCGAGCGCGTCCGATCGCGCGCTCGCGCGCGCGCGTCGCACCCTGAGTTTCTTGGCCGCCGCGGCGCAGAGCGCGTCGCCGCGCGCGAGATCGTCGTCGCCCATCGATCGATCGATGCGTCGCGCAGTGCCGCACACGACGACGCGACGCGCCGACGCGTCGACGTCGAATGCGCGCCGCGACGCGCGTCGCGACGTCGCGCCCCGTCCCTCGCGCGTCGCGCTCGAGCGCGTCGCGCGTCGCGGCGACGCGAAGATTCGACGCGCGACCGAGCGACGACGTCGATTCGGCGCAAAGATTCGACGCGCGTATGGCGCTCGTGGCGCTCGCGACGGTCGCGGCGACGCGATGCGAACTTCTAAAGCCGCCGGCGTGCGAGGCGGCGTTCATGGAGGCGGTCGAGGGGTCGGCGTCGGTGGTGACGCCGGCGGCGCCGTCGAGGCTGAAGCCGCGCGCGCGCGACGTCGTGCTGGAATCGAAATCCGAACACGCGGGCGAGGATCTGCGGCGAGAGGACCTGCGAGGGGCGATCTACGCCGAGGCGGATTTGCGACGGAGCGATCTGCGGGAGAGCGACGCGCGAGGGGCGGTGTTCAGTCGAGCGGTGATGCCGGGGGTGGACGCGCGAGACGCCGATTTTTCAGACGCGATGTTCGATTACGCGCTGCTGCGAGGGAGCGATTTCACGAATAGCGTGTTCGTGGGGGCGAATTTCGTGCGGGCGGATCTGGGGGAGGTGGTGGCGACGAACGCGGACTTCACGGAGGCGGTGATCGATCGGTATCAGACGCTGTCGCTGTGCGAACGGGCGTCGGGGACGAATCCGTACACGGGGGCGAACACGCGGGATTCGTTGCTGTGCGACTTGGTGAAGCCGTACGCGGGCTCGGGCGAGGGAGGGAAGGTGGTGGCGACGAAGACGTCGGGGACGTGGGGTGGGGGGGGGCGCGAGTGAGCGCGGCGCGTGTAATTACCTACGTAGCTATCCACTAAATCGACGCTAAGCGTCCTAATAAGACTACGTCGCGTCGCCGTCTACAGCGTCACGTGCGCGACGCGCTGCGGGAAGCGATACACCGTTCCGTCGCCGCTCAGACAGCTCGCCAAGTACGCCCCCAAAGACGCCGAACTCGACATCATGGTGTCTAAACTCAACGCGTCGTCCATGGCGACGCCGTGCAAGTAAGGCTCCAAGTTTTCGACGGCGACGGCGGTGACGTGAGACTTCACCTCGACGTTGTACGACGCGCCGAGCGCGCTCAGCGCGTCGCAAATTTGTTCGGCGCACGTCAAGAAGACGTCGTCGGCGGGCGCGGTGTCGTGGGACCGTCGTTCACCGCGGCGTTTCTTCTCGGCGTGGTACATGGCGAAAAATTTGGCGTCGTGACTTTGTTCCGTCGCCGCGGCGATGAACCCCAAACCGCCGGGTCGAAGCGACTTGCGGAAATTTCGCAGCGCGGAGTGTAATTTCCCGCGAGGCGTCGTCGCGAATCCGTGCGCGGTGTACACGATGTCGTAGCCGATCGAAGGGTCAGCGGCACCGCCGCCGTCGCGAGTGTCGTCCTGCGTCAGCGCGTCCGCGTAATCCTGCGGAGGCACGAACGTCGTCGTCGATCCGCGATGGAGCGTGCCGACTCTAAACGGCGGCACGAGCGACGTCGCCGCCGTGTGCAACGCCACCGCGGAGACATCCAGTAGATCGACGCTGACGTATAAGCGTTCCATCGCGGGATCGATCAACGGTGACATCATCGCCTCGCGCGTGGCGTCCGCGATATGGCGGCACAACGCCGCAGAAAACGTGCCGACGCCGCACGCCATTTCGAGCGCCGTGAGCGCGTCGGATGGGATCGACTGACGCACCGTCGTGTTGGCGTACACTGAAGACGTCACGGATGCCACGTCGCTCGCGTCGACGTCACTTTCGCCGCGCGCCCAAGCTTTCTCAATATCGCCGTCCTCCCCGTCGTCGACGTGTTCGCGGATGCGTTCGCGCTGAAGCGACGCGAACGTCTTCCACCAGTCGTGCGATTCAGTGATGGATTGCACGTCTGAAAACGTCGCCATGCAATACCCGGGCGTACGACGAAGTCGCTCGTGTTTTGCGGTGTCGTGCTCTTGCTCCAACATTTCGGCGATGCGTTCGGGCGCGTTCGACCCGTCGTCCACGGACGTCGCCGTGGTGGCGGTGACGTCGCCGCCGTAGTCGCTGTAAAATTCGTCGTCGACGATGGATTGAATGTCGGATTCATCGTCGTTTTCGAACCCGTCGTCTTCGGAATCCGATAATAACGGACGTCGCTCGATTATCGTCTCTTCTTCGTCGTACGCTTTTGCACGAAGGGGTGTCGGTGTCGCGCGCGCGCCGCTCGAAACGTTCGGAGACGTAGACGTCTTCGGAGCCGCGCGATCCACCGCACGAGATATCCGAGCGCACTCCCCAGCGCTCACGACGCCCACGTTTTCCATCCAACCGGCGCGCAACAACGCGCGATACGTCAATGTTTTCACAAAGTCTTGCAGCGCGAACGAGCACAAGGCGAAGACAAACACAAACGCGATGCGCGCCCACGAAATCGACGCCAACGCCATGAAGGGCCAATTCGCGCTCAACAAGCAACTCATCGTCAATGACGTGGCGAACGCAGCCAAAACTAGCCCCCCTGGGCGTCGCTCGAGGAACGACTTGTGCGCACGAGCGCTGAAAACCGTCATCGCGTCCGTGAGCGTGAGCTTGAGAAACACACAGGTTTGCACCTCGCCGTACGGTAATCGAGCGCTCAGCGCCACGCGCAGTAACGCCAGAGTCGTGAAACACGCCGTGAAGCCGCTCGCCGCGCTGACGAAGACGTGCGGAAGTAAATTCCAACGCTCTGGTAAACGGCTCGGTGAGGTGTGGTCGTACGCGGTGCCGATGACGACAACGTCATTGAGCGCGGCGTTGACGCACAACGCGATGACTGGGAGCGTAAACGTATCCGGCGCGGAGACGTCGAAAGATTTTGGACTCACCACGAGGGCGCCAAATACAAAAAATCCCAAGACGTGCGCCGTGCACGTCGCACGAAATACAATGTATTCACGCACGCGCGCGAACATCACTCGGGCAGAGAGAACCGCGTGCGCCAAGGCTGCGAGCGACGGCGCGGCTAATATGATGTCGGACGCGCATCGCGCGGCGTCGCTAGCGTTATTCATCGACACTCCCACATGTGCGAGCTGAAGCGCCGCGCTATCGCTCGCGCCATCACTCACTAAACCGACGATGTCACCCTTAGCGCGATGGGCCTTCACCAGCGCGTGCTTGTCCTCGGGTAGCATTTCGGCGTAAGCCTTCATGCGATCGAGCTTGTCGCAGTGCGCCGGGCTCAGCACGCTCGCGCGAAGAGGCACGTACGGTACATCGCTCGGAGTGTGGATGATTCCGTCAGAATTCTCGCTCAGATCGAAACCAATCTTATCGCACGCCACGCGCGCGACCCGAGCGACATCACTAGTGACGATTTTTACGTCGACGCCGAGCGATTGCATCGCGTGCAGCATCTCGTGCGCGTCCTTGCGACGCACGTCGTCGTACATAATCAAACCCAGACCGACGTACGAATCGTCGTGGGTTTTCGAACAAGCCACCAAGAGTGCGCGAGAAATCACTCCCGCCGCCGCGCGAGATTGCAACTGCTCGAGCGCGTCGTCGACGATGGCTTGCGCGCTCTCGCGGTTGACACACTTTTCTAGCGCGACGTCGATCGGGCCCTTCATCACGCGAAACGTCGATCCGTCGTTCGCTCGACGGATGATGCTTTCACTGAATTTTCTCTTTGCCGAGACATCGAAAGGTCGATGCTCTACGAGTTCGAACTTCCCTTCCAAGTGTCGCGCGACGTCAAAGGCGTCTAAAATCATCGCGTCCACGGCGTTTGTCGGCGGCTCCTTCCATCGCGTTCCCATCGCCGCCGCCGTCATGACGTCGTTTTCGCTGACACCCTCGAGTAAAGGCACCGTGGGAACGATCGAGCTCAGTTTTGCGGCATCTTTAGTCAACGTTCCGGTTTTATCGACGCACAAGACGTTCATGAGAGCCAAATCTTCGATGACGCGCGCGCGCGCGACGATGCACGATTTTTTCGCCAACGCGCGAACGCCCAAAGAGGTCGTCGTGTGCACGATCGTTCGAATCGCCAAAGGTGTGCTGATGATCAAAAGAATGACCGCAAACGATAGCGAGCGGAAGAAGTCCTTCCCCCCCACGATGAGGTACAAGAATACGCTCAGCGAGGACGCGCATCCGACCACCGCGAACGAGCGCGTGACGATGGACACGTTCGCGTCGAACGCGGACATTTCCTTGCGAGATGAATCTCTGGCTCGCATCACGCGCGCCGCGCGCCCAGCGAATGTGTGTTTTCCGGTGCGCACCACCATCGCTCTCGCGGAGCCGCGCTTGACGACGCCTCGCGTGAACAACGGTTCGCCCTTCGCGACGTCGACGGTGTGCCTGTCGCCCGTGATCAAAGAATTATCCAAAACCAACGTCTGCGGTCCGCACGACACGCAATCCGCGGGCACCGCACACCCGGGCGTGAGCGTGACGATGTCTCCCGGCACGAGAAAACGCGCGTCGACGACGCGCGACGTCCCCGATCTCGTCACCGTCGCTCGAGCGTCCACGAGCTCCGCCAACTCCCGACTCGCCCGCACCGCGTCCTCCCTCTCGACGTGCGACACCCACGCGTTACCGAAAACCAACCCCAACAAAATCATCGCGTTGAACGTCGGATCGTCGTGCACGCGCGCGTTAAAACTCTGCGCCAATTCCAACGCCGCCCCCGTCGCCAACACCCGCGCCGTCGGATTCCTAATCTCCGCGCGCAGAAACCGCGCGAACCGCGCGCGCGCGCGTCCCGCGTCCCCCCCCCCCGCGCTCGCCTTCCGCGCCCGCGCGCCGTCGTCCCCATCCTCGCCCGTCGCCCAATCGTTCGCGCCGTACTTTTCCAACCGCCGCGCCGCCTCGCGTTCTCGCAAGCCGCCGTCGACGTCCGCGTCCAAATCCTCCTCGTCCACCGCCGTCTCCTGCACCCCGTGGTCTCGCGCGCGCGACATCTCGTCCATCATTTTCCGCGCGTCCATCGCCGCCGCCGTCGTCGCGCTCGAGTCGTTCGCGCGCGCGCGTCGTCCGTCGTCGCCGTCGTCGCCCGCGGCGCCGTCGTCGCCCGCGGCGCCGAGCGCGCGCACCCATCGTTCAATCTTTTTCGTCACCGGCGCCTCGTCGCGCGCCGTCGCGCGTCCCAGATCATCGCTCAGCATGCGTTCGTAATCGTCGCCGATCGGTGACGTCGGGTCGTCGTCGCGCGCGTCGCGCGTCGTCGAATTCGTCGCCGCGTCGTCGCAATCATCGCGTTCGCGTCGTCGCATTTCGTCGTCTCGCGTCGTCGCGACGCGGTTCGAGACGCCCGCGCGCGAGTATTTTTCGCGTGCGATCGCGTTCGACGCGATTCGCGATCGCGATTCGCGATCGCGCAAAGCGCGGCGTCGCGAGCCGTCGCGCTCTGACGCGAATCGCGTCGCGTCGGGCCGTCGTGATGTATCATAAACCCTATATTTACGTATTGTACACTTTTTAGTACTATGTAGATGTAGATTTTGGGTAAAACGAGCGCCCCGATCGCGCGCGCGCGTCCGCACACGACGCCGAGACGCGCGCGCGCGCCGTCATGCTTCGTCGCGCCTGCGCGCGCGCGGCGACGCGCGTCGCCGCGCTCGTCGCGCCGAGCCGCGCGATCGGCGCGCCGCTCGCGTCGCCGCGCGCGCGATTTCCGTCGCCGCCGCAACTCGTCGCGTCGGCGAATCATCGCCTCGCGAGCGCGCGCGCGGCGGCGCCTCGACCGTCGAGCGCGGGAATCGCGCGCGATCGACGCTCGGCGCGATCGAACGCGGTCGAGCGCGCGACGTACGCGACGTCGGCGCGCGCGGTGGACGCGGCGCACCGAAGGGCGAACGCGACGCGCGCGGCGACGCGAGAGGCGCGCCGAAGGACCGGCGCGGTGGCGATCAAGACCGGGATGACGTGCGATTGGGACGCGCGAGGGACGAGGATCCCGCTCACGGTGCTGTGGATCGACGATTGCGAGGTGGTGGCGGCGAAGACGTCGAGCGGGGCGGACGGGTACGACGCGGTGCAGGTGGGATACGGAAGCCGAAAGCCGAAGCAGGTGACCAAGGCGGAGCTGGGGTACTTTGTGCGAAGGAAAACGAACATTAAGAGAGCGCTGTGCGAGTTTCGGACGAGCGCGGACGGGGTGCTGGCGCCGGGGACGGCGATCACGGCGGCGCACTTCGCGGCGGGGCAGTACGTGGACGTGCAGGGCGTGACCAAGGGGAAAGGGTTTCAGGGACCGATGAAGCGGTGGGGGTTCTCGGGACAGCCCGCGAGTCACGGGAACACGAAGAAGCATCGCGCGCACGGGAGCATCGGGCAGTGCCAGGACCCGGGGCGAGTTTTTAAGGGGAAGAAGATGGCGGGTCGGATGGGCGGCAGGACGCGCACGGTGCAGAGCGCGTACGTGTACAAGGTGGACACGGAGAAGAATTTGGTGTACGTCAAGGGACAAGTCCCGGGGAACGCCGGAATGGCGGTGAAGATCAGAGACAGCCTGCGGAAACCGCCGGCGCTGGACGGGAGCGAGGTGCCGTTTCCGACGGCGGTGGCTGGCGAGCACCCGACGGGGGTCTTCGTCGCGCCGCCGCAGGGCGCGGATCCGTTCGGTAACCCCGAACCGGTGAAGCAGCGCGCGTGAGCGCGAGCGCGAGACGCGGACTATCTAGCTACTTAGACGACGGCGAGACGTTCGTTCGGTGTGATTGAATAGAAGTCGTAGTAACGACGGAACCCCGTGCGAATGAATATTAAATGAAACGCGCGCGCGCGCGTTCGCCTATTGATACCGACTAGAATGCATGCATGCACGCGCGAACGAACGAACGATCGATCGAACGAGCGAGCGAACGAACCCCCGTTCGCCCGCCCGCGAGCGCGCCTCGCGCTCGCGCGACCGCGTCCGCTCGCGCGCGCCCCCCTCACCGCTCTCGCGGCGCCTCCAACAACAACGGCTTGAGTATGTCCCAAGTCTTCGCCAACACCGCCGTCTTATAGCACAAAAACCCACAAAACGTCGCCCCGTACGAGAAATCAAACGGCAAATCCAACCGATTCCAGCACGCCGTGAACACGACGAGCGCCGTCGGCACCAACAGTCGTCTCTGCAGCAGCGCCCTCGAGTACACGCCGCCGACTTTGCCGAACGCGCCGCTCAGCATCGCGCCCACGTCCGTCACCGGTTCGTACACCAAATTTCGCGTGTAATCCGCCTCGCTGACGTTCCCATTTTCTAAGCTCTCGCTGACGCCGTCGACGTAGTCTTGGAGCAATCTGAGGTAGCCGAGCGCGCCCGCCGAGCCGAGCGCCGCGCTCAGCCCCGGCGCGACGCCGTACCCCAGCAGGCAGTACGCCGACAGCGCCGCGCCGTGCGCGAGCGTCGTCGAGCTCAGCTCCCGCTTCAACGCGACGTACTCCTCGTCGCTCATTCGCTTCTCATCGAGCGCGTCCGCGGGCGTCGCGCGACGCGGCGTCGCGATGTTTCCGCGCCGAGGGTTTCGTCGATTCGCATTCGGCGCCCGCGCGGCGCGTCCGAGCGCGCGCGCGTCCGTGCGCGTCGATCGCGACGTCGACGACGATCGCATCTCCGCCGCGACCGCGCTCGGGCGCGTCCAGACGGCGTCCAGCGCGCGCGACAGTGCGGATTGCGAAATTGCACTTTTTGGGGACGCGCCGAACGCGCGCGCGTTCGCACTCCTCGACGCGCCCCGGACGCGCCGCGCGTCATGCCTCCGCGCAAAAAAGCATCTTCGACCGACGCGCGCGGCTCGCGCGCGCGCGCGCCGGCGAAATCGGCGTCCAAGGGCGACGACGCGACGCGAACGCGACCGCGCGGTCGAATCGACGCGCCGCGCGCATCCTTCTTCTCGCGCCACGCCAACGTGTACGCGTACGCGCCGAATCTCGTCGGGTACGCCCGCATCGCGCTCGCGATCTGCGCCCTGAGGACCGCGTTCGCGGACGTGCGGACGTGTCTGCTGTGTTACTTCGCGTCGTTCGCGTGCGACGAGCTCGACGGCCGCCTCGCGCGGCGATACGATCAGTGCTCCGAGTTCGGTCGAGCGCTGGACATGATCACCGATAGGCTGGCGACGTCGGGATTATTGGTCGTGCTCGCGATGGAGCATCGAGAGTGGTACGCGACGTGCGTGGGATTGCTGGCGCTGGACGTGGCGTCGCACTGGACGCACGCGTACGTCCAGCTCATGATCGGCGCCGACGGTCACAAATCCATCGGCGACGAGTCCTTCTTTCTGTTGCGGTGGTACTACGGGAATCGGATATTTATGGGCGCGTGCTGCGTCAGCGTGGAGGTGCTGTATCTGTGTTTGCACGCGATGCGCGCGGATCCCGCGTTCGTCGGTTTTCGCGCGCTCGGGCCGCTGACGTTTTCGGCGCTCGCGCGTCTCGCGATTCCCGGGTTCGTCGTCAAGCAGATGGCCAACTGCGCGCAGTTGTTCGAGGCGTGCGAAACGTTGGTGAGGATCGATCGCATGGCGATTTAGCGCGGCCGCGACGCGTCCGGATGTAAAACGAATGAAATCCGTCTTCGACGCGCGTCGCTTCGCGTCGTCCCGCGGCGCGCTGGGTGTTACCCCGCACACCGTCGCGCGGACGCGCGCGTCGCGCGATATTTCGACGCCGAGTCGACGAACGCGTCGTCGACAAAGCTCGGCGTCATGCAGAGCGCCGAAAAACGCCCGCGGTACGCCCTGATCGACTGCGAAGACGACGCGAGGTGGCACGGCTTGGCCCAGTGCATCGTCAAACTTTTCGGCCGCGACGACGAAATCTGGCACCACTACCGCGCGTGCGACGGCGAGTTGCCGTCGAAAGAGATGTTCGCGACGTACGACGGCGTGGTGGTGTCGGGGAGCTCGCACAAGGCGGAGTGGGACACGAACGGGACGCCGCGGTGGACGCGAGCGCTGGGCGAGTGGCTGCGACGCGCGACGGACGATCGACATCCCGAGTACACGCGCGACGCCGACGGAGGAAAGAAAAAGGTGAAAATATTAGCGATGACGTTCGCGGGGTACCTGTGCGCGATGGCGAACGGGGGGGCGGTGGGGATGATTCCGAACGGCGGACACGTCGTCGGGGCGACGGCGATGAAGACGACGGAGGCGTGGCGACGATCGAAAGCGTTCGTCAAGGCGCGGGAGACGTACGGTGAACCGATGGATGGTAAGGGAGAGACGCTGGTGGTGCATCAAAATCGCGCGCAGAGGATTGAGCGATTGCCCGAGGGCGCGACGGCGACGACGACGAGCGGAGACGGGGAGATTGAAATGTGGACGACGCGCGATGGACGCTGTTTAGCGTGGCAGCACTCGTTCAGCGATGGCGTCGCGAGCGTGTTGTCGCACAAAGTCGAGAGCGGGCTCGAGGCGAGGCGGTCCGAGAAGAGCGCGGCGGCGGCGGGGGACGTAAAGCCGGATGATTTGCCAAACAACGACGCCGGGTTTCTCATCGGCGTCGCGCGCGCGTTTTTGCGCGACGGCGCGCTCGCGAGCGACGAAGACGAAGAATATTTACGCACTCGCCGCCGCGAGGCGCGCGAGACTTTGTCGTGGGCGGCGCGACGGAGAGAGGAAATCATGGCGGCGCGCGCGGCGCGCGGCGCGCGGCCCGGCGCGGCCAACGCCAAACGCGACGCCGCGAACGATGGTTCGACCGCGCCAGCGATCGTCGAGCGAGAAGAATCCGCGCGCACGCAAGCCATGGCCGCGCGCGCGTTCACCAAAATCGCCGACACCGTCAACGCCGAGCTCTCGCTCGCCGCGAGCGAGGTTCGATTTCTCCAAAACGCCAACGAAACCGCCGCTCGCGAGTACGACGCCGTCGGCGAATCCATCGCCGACTTGCACGTCTTCATCGGCGCATTAAAAGCCAAGGACGAGGCGATGAAACCAAAGTTAGACGCGATCTTAGCCATCGAAGGCGAGGTGGACGCGTTGGAGACGCTCGCGCGCGCCGTCGACAAGCGCGTCTCCGCGCTCGAGCTTCGTCTCAAATCCATCAAGTCCAAGCGCGCGAGCGCGACGTGAGCGCCGCGCCCGCGCGCGTGCCATTGTAAATTATTATTTTAAACCAGCGCTCGCTCGCGCGTTAGACGCGTTCCAATCGCCGCTCGCCTCGTCGAACGCTCGCCTCGCGTCCGCACACCGCGACGCCGCCCATCCCTCGCGATGTCCGATCGCGTCCCCGACGCCCTCGACGCCGTCACGAACGAAGATCGTTTCACCGTCGAGCTCGAGTTCGTGCAATCGCTCGCCAATCCGCGCTACGTCCACTTCTTAGCCTCAAAGGGCGTCCTCAGGGATGACAGATTCATCGCGTATCTCCGCTATCTGCGCTACTGGGAGCGCCCGGAGTACGCGAAATTCATCCTCTACCCCCACTGCCTGCGGTTTCGAAGGCTCCTGCTCGACGACGCCTTCCGCGTCGCGATGGAGAACCCGCGAAACGCCGAGCGCGCGTTCAAGGCGCAGTTTGAACGCTGGAGCGCGCGCGGCGCGGCGCCGAGCCGCGCCGACGCGGACGCGAACGCGTGACGGTTCGCGCGATGCGAGCGCGAAAAAGAGGGATTCGCGTCGCCGCGCGTCGACGACGACCCTCGCGCGTCGGCGCCGCTCGGCGCCGCGTCGCGCGTTGAAATTACACCGCGCGCGGCGCTGATTTAGGGTTTAGGGTTTAGGGTTCGCCGCGCGTCGACGCCGCACACGCCGACGCGGCGCCATGGCGTCCGCGGACGACCCCTCGCGCGCGCGCTTCGGCGCCGCCATGCTCGACGGCTTCGCCGTCGACGTCTCGCACCAGGAGATCGAGCGCGTCGTCGTCGAGCTCGAGGAACTGTACCGAAGCCAACCGGGCGAGTGGCTGCCGATCGCCGGCATCGGCGACTACCTCGCGCGCGAGCTCGGATACGAGGACCTGGACGAGTTCGAGGACGCGCTGAAGAGCGATTTCGCCGCCTTCGTCGGGAAACTGCCGCACGTGGTGATCTCGCGCGTGGAGAGCGAACTGACGCCGGGGACGTTTCGGGACGTCTTCAAGGTGACGACGCCGGCGGCGACGGGAAAAGCGGCGAAACCGCGCGTCATGCGATTGCGGGTGCGAAACAGAGAGGATCTGTGGCGAGTGTTCATGAAATCGCCGAACACGGCGCTGGAGATTCCGGAGATTGATTTTTACGTCGGCGGCGACGCGAAGCGCGCGGTGGACTCGGTGTACAACCACGTCGCGGCGTGCGTGTTCAATCTCGAGACGCACGTCGCGCACATGGCGACGAGCGCGGAAACCGAGGATGAGCGTCGAGGGATCTTGGAGACGTGCGAGGCGCTGCGAGGGATGTTGGATTTAGAGCGGGAGTTTACGCTCGTCGCGCGAGACGCCGACGGCGCGTGCGCGTTCAAACCGGACGACGGCGTCGAGATCGAGTACGTCGACGACGCGTGATCGAGCGCCGTCCATCGTAAAAAATGTATTAGCGCGCTTGTAACGCCGGCGCACGCTAGCTCGAACCGCGCGCTTCGATCGCGCGTCCCGTCCCGCGTCCCGAGCGCGTCCCGAGCGCGTCCCCGTCCCGCACACCTCGACGTCTCGCGACGCCGCCGCGACGCGTCGCGCCGCGACGACGCCGACGTCGACGACGCGCGCGCCGAGCGTCGCGAGACGCGCGAACCGCGCGATCGCGCGCGATGCGTCCGAGCGGTCGACTTTTGCGCGCCTTCAAGGGGTGGTTGGACACGCGCGCCGTCGTGCGCGTCGCCGGCGCGGACGCCGCGGCGTTTCTGCAGGTGCGCTCGATGTTTACGTATCGCCATCGTTTCAAAACTGACGCGACGACCAGGGCGCGGTGACGAACGACGTGCGCGCGCTGCGCGAGGGCGGCGACGCGGCGTACTGCGCGACGCTCACGCCGAAGGGAAAAATCTTCGCCGACGCGTTCGTTCGACTCGCCGGGAGCGAATCGGATGAATTTTTATTGGACGTCGATCGAGAAAAGTCGAGCGAATTTTTGCGCGCGCTCAGGATGCTGAGCCTGAGGAAACGGGTGACGATCGAGGACGCGAACGAGCATCGCGTCGTCGTCGCGAGCGCGGACGCGGACGTCGGGGATTCGAGCGCGCGCGCGGTGCGGAGGGACGAGCGATTGGAACAATTAGGGTTTAGGGGTATAGTGCCCGCGTCCGACGCGGCGTGGCGCGACGCGGTGGCGGACGCGCACGCGCGAACGCGAATCGCGCTCGGCGTCGCCGAGGGCGCGAGCGAGCTCGCGAACGCGTTACCGCTCGAGTGCAATTTCGACGCTTTGAACGGCGTGAGTTTCACCAAAGGGTGCTACGTCGGGCAAGAGAACACGGCGAGGCAGCGGTTTCGAGGGGTCGTGCGCAAGCGCATCGCGCCTTTCGTTGCGATCGAACCCGGCGCGCGCGCGCCGAGCGTCGGGGGAAAAATCGTAAACGAACGCGGCGACGTCGTGGGTGATGTCATCGCGGCGATCGAAGACGAGGACGCGGTCTTGGGTTTGGTGCGCGCGCGCATGAGTTTCATTCGCGCGCACGTTGCGGGCGAACCAGGGTCGGCGTTTCGAATCGCCGACGGCGCGCGCGTCGGCGTCGAGCCCCCGAGTTGGTGGCCGACCGAGTGGCTCGACGCCGCCGAGGAGTGAAGCGCCGAGGAGGAAAGAGTAGCTGCGTTTATAGAATCGTGCGTGCGCACGAGCTTTAGGTTTTATCACAAATCATTCGTTCTCATTCGTCCTCCTCGTCGTCCACGACCAACGCGCGTTTCTTTCGCTCCTTGGGCGCGCCGACGGCTTCGTCTTCGTCTTCGTCCAACGAGCCCGCGGCGACGTCCTGTTCCATCGCGCCCGCACCATCGCTACCGGCCGCACCATCGTTCTCCTCGGCCTCTAAGAAATCGGCGTCCATCCGCGCCGCGCCCCCTTCCGCGTCGACGTCGCCGCCGGCGTCGTCGCGTCGTTCGTAATACGACTCCGTGTACCCGCGATCGTTTCTCCCCCCCGCCGACCACATCCCCGTCCGCTCGCGGTCTTCCCGCATCATCTTCGCCTGTTTCCTCTCCAACGCCGCGCTCTCCCTCGCCGCGCGCTCTAGCTCCGCGTCCAACGCCTCCTTCTCTCGCTCCGGATCGACGCGCGACACGTACGCCATCGTCCGCGTCGCCCTCGATCCGTGCTTCTTATCGATCGCCGCCGTCAACCTCTTGTGCGTCCGCGAGTCCAACGTCGCGGGATTAAACGTCATCTTTGTCGTCAACCGTCGCTGCGCCTTCATCAACCCTTGTTTCCGCACGTACAAGAACGAATCCGCGTCCGCCACCGCCCGTTCGTCGCATCGCAGGTACTCGTCGCCGACGACCAAATGCGTCGTTCCATCGTCCCATCGCACGTAATACGCGTTACTCTCCGCCTCACCCGTGCTTTCATTCATCCTCCATCGCACCGTGTTCTCGTTCGAGGTCCTGATGCGCGTGACGCCGTCGACGTCGACGAATTCCTCGCGTTCGCCGTCGTCTCGATGCGTCGCCGCGTCGAAGGGTTTGGGCTCGGCGCCGAAGATGTTGCTCAATTTCGCAATCTTCGTCTCGTCCTCGATCGTCTCGCGCCCCGCTTCGGCGCTCGGCAGCTCTAATCGCAACGGTTCGCCCTTCGCTCGCGTCGCCGGGTCGTCCTCGTCGTTTTCCGCGTCGTCCGGGAGCTCTAAAGACGATTTAAACGTGGATTCGCGCCCGCGATCGTCGCGGTTTTCGAGCGATTCCGTCGCGACGCGGTCTCCGTCGTCGTCGTCTTCGCTGTCGGAACCAAAAATGTTCTTCACCAAATCCACGTCCGCCATGACGACGAGCGAAACCGCGCGAGCGACGCTCCGAGGCGCGATCTGGGGCGATTCCGGGGACGCCGCGCGGCGACGCGGCGACGCCGCCGCGCGGCGCGCGGCGCGAGCGACGATCTCGCGTCGCAAAACGCGGTTTCGACGTCCGAATAAATGAATAAATTTAAATGACGCTATTTTACACCGCGCGGCGGCGCTTCGTCTTCGTCGCGATGCCGCGCGCACTCGAACCACGCGTCGCGGCCGTGCGTCACGCTTGACTCGCCCAAACACCGAAACCCACCGCGACGCTCGTAAAACTCGATCAGCGCGCGCTTGCACAGCAACCTGATCGTCAGCACTTGATCGCGCGCGTCGCCGAAGACGCGCGCGTCGCGTCGGTCGTCGGCGAAGCCGATCCAGTCGTCGACGTAGCGCCGCAGCGCGGCGCCGCCGAAGCCGCGGCGTCTCGCGCTCGGCGACGCGCACACGCTGTGCACGCACAGCGTCCGCCCGAGCGGGTCGTGATTGGTCATCGTCGCGGCGTCCAGGGCGTCGCGCGCGGTGAGCGTGCCGCAGACGTACGCGACGACGGCGCCGTCGAGCGCGGCGACCATGAAGAATTCGCGCGCGTCGGTCGCGCGGGCGCGAAGCGTCGCGGCGGACGCGGCCTCGTCCGCGGGGTAGCTCGCGGCCTCCATCGCGGCGATGGCGTCGAGATCGGCGTCGTCGACGGCGCGGAACGTCAGGCGGTCGACGTCGGCCGACATCGCGCGTCGGCGCGTGCGGCGACTCTTAAGGGTGGGTGTTGTGTCGAGAGGAAAATATCTCGCGCGGCGGCGTCGCGACGGCGCGCGCGGCGACGCGCGCGCGGCGCGGACGGCGTTTTCGCGTCGCCGCGCGGCCTCGTCCGCGGTTCGGCGTCGTCCGCGTCGCGGAAGGCGCGCTCGGGACGCGCGTCGTCAACATTCGACAAAATTCGACGCGACAAACGTCGTTTGGTGTCCCGAGGACGCGCGACGCGCCGACGCGGACGCGAAAGCGCGCCGCGGATCGACATGCGCGTGTCGACGCGATTTCGAAACTTTGGCGTCGGCGTGCGCGTGCGCGCGGGACGCGGGCGGGCGTCGGTGCGACGCGCGCGGACGGTGCTGCCGGAGCCGGTTCGCGAGGACGAGGACGAGGACGCGACGCCGCGAGCGACGAGGACGTCGGCGCGTTCCGAACGCGCGATCGCGTCGATCGAGGACGAGGATTTGGAGCGCGTTGAGTTGGCGTACGAGGTGACGGTGCCCGCGCGGCGGGTCGACGCGCGGCGCGCGTTTGAAGTCGTGCTGCCGCTGATTTGTCCGCGAGACGCGCGTCAAGCCGAGGAGTGCGTGCGAAGGATGTCGTCGATAATCGATTGCGCCGTCGTCGACGACGGCGACGAAGAAACGATCGTGCGACAGACGAGTAAGTGGCGACACTCGGCGCTGATCGCGGGGAAGTCGGTGACGACGACTAGAATTCGTCGCGACGACGAGACGCTGTCGGTGACGTTCGACGTCGATACGCGCGGATGCGATAATAATTCGTCGACACTGCGGAAATACGTCGGTTTCACGGACGTGCGCGAGGTATCCGACGACGCGTTGGCGATTCGCATGCACGGCGTGGCGCAAATCGATCGCGCGACGAGCTTCGCGTCGCGCATGATTCGAGAAGTCATGCTCGGCGCGATGCACAGCCAGATGCGCGCCAGTCTCGTGGATTTGGGACGCGCGCTCAAGGAATGAGTGCGCTTTCGCCCGTCTATTACGTTTACAATGTTGCCGGCTAATCTTCTATTTTTGTGACTTTTTCGAGAGGAAGTCGGCGTAGAGCGCGTTCTTCTCCTTCTCCATCGCCGCGAGCGCGGCGACCGCTCGCGTCTCGCGCGCCTCGGCGAGTTCCAGCTCCGCGCGCGCGTGCTCTGACGCCGCTTTGAACTCAAACTTAGCCTTGGACTCTGAAATCAGCGCGCTCTGACTCTTTTGCAAATCATCCAACGCGCGCTCGACGCGAGACTTCAACGCGCGCTCCGCCTTGAAGCCGTCGTCGCGCGCGTCCTCCGCGCGCCGCTCCAAATCGACGACGCGCTGCGACAGCTCGCCGTTCCGACGCAACTCCTCGCGATGACTCGCGCGCGCCCGCTCCGCCATCGATTTCATCTGCGCGTTCGCGTCGTACAACGCGCGCACTTTTCCCCGCAGCTCGCCGTTCTCGCGCTCCAACCGCGTCGTCCGCTCCCGCTCCACCTTCAACGCGTCGTCGAGTCGAGCGTTCGCTCGCGACGTCTCCGCCTCATCATTCGCCTCCTCGGACCTCTTCTCGCGCGTCCTCATTCGCTCGCGTTCCATCGCCAGCTCCGTCGTCTCCAACGCCTCGATCAACTCCGACACCCGCGCCTCGCATCGCGCCTCGACCGCCTTCTTTTCCTTCGCCCGCGCCGACGCCGTCGCGCGTTCGAATTCCATTCGCATTCGTCGTTCCTCGCGATATTTCAGCGCCCACGTCTCGCTCTTCGCGCGCCACGCGTCCTCGCCCGCGGCGACGCTCCGCAGCGCCTCGCACGCGTCCGCCGCGGCGTCCCGCTCGGCGTTCGCGCGCGTCTCCGCTTCGTCGCGCCGTCGCGTCGCGTCGTCCCGCTCGAGCGCGGCGTCGCGTGACTCGGACAGCGCCGCATCGCGCTCGTCTTCGGCGCGTCGGAGCGCCTCGCGCAGCGCCGCGACCTCGCGCTCGCGGCGCGCGAGCGAGAGGGACAAGGTGTTGGCGTCGTTTTCGCGCGCGCTCGCGTCGACGAACGCGCGGAGGGGGGCGTCGAGGTCGACGACCGGTTTCTGGGCGCGCGTGGGCGCGACGTCGCGGTCGACGGCGTCGAGGACGTCGAGGAGACCTCGCGCGCGAAGGGCGAGGTCGCGCGCGCGAGACATGGCGACCGCGCGCGAGGCGCGATGTGACGTCGACGAATCGATGGATTGATACGATGTTGATGTGAAAAAGAGCTATGCCGTCGAGGCGGCGGATTGATTTTAATGTACTCGAGGGCGGCGTCGGACTAGTACGGGACGCATCCCGGCGACGCGCAGTAGCCCCAGCTGAGGACGTCCATGGTTTGGTGCACCTCGGCGGCTTGGTAGCCAACCTTTGCGAAGCCCTTGCTGCCCGTGGACGCGGTGAGACCGATGTAGGCGTTGCCGTCCGTGTCCAAAATCTTCGCCATGTCTCTGTCTTCCACGGCGACTTGGAAGACGTAGCGGTCCATGTCGTCGATGAAGACTTGAATCTCCCCGGGGAACTCCTTGATGATGTTGTAATTGATGTTCGAATCTTGCTTGGGATCGAACGCCGGTTGTTGAATGTCGAAGAAGCTTTGTCTGTCGGGAGACGTCGCCGTGCCCGTGTTTTCGAGTTGCGCTTCGGTGTCAGAGGTGATGCTGATGACGCGCGTCGCTTCGCCGTCGTCGGCGAAACCCGCCGTGCCGCTGACGACGGCTTGTCGCGAGCTGTCGAGAGTTTTGTCCCGGTTAATCTTCACCTTGACGTTCGCCTTGACGCGGCCGCCATAACCGAATTCAAAACCGGTTCGCAGCTCGGTTTTGAACTTGGTGCTCGAGCCAACCAATTTACGTCTGTCGGTCGAGCCGTCGGTGTGCGTCGTCGTGATTTGCCCAGTGCCCGCCTTCTCCGTGGTGAACCCGCGAGTGTATCTAATCTTCACCGTGTGCGCTAAACCATCCGCCATCGTCGGCACGCTCGGCGTGCTTCCGAAGTGCATGCCTTCGCTGTCATCGCTGTGATCGGCTTTCAAGTCGGTCACCGAGCTCCCCCACGGTTGGTTGTCGTAAAACGGCGCCGTCGTCATGAAGACGCCCAGGTGATTGTCGTTATAGGACACGTACTCGGTGGCGTTAATCCACCAGTGTTGCTTTCCTTGCTTCGGATCACGACGCTCGACGTTGTAGAAGGTGTCGAATTCCACCGCGAGCGACTTCTTCAAGCCGTTGGTGCACATGTCGGGCGTGCCGTCGTAATCCGCCGAGTCCACTTGCGTGGATTCTCCGTATCCCAAACCGTCGCCCGGGCACCCGACGAAACCGCCACCGTCGGTCAAGGACCCGCTCGCACCGCACAACTTGTACCTTGTGCCGGAAATCGGTTGCGGATTGGACGCGTCGTCGAACGTGCACGCCCAGCCTGTGTTGCCGTGCACGCTGTCCACCGTTTCTTGACGATCGTCGTTAGAGATGACGAACGCAAAGCCGTCGGCGCCGTCGCAAATTTGATCCGCGCCGCCGCATTGCGTGGGGTTGGTGATTTGGAACTCAAAGTTGGTCTCGAAACCATCCCAGATGTGTACTTTGCGGTGCCACCACACGGCGCCGACGCGCTGCGAGGTGCGGAAATCGGCGCTCGACTTCCACGGAGATCCGAGGGCGGAGTTACCGTTCGTTCTCGCGAACGCTTCGGTCAGTCGCACGACGTACTTGGGCGACGCATCGTTATTTTTCACCACCGACGCATCGCCCGCAAAACGCAGGTTGTGCTGAATGCAGTTGTTGATCCACGTCTTGTTCCCACCCCACGCCGAGCCCTCACGCGTTCCGGTAGGGTTGGAGTCGTCGACGAAGGAATCGTCGCACGCGAAGTTTGGAAAGTCAAACTCCATGTAAAATCTCGCGCTGTATTCGCTCGCACCGACGGTTTGCGGGTAGCGGTTATCGCCCATGATACCGATCGTGAGTTGATCGCAATTCGGCGACGCGTCGTTGTGGATGTAGTGTCCGAGCGCTCGCGCGTACGCAAACGCTGACTTCGAGCTGTCGGTGGTGTACCCGCCGAGAACGGCTTGCTTCAATTCCCCGCTGCTCGCTTCACCCTCGTCCGGGCCGGCGCAGAGCACCAAGGATTCGCCGACTGAAAGCGCCCAGGGCACGGATTCGCGCACCGACGTGTGACCGTAAGACCCAGTCGTGGGTCGCGTCGTACCGACGGTGGTGTACAAATCGAGGTTGTCGTTCACGGTGTGCACGGCGATGCGGAAGTCGTAGTCGCCCATGTCCGGCTTCAAATAGTAGTACGCGTACTGTTGAGGATCGACGACGGAGGAGACACGGAAACCGCAGCACCCCGGATCGATTTCGCAATACTTGTGCGACCAAGTTTGGTAAAAGGTTTGCAGAGGGTGGCGCAAGTACGCCCCGGCGTTGTCGTCCGCGACGATGGTAGTAGTGTCGTCGTGGACCCCCGAGCCCCCGCCCCCGCCATCGCCGAATCGCCCGCCCGCACACTTGAGCACCTTGACGTCAGTGCCGGAGTAAGCGTTGGCAAAAGTGTCGATCGAAACCACCGTCGCAGTGGTATCATCAGTGATGGCGGTCACGCGAGCGTCGACCGGCCCGTTGGCGTTGGCGTCGCGCACGATGTCTCCGAGTTGAAGCTCGGTCAAAAACTTGCTGCCGACCCCAGCGAGTGTGCCGGCGGAGTGGGTGAGGGTAAAGCCACCCGTTTGCGTGAGCGCCTTTGCGGGCCGATGGGAGTCACCCACGTTCGCCGGAACGCACTTGCCGTGGTTGTAGCAAATCGGCGGGTTCGCGTTGTCGTCCGTCATGTACCGCTCGCCTTCGGTGGAGATGTAATACCGACAGTTTTCAATGTCGGCGACGTGGAGTCGCCACTCGGAACCGACGTCGACGGTCTTATCATCCCACTTGACGTAGACGCCGATACCGGAACTCACGCCTGAATCTTGCAGTTCAACCCACGCGGTGTGGTAGGCGCCCGCGGCGCCGCCAGAGTTGGCGAAGTTTTTCCAGTACGTGGTGTACGAGTAGGTGTGGGGGGAAGCCGTGTTCGCGCCCGACGTGTGCACGAGTTGCACCGTCACGCCTCGAGGCCAGAGCGGAAGAAGTCGCGTCAAACCGCGGACGTGCAGCGTCGTGATCGTTGCCGTGCCGCTCCCATTCTCCTTCTTGACGAACTCGCGGTTCCCGAGCGTGAAGGGACGATCGATGGTGAGCTCGACGTCGGACTGAATCGAGTTGACCATTCTCGTCTGCCCGCACGCGGTGATGGTGTATCCCGTGCGCAACTGCGTCAAAAAACGCGTGTCGCCGTACGTGCCTTGGGAAGAGAGCGAACCGGGCGCGCTTGGTGCGGTACCGTCGATGTCTTCGAAGAGTTCCTTGTTGTCCCAAGAGTTGGAGACGACGCGCTTGCCGTACGAACGAACGGTGCCGTAGCCCTTGGTGAGCATGGGGAACCATTCCCAGTGCGTCGCCTTGAGAAGAGGCTCGGAGAACGAGTTGTGTAACACCATGATGTACTCGGCGAACGTCGTCGTCGTGCCGATTTCTTTCACTCGAACCGTTTCCCAGTCGCCGTTGATTTGAACGCTCATCCAAGGCCCGGATGTGTGATACTTGGCGGCCCACGTGCTCGAGGCGCCCATCTGCGACTCGAAACGCGTACCGCGACCGTGAATGCGATGAGAACTCATCGTCGCACTTCCACTGGCGTCCGACAAGTGACCCGCGTCCTCGTACGGCGTTTCCGACGCGAGTTTGGTGTTTTCGGCGATGACGGCGGTACCGTGCACCGCGTTCAAGGTGTCTTGACTGTGGTACGTTTCAATCGTCCCCAGACCGACGTTTCGCTTACCGATGCGCGGCGGGCACGAGACGTAGCCCCAAGAACCCAAACCGGTGAGGAATCCGGTGATATTGTAATCGACGGTGAGCGACGTTTCGCTGGCGATGGCTGTGATGACGCGGTAATCGACGACGTCGTTCGCCTTGTATACGACGATCCAGTAGCCAACCTTCAGCTCTTGCAAAAACTCCGTGTTGGTACCATCGATTGTCAACGCTTCTGTCGTCGCACTGTTCGGTCGCGCCGTCGTCGTGGAGCTCGCGGCGAGCGTGCCCGTGCCCGTTCGCGCGGCGACGCCGAACGCCACCTCCGAGCCCGCCGACACCGCCGCCGGCGACGGCGACGGCGCCAGCGTCATCGACGTATCGCTGTGCACCGCCAACACCTCATGCACAGCCGTGTTCGCGATGTCGTAAAACTTCGCCCCCGATTTCGTCCCGCCGTGAAACTGCTGCGTGAATCGCGTGTTCACCCCCGTCACCGCCGCGCCCGAGGTCGAGTACCGCCCCTCCCCTCCCACGAGCGTCGGCACCCCGCTCACGAGCCCGCTCACGTGATCGCCCGCGTTCACGTCTCCGTACCCTCCCTGCGAGTGCGGATCGTGTCCGCACCATCCGCACGACGTGTCCGCGACGCACGCGCCGCAATTCGTGTAGTACTCGCACCCCGCGATCGCGCCCCGCGTCGCCGCCGCGATCGCCGCGATCGCCAGCGCGCCCGCGAGCGCTCGCGACGCGCGAACCATCTTTAATCGACGTCCGCGCGCGCGTTCGATCGCCGCCCGCGCGCGCGCCGACGCCGCGAGCGCGGTCGAGAGATTTGAAATTCAAAACGATGCGATGATCGGAATTCGGCGCCGAAGGATCGCGTGTCTTCGTCGTTTCTTCGCGTCGTTCGCGCGCGCGAGCGGCGTCGGGCGTCGAGTGAGGGCGCGCGCGTCGGTCGCGCTCGGTCGCGGGTCGCGAGAGGGCGGCGCGCGCGCGCGTGTGCGGCGAACGCGTCGACGGGCCGCGGGCGCGGTTCGAACGGCGCGAAAACGTGTTGGTGATTTTGGGTGTGATTGTATGGTGCTTGAGTACGCATTGTAGTGGTGTTTGAAGCTATGAGAGTGGTTGTTGTGTTACAAAGACGCGCGTCCGGAGCCGCGGCGACGCGAATCGCGGACGGCGGGTCGAGACGACGCGCGCGTCACTTTTTCTCCGCGGCGGCGGCCTCGGCGGCGGCCTTGGCGGCGGCCTCGAGATCGGCGCGAACCTTGTTCAGGTCGCGACACTGCGGCCCGGGCGGCGGCTCCAAGAGCGTCGTCTGCCCGGGGAGCGGTTCCGCCTTATCGCGCGTTTGCGACCCGACGCGCGGCGATTTCCCAGCCTTTAACTCTTCGCACACGCGCACGGCGGATTGCGGGGTCAAGTCTTCGTAATAATTGTACGAGTACCCCTCGACGCCCGCTCTGTAATCCGCCACGGCGATCATCGGCGCGTTCACGCAGCACCCCATGCACTCCATCTCCCCGAGCGTGAACATCCCATCCTTGGTCGTCTCAAACTTCTCTACCCCCATGTATTCGCTCAGCGCGCGCTCGATGTCTCGCGCGCCTCGCAGCATGCACGGCGTCGTCCCGCACACCATCACGTGCAGCTTGCCCATCTTTTGTCGATTAAACATGGAATAAAACGTCGCCACCTCGTACACGCGTATCGGCGCCACCTCGCAGATCTCCGCGACGTGATTCATCAGCGACAGCGACAGGTGTCCCGCGTTCTGGCGCTGCGCGAGATCGAGCAGCGGGATCATCGCGCTTCGTTTGTAATTCGTCGGATACCGCGCCAAGATTTCATCCACCCTCGGTTTGGTCGCCTCGTCGAACGACCACGGCAGCGAGGCGTTGTCCTCGGGCGTGTCCCTGTGGACGAACTGTTGGACGGAGTACGACTTGCGCGTCCACGCGCTCGACGCGGCGCTCGCGCGCGCGCGCGCGGGCGTCGCGAGCGCGGTAGGGTAAGCGATCGAGGTCGCGGTCGCGGACGGCGCGCGCGGCGCCGCGCGCGCGCGACGGGCGCGCGCGGCGAGCGCGAGGGCGCCGTCGGCGATGCGTTTGCGCGCGGACATCGCGCGAGCGCGAGCGGGGCGGGCGCGACGAGGTGTGACGCGACGAGGCGAGGGCGAGGGCGAAGCCGAAGCCGAAGCCGAAGCCGAAGCCGAAGCCGAAGCGAGGAGAGAAAGGCGCGAGACGTCGATGTCGATGACAACGCGCGATCACGAGGCGTGATTTATCGATATTTGCGCGCGCGCGATGGACGCGCGCGAGGCGAAGGCGCTCGCGGCGCTCACGCGGAGGGCGCCAACGCGAGGACGCCGCACGCCAAGCGCTGCGCTCGCGTAAACCGAAGCGATCGATCGTCCGTCAGTCGAAAGCCGCGTGCGCGAAAAACGAAACCCTAAACGCGCGTCGAAATCGCGTCGCGTCGAGTCGCGATCGTGGAAATCGCGTCGAAATCGCGTCGTCGACGCACCGCTCCGGCGTTGCCCGTCGTCTTCGACGTCTTGCCCTGGGTGCCGATCTCAGAGCTATCGCCCTTGCCGAGATCGTCCTCGAGCTCGTGAATCACGAACGCGCGTCCGATGATCGAGTTCGCCCCGCTCAGCGGAATCTGCGAGTCCTCGATGACGAAGTCGCACCCGCCCGCGGTGGCCTCGACGTTGCCGAGGTCGCCCGCGTGTCGCGTCGCGTCCGTCGGCGCGCCGTGATCCATCTTGTTCGGGTTAAAGTGCGGTCCCGTGGACATGCACCCGTTCGTCGTATCGCCGAACTCGTGAATGTGCAGGCCGTGCTTGCCCGGCGCGAGTCCGGTGATGGAGCCGACGACCTTCGTCGGCGCGTCGCCGCTCTGGCTCAGCTTGAGCACGCCCGACACCCCCGCGGTGCCCGTGAGCACGCACACCGCCTGCTTTTGCTCCGCCGTCACCGCGACCGCGCGAGGGCGATGCGCGGACGTCTTCGTCGACCTGCGATCGCGCGCGCCGGCGTTCGCGCGCGCGTCAGTCGTCGCGTTCGTCGCGGGTTTAGGTTCGTCGCGTCGTCGCGCGTCGTCGCGCAGCGCGTCGCTCGAGCGCACCGCGCGCACGCGCACTTGGCGCCGCAGAGGTGGGTCTTGGAGGCGAGCGTCGCCGATCGGGAGAGCGTCTGCATGGCGCGGCGTCGGGCGTCGTGTGTCGGCGATGACGTGGCGAGGGCGCGAACGCGCCCTCGTCGCCATCATTCGAGGGCCTTTATATACGTATATTTCGTAGAAATATACTTTATATTCGGAAACATGTCGTATGGGTATTGTGTCTGTGGTTATAATTGGTAGTATCCGAATATTCGGACACACGGCGTATGCGTATTGTGTATATACACATAATTGGTAAAAGTCCGAGCGCGCCGACCGTCGGCCGCGCGCCGCACGTCGCGACGCGCGATCGCGCGACGCCCGATCGCGTCCCGCGCGACGCCCGCGGACCTTCTCGACGCCTCGACCCGATCTTAACCGCCCGCGACCCGCGCGCGCGACACCCGAGGCGTCACGTCGACGACGACGCGCGTCATGATTCCGTCGACGCCGCGCCTTCGCGCCGCCGCGCCGCGTCGCGTCGTCGACCGCGCGTCGCGATCGCGAACGCGGTCGCGATGCCGACGCGCGCTCGAACGCGCCGACGCGCGGACGAAAGACCTCGAGCGGGCGTTGGAATTCATGGTGGAGATGCGGTGCGGAGGGTGCGCGGCTAAGGTGACGACGGCGTGCGAGGCGCTCGCGGGCACGACGCGCGTCGACGCGTCGCTCGGGACGAACACGGTGACGGTGATCACGCGCGATGCGGAGCGAACGGTCAGGGAGGCGATCGAGAGCGCCGGGTATAAGGCGCGATTGATCGGGCAGGGGCGCGCGGAGCGAAGCGCCGAAGACGACGACGATTTCGGCGAGGCGCTGGCGGAGGCGCTGGGCACGGACGTGCGGACGCTGCGACAGAGCCTGGCGGCGGTGGCGGAGTTTAAGGGGAAGGCGTACGGGCACGGTGAGGCGCGAGGGACGGTGCGGCTGGTGCAGGTGAGCGAGGAGACGATATTGGCGGAGGCGGCGCTGGACGGGTTGAGTCCGGGGGCGCACGCGATTCGCGTGCACGAATACGGGGATTTGACGCGCGGGATGGATTCGATCGGGGACGTGTACGGGGGGGAGGGAGGGGCGGGGATGATCGGGATCGTCGTCGCGGACGAGAATGGGTCGGCGACGATGCCGTCGACGATGTTGAGCTCGGAGCTCAAGGCGTGGGACGTCATCGGTCGAAGCGTCGCCGTGTACGCCGCCGCGGACGGCGATACGACCGGCGCGGTGTGCGCCGTGCTCGCTCGAAGCGCGGGCGTGGGGGCGAATCATAAAAAGTTGTGCCAGTGCGATGGGACGATCATCTGGGAGGCGGGCGAAGATTTCTTGCCCCGCGCGGTGGACGAATGCGACGCCGCGAGACCGCTGCTCGGCAAAGGAATCACCACCGCTCGGCGCGGGTGAGAATAGCGCGCGTGTAATGATGATTGCGATGATTGATTGATTGATGAATTGATGCTTAAAAAGGACGTTATCGTTGAGATTGTTATATTCACTTGATCTTGATGAGCGAAGGGAGCTTGACGCCGTCGATGGCGCGTTTCGCCTCGGCCCACGTCTTCGTCGTTCGCGGCGGCGGAGTCGGCGGCGGCGGCGGCGCGAAAGGTCTCGGCCGCGGTATCACCATCGTCGACTTCTTCGGCGGCGCCGCGGGCACGCTGGACGATGGCTGGTTTTCTTCGTGCGTCTTGCTCGACGGCGGCGCCGCGAGCGCCGGCGAATCGTTCGTCTTCAACGCCGGGAATTCCTTCAATCGCGACTCTCGATCGACGGCGCTTTCGGCGTCGCTCGAGGGGGTCGCGGACTCGGACGTCGATTGCGATGCGACTTTCGGCTTGGGTGGAAAATCCGGTAGCGCGGACAGCCCCGTCGGCGGCGGAGGCGGAGGCGGAGGCGGAGGCGGCGCGGCGGCGGCGACGGCGGTCGATCTCGGCGCCGGGATGCGCGCCGGCGGCTTTCCACTCGGCAACGGCGGCGGATTCGGTGGCAGCGGCGGTGGATTCGGCATCGTCGCGACGGTTGGTCTTCGAGGCGCATCCATTTCCTTCGCGAACGTCGGTCGCGGCGGCGTGTTGGGCTTCCTTCGCGATCGCGCCGCCGTCCACTCGCCGCCCGAATCCGAATTCGCCGCGTCTTCGAGCGTCGGTTCGGGGGTCTTCGATCGCGGCGTCGTCGGCGCTTCGGGTTCGTCCTCGGCGTCGTCAGCGACGGTGATTTCATCGCGCTCGACGTCGCGCGCGACTTTCGTCAGCGCTCGCTTCGCCTTGGACGACGAAGATTTCCGTTTCTTCTTCGAAGACGCGCCGCCGGCGGATCTCTTAGAGTTGGCGTCGCCGCCGCGGAGAACATCGTCGTCATCTTCGAACGCCTTGAGCGCAGCTTCCAAACGCGCGTCGTCCAGTGCTTTAACGTGCTCTTTGACCGCACCGCTCACGACTTTCACGAACGTCGCGCACTTTGCGAGTTCGATGCCGTACGCCAAGTGCGCGCCCTCAAGATTGAGCGCTCGAACGACGCGGTCGACGACGCCGTCGAGGGCGGTGGATTTGTACCTGTCCATCACGGGTTGGATTCTTCGATGCAAACCTTCGACATCGTAATTTGTCGACGTCGCGCCGGCGTTCGTGGAGGAAGCGCCGCCGCTCGCGGCGGAAGTGATGGCTCGAAACGAGCGCTTTAAATCCCGCATGACGTCTCGCAGGATGACTTTGACGTCGAGCGCACGATCGGCGTACGCCTTGTCGACAACGCGCGACGAATCACCGTCACACGAGTTCAACGCTCGCGTCGCCAGCACGCATTCTTTGGCGTGGCGCTCGATCTCTTTCGCGCTCGGTGCCGCGACGGCGAAAGAATTCCTCGCGTGATCCAAATGCTTATTCAGCACGATTTCCAGCGCCTTGGAATCCCCGGGCGGCGTCACGTGCTTGTAACACATTTCGTTCTCGCGAAGATAAAACCGCGTGCGCTTCTCGGCCAGACGGAATTCTTCCACACCCAGCTCGAGCGCCGCGGTGACGTCGCGAAATTCGCACCAGGCGCCGAGCGCGCGCGTCAAGAGCTCACGTCGCTGAATCGCGAGCAAATCCGCGTTGTCGTCGCGCACGAGCTCGGCTAGCTCAAGCATCGCTCGTTCGGCGTCGCGCTGCTCGGCGAGCCAAGACTTGACGAGGTTATGAACGCTTTCAGAAGTTTCGTCGTCCATGCGCCTGACGACGTCGAGATCGTGCGCTTGTTTAGCTTCATCCAATCCGCCCGAGGCGTCGACGAGCGGCGGCGCGGGCGCGTCGACGCTCGTGTCGAACTCGCGATCACCGAGCGTCGCCCGCGAATCGCGACGTTTGCTTCGAATCGTCGCGAATCGATGTAAACACTCGAATCCTCGGCGCACCCAACGCTCGACGTCGACGTCGTCGCGTAAACCGATGGAATCCTCGCCGCGACGCGCGTAATCGCGCGCGTCTTCGTCTTTGACCAAATCCTCGTTCGCGCGACGCGGACGTCGCGCGTCGTCGTCGTCGTCGTCGCCACCGCCGACCGCGTCGACGACCGCACCGCCGCTTTCATCGACCGCGAGCGCGCGCAACGTCTCCATCGCCGCCGCGAGCGCGTCCGAAGCGTCCGTCCCGCGTCGCCCCGTCGCCGTCGTCTGCGCGCCTCGACGCCCCCCCGACCCCGACCCCGACCGTCCCATCGTCCCCATCGACGCCTCCGCGCCCACCGCGCGTTCGATCGCGCGTTCGATCGCGCGCACCGACGCCGCCGCGCGTCTCCCGCGCGCGCCCACCCGTCTCGCCACCGCGCGCGCGTCCTCCTCCGCGTCTCCCTCCCCGTCCACCAGCATCGCCGCGAACGCCCCCCGCGCCGCGTCATCGTCCCGCAGCATCGCTCGCAGCGTTCGATCGAGCGCGCGTCGCGCCCTCGATCGCGCGTCGTCGTCGTCGCGCGCCGTCGCGCGCGCCATCGCGGAAGACGAACCGTCCCTTCGATCGCCGTCCCTTCGCGCGCGTTCGTTCGACGCGCGTCGTCCGTCCTCGCGCGGTCGACGCGCGCCGCGCGCGCGTCCGTCGTCGTCGTCGCGCGCCGCGTCCGTCGCGCGCCCTCGATCGCGCGTCGCGCGTCGCGATGTCGCGCGTCGTCGTCGCGCGTTGACCCGCGCGTTGACCGTCGCCATCGTCGACGTCGCCCTATATATAATACGACGCGAAACCTCATATAATCCTCATCACGACACCCAACAGTCACACACACGTATGTCTCTCATCATTACTAAGTACCTTACGACTATATATACATATACCGTATGTCCGATATATGTTTATAGGTATCCGTGTACGTATATTAGTAAAATAACGTCGAGCATTCGACCGACGTTCCTGAGCCAGTCGTTACGCGCGCCATTTTCCGCCGCGTCGCGAATCGCCGATGCGCGCCGCGTCCCTCGCGCAGCGCGCCGCGCTCGCGCCTCGCCGCGTCGACGCCGAGCAAAGGTGCGCGCGCGACGCCCGCGCGACCGCGACGCCCGATCGACCGCGAACGCGAACGCGCGAGACGATCGCGTCGCGACGGACGGATCTCGACGAGACGCGCGACGGATCGACGCGAACAGCGCGCGACGACGCGCGCGAGCCGCGAGAGACGCCGGATTCAAACGCGTCTCGCGCGTCGTCGGCGTCGCGCGACGGATCGACGCGCGCGCGGCGCGAGGGCGGCTCGGGACGCGCGACGCGGGACGGAGGATAAGACGAGACGCGAGAGAGACGACGAGCGGACGCGAGACTGACGGATGCGCGCGATGGGACGAAACGATAGGCGAACGGGAAGTGGGAAACGATGCGCGAAGCGCGCGACGCGATGCGATGTGGCGCAATCGCCGGAACGGTCGACGACGGCGATCGCGAACTCGAAGACGGTGGCGGCGGTGATCCTCGGAGGCGGGGCGGGGACGCGATTGTACCCGCTCACGAAGAGCCGAGCGAAACCGGCGGTGCCGATCGGTGGGGCGTATCGATTGATCGACGTCCCGATGTCGAACTGCCTGAACAGCGGGATCTCGAAGGTTTACATTTTGACGCAATTCAACAGCGCGTCGTTGAACCGACACTTGGCGCGCACGTACAACTTTGGTAACGGGATCATGTACGGTGGGAATGGTTTCGTGGAGGTGCTGGCGGCGACGCAAACGCCGGGTCAAGGCGGGAAGGAGTGGTTCCAAGGCACCGCCGACGCCGTGCGACAGTACTCTTGGTTGTTCAACGACGTCAAGAACAAGGACGTCGAGGACATCGTCATCTTGGCGGGCGATCACTTGTACCGCATGGACTACATGAAGTTCGTCGAGGCGCACAGAGAAAGCAACGCCGACATTACCGTCGGTACGTTGCCGATCGACGAAGAGCGCGCGAGCGATTTTGGTTTGATGAAGATTGACTCGTCGGGACGCATCGTCGAATTCACCGAAAAGCCCAAGGGCGACGCCCTGCAAGCGATGAAGGTGGACACCACCATTCTCGGTTTGACCGCGGCCGAGGCCGAGGCGAAGCCTTTCATCGCTTCCATGGGGATTTACGTCTTCAAGAAGTCGATGTTGGTCAAGTTTTTGGACGACGACTACCCCGAAGACAACGACTTTGGCGGCGAAATCATCCCGAAGGCGAGCGCCGACGGCGCCAGAGTGCAAGCGTACTTGTTCAACGATTACTGGGAGGACATTGGAACCATGAAGAGCTTCTTCGAGGCTAACTTGGCCTTGGCCAAGGACCCGCCGAACTTTGAGTTTTACAACGCCGAAGCGCCGATTTACACTTCGCCGCGCTTCTTGCCGCCGGCCAAGATTGAACGGTGCCACGTCAAGGACTCCATCATCTCTCACGGTGCCGCTCTCGCGGATTGCTCCGTCGAAGAATCCATCGTCGGTTTGCGCTCGCGCGTCGAAGCGGGGACGAAGATCAAGCGCACCATGATCATCGGCGCCGACTTTTACGAGAGCGAGGAGAAGCGTAAAGCCATCTTAGCCGCCGGCGGCGTCCCGGTCGGGATCGGCGAGAACACCATCATCGAGAACGCCATCATCGACAAGAACGCGCGCGTCGGGAAGAACTGCGTCATCACCAACAAGGACAACATCGAAGACTTGGCCGACGAAGAGCGCGGCGTCTTCATCCGCAACGGCATCGTCACCATTCTCAGAAACTGCACCATCCCCGACGGGACGGTCATCTGATCGATCGATCCCTTCCGGACGCCGCGCCGAGCAAATCACGCAAGCGATAATCACAAAAGACCTAGTTCAGCATGTAAATCGACCTATCTCTTGATTGAGCGTCTCGCGCGCCGCTCCGCTCGCCGTCTCGCGCGCGTCCCGCGTCCGCACTTTGCCGCGTCGCTCGCGCTCCGTCGCGCGCGCGCGCGTCGTCGGGTCCGATGCACGCGAATGGCTACGCGCGCAACGCCTCGGTCGAGCTGTACTGCTTCTGCGTCGTCGCTCTGGGTCTGATCCTGTACGGCTACCCGGTGGGTGTTACGAACGTCATGCTCACCTCGCCCGCGCAATTCCAGCGCGACGCCGGATTCGAGGGCGACGTCGAGACGCTGGGAATGCTGGTCAGCGCCAACAGCGCCGGCGCGCTGATCGGGTGCGCGCTGACGCTGGTGCCGACGCGCGGCGTCGCGGCGGCGGACGCGCTGGGACGAGTGGCGCTCGTCAAACTCGGCGCGGGATGTTACGCCGCGGCGTCGCTCGCCATGGCGCTCACGCCGATGAAATTGAACGAAATATTCGGCAGTCGCGCGGTGATACGTTGGTTCGCGGCGTGCCGGTTGTTGTACGGGATCGGGATGACGCTGACGTACGGCGGCGCGGCGGTGTACGTGGCGGAGTTGATGTCGCAGCAAACGCGCGGGTATTACTTGCCGATGATGAGCGTGATGACGATGACGGGGGATTTGCTCGGGAATTTCGTGGGGATGCCGTTGGAGCGCGCGGCGGGAGGATGGCGCGTGCTCGCGGCGTTGCCGGTGCCGGTGGCGTTGGGGTTTTACGCGTACGCGCGCAAGCTGCCGGATTCGCCGCGGTGGGAAGTGTTGAACGCGACGAACGCGGCGCAGCGCGAGGGAGAGGCGAGAAGGAGGGCGGCGGCGGAGAAGAAACGCGGAAAGCGTGGGTTGTTTGGACGCGGCCGCGATTCGAACGCGCCGTCGGATTCGGAGAGCGAGAACGAACCGTCGTGGACCGCGCGAGACGTCGACTTGACGGCGGCGCGGCGGTCGCTGGGGATTTTACGAAATGAATCCGCCAAGGCGTCTTTTTCCGTCACCGACGCGTGCGTACGTCGATCGAGATCCGGCGGCGCGGGAGGTTTGCTCGCGCCGCCCAACCCCGACGCGCAGAGTAAACAAATGAAGAAGGAGATTGAACAGGAGCTCGCGGAAATCATCGACGTCGTAAAAACTGGTTCGAAGAACGGGCGCGATTGCGCTTCGGCGGTGAACACCGACGCGAGTAAGCGCGCGATGACCGTGGCGTTTGGTTTATCCATCATGTCGATGTTGAGCGGCGTTCCGGCGATGAGTTACTTCACCAAACACATCTTCGAGATGACGGGGCACACGCCCACGGCGGCGAGCGGGATGACGACGGCGCTTGCCTTGTGCAAGCTCATCGTCACAATCTTCGTCGCGATGTCCCTTGAAACTTTTGGACGACGACGAATGCTACTCATCGGTATATCCATTCAGGGCGTCGCGATGACGCTCTTGGCGTTTCTCTTCGACGGCGTCACGTGGATCGAGGACCCGCGACACGCCGTGTCGTTTCAGCTCTTGAACGGATCCATCGCACAAGTCGCCGACGTCGCGATTTTCGTCAACGCCGTCGGGTTTCATCTCAGTTTTTGGGCACTCGCGTGGACGGTGGCGAACGAATTGAGCCCGCTGCGCACGCGAGCCACCATCATGGCCATCAACTCGATGTTTTCCTGGACGCTCAGCACGGTGACGGTTCGCTTCCTCCCGGTGATGATGAAATCTCCGGGAATTTCCGCCACCTTTGGCTTTTGCGCCGTCAACCTCTATGCGACGATCATTTTCGTCTACTTGTACGTCCCGGAAACCAAAGGACGGACGCTCGAAGAGCTGGAAATCGTCATGACCAAGTCTTCGAGCCTTCGCGACGTCGTGCGTCGCTTGAATCGACCCGACGAAGACGACGATTTGAAACCGCTCGCCGGCGCGCTTTGAGCCGCCATAGCACTAGCATAATATTAGATTTGTATTGACCAGCGCGCTTAGCACGACTTCGGCGCCGTGCGTCCCCGCGCGCTTTCGCTCGCCGCCGCGCCGGCGCTCGACCGTCCCGCTCGACCGTCCCTCACATCCAAGCGCGCGGTCGAATGCCCATCGGCGCGCGCGCGTTCGCCGTCTCGGCATCGCGTGCGCCCGTGCGATCGCAACTCCGCGCTCGCGCGCGCCGCGAGCGCGCCGACGGCGTCGCGAGACGACGATTTATCTCGCACAAAGGGGACACCCTCAAGCCTTGTGAATCAGTTCTACCGCGCGCACGCGCGCGCGCGAGCGATCTCGCGCCTCGCGACGGCGTAAACTTGCAGACCATCATTTTGAGCAAGCTCCCGAGCGCTCGCGCGGACGTGGCGACGATGACGTCGGGAGATGCGACGAAGATTTTTTTCACCGCGCTCGCGGCGCTCGCGCTCGTCGCGGCGCGCGCGGCGGCGCGCGCGCTGACGACGCGCGAGGCGAAGAAACGCGTGGTGATCATCGGTGGTGGATTCGCTGGGATGCAAGCGGCGCTGGATCTGCGGAAAACGTGCGAGGTGACGCTGATTGATAAGAAGCGGTATTTCGAATACGTCCCGGGGACGCCGGCGGCGCTCGCGGGCGCGGCGCCGTTGAGTCCGGCGTCGCGCGGAGACTCGGCGAAGAAACGCGAAAAGACGCTGACGGTGCCGTATAGCAAGGCGCTCGGAAAGAGCGTGGCGTTCGAATGCGCGGCGGGACGAGACGTGCGGGTGATGAGCGCGTACGTGGACGTCGGCGGCGACCGCTTTGAATACGACGAATTGATACTCGCCACCGGGAGTCATTATCCGGGCGTGTTGAAAGCGGAGTGCGACGGTGAGGCAGGAGAAGACAGAGATGCGAGAATGCGAGAGATCGCCGAGGCGCGAGAGGACGTGACGAAGGGGAAATCGGTCGTCGTCATCGGAGGCGGCGTCGTCGGCGTCGAGGTCGCGGGCGAACTCGCGGCGAGAAACGCCAAGATGAAATCGGGTGCGCGCGTGATTCTCGTGCACAGCGGCCCAAGGTTGCTCGATACGTTGCCCAAGTTTGTCAGTGAGTATGTGTCGAAAACGCTCGTGAGATTTGGGGTGGAGGTGTACGTCGGGCAAACGTACGACCGCGTCGGCGACTCGTTCGTCGGGCGAATGAACGAAAACGTCATCGAGGGCGATAGGGTCATGATGTGCGTCGGCGCCAAGCCCGCGACTGAGTTCTTGGATCGGGAGAGCGTGAACTTCAGCGAAGATGACGATGACTCGCCGCTAAATTTTCCGCTCGACATGATTGGGCGCGTTCGAGTGGACGAGGCGACGCGTCAAGTCATCGGCTACGACAACGTCTACGCCGTCGGCGACTGCGCGTGTAAATTACCGGACCAGATGCTCGCTTCGTACGCGCACTGGGAGGCCGAATACGTGTCAAAGCGAATCATGTGCGACGGCGACGCTCGCGCGCTCGGGAAACTCGGCAGATATCGTCTTCCGCCGCGGTTGATGGCGATTTCTCTGGGCCCGTTCGCGGGCGTCGTCGTCTGGGGCGACAGAATTTTATGCCGCGGATGGTGCGCCGCCGTGTTCAAGGCGTTGATCCAGTTTTGGTTCATTCGCTTCCTTCCCGCGCCGTATTCCATCATGAAGAGATTCCCTCGCATGCGCGTGAAACCGCCCGCGAGTGTGATTTTGCGCAAACCGCTCGCGAATTAAAGGGAGACCAAGAGACACGGGGACACCAAAAAAAAACGCACGTTGGTTCTCGACGACCGCCGCACACGCGGTCACCGCGCCGTGTCGGCGCGTGAAAAACGCGCTCGCGGCGCGCGCGCGCGCTCGCGGCGCGCTCATGGTCAAGTTGTGCGTCGACAGCCCCGCGCTCGACGTGGACGCGGCGACGCTCTGGCGAGCGCGCACGACGTCGCTCTTCATGACGTGCGAACGCGCGGTATTTGGTGATTTAGAGAGATCCGTCGTGTTATACGAACGGTGTAGACACGATGAAAACCGCGCGCGGTGCGTGATACGAACGAAACTCGACGCGAAGCTGCCGTACATGGCGAGACGGGCGCTCGGGGTGAAGTCGTCGCGAGACGCCGTGGTGATGTACGACGACGTCACCCTCGAAGAGACGCAGAGCACGGGGCCGTATCTGTTCGAAGCGTCGTCGCGGACGTACGGGACGTTTTTAAATCCCGAAAATAGCGTGTTGAAAGGGACGGTGCTGTGTAAATCAGTCGACGACGGTTCTATGTTGAGCGTGCGGTTGGAGTGCGCGGTGAAAATGACGGGCATCGGGAGCGCGATCGAGCGAACGATCGTCAGCGGCATGAAGACGAAGTTTGCGCTGTATCCGAAAGTCATCGAGCTTTACAAGGCTAAACTGCGAGAGAATGAGGCCAAACGGCGAGAGAGAGACGAAGAGAGAGCGGCGAAGGCGAGCATCGACGCGTGCGCCGACGCGTGCGAATTTCACTCCGCGCGCGATTCGGATAGCGAACGGGACGACGTCGCGCCATCACTCGCTGACGATAGAGTCGCCGACGCGAAAAAAGGCGACGCGACGAGTCCAATCGCGACGGGATGTTGCGTCCCCGCGTCGCGTCGCCGCTCGCGCTCGTCAAATTCAAACTCAAACGCCGCTCCCGTCAAAAGAATCCCATAGCCGCCACTTTTGATTTCACCCTGCCAAACTTTTTAAGCTTGAACGGCTCTTTATCGACGACTTTCGCGATTTTCGCGTCGTTCGACGACGCCGGCCGCGCTTCATCGCGACTCGTCGCCGCGCTCGCTCGCGCCGCGGCGCGTTCGGCCACTTTTGCCCGGACCCAATCCTGCGAGTAATCCCCTCGAATCAACGCCGCGATCGACTGCGATCGCGGCGCGTAGCCTTCAGCGTAACGTATTTCCTCGGCGTAACGCGTTTCGGACGGTCGCCCGTACGTCGCGTTCGCGTCCACGCGCGGAGGTTCCGCGCGCACCTCGCCCGACTTGAGCAAAATAGGTTCGGCGAGCGTCCTGAACCGCCGCACCTCCGCCGAGTTCACGCACTTGTTCTGCGTCGCTTTCTTATTCATCGCCATTAAATCCAATCCGCCCTTGTAAGAGACTTTGTTCGTCGACGACGACGCGCTGAATTCGCGCCACGCGAGCGCGTCTCGCGCGCTCAAAGTCTCGCGCGCCGGTCCGCCGCCGAACGTCGCATCGCGCGCGCGCGCCGGCGCGAATATCAGGTGCTCGCGCGCGCGCCCGACTTCTTTATTGGTGTTTATCAACGCGTTCGTCGCGATCGACGCGCGGTCGAAGCCGATGCGAGCGTCCATCGCGCGCTGCGCGATGTGAAGACTCGCCAAAAATAGTCTCTCGCCGCGCGTCGTCGATCGATCCATCGATCCATCCATCGAATCGCGCGACGACGCGCGAGCGGCGCGAAAGTAACACCACGCGTCGCGACGCGAATTCTGAATTCCACGCGCGAACGCGATCGCGTTTCACCGATCACCGCGACGCGTCGCCGTCGCCGTCCGTCTTCGCCGCGCGTTCCGCCGCGCGTCCTCGCGCGCGAGCGAGCCACGCCGAATCCTTCCTCTCGTCCCCCCGCGCGCCCCTCGCGTCGCGCGCGCGCGCCGTCGGCGCCGTCGCCGTCGCCGTCGTCGCGCCCGCGCCCGCGCTCGCCGCCAATCTCTCCCCGCTTCCGCGCGTCGTCGTCGACGCGTCGATGAAAACGCCTCGCCCCGCCGTCGCCGCGTCAATCTCCCCCCCCCGCGAGCGCTGCGCCGCCCGCGCCCCCTCGAACCGCACCCGCATCGCCGCCAGCGCCTCCCGCGTCGCCGCGTCCGCGATCATCGTCGTCCCGCCGTCGTCGTCGTCGTCGTCCGTCGTCGCCGCCGCCGCCGCCGCCGCCGCCGCCGCGCGTTCAAACCTCGCCACGTCCGCCGCGCTCGCGACCGCGCGACACGTCGGACACGTCGGACGCGTCACCGCGCTCCCCCCCTCCCCCCCCCCTTTCGCCCACTTCAAAAAGCACGCGCCGTGAAACGCGTGCCAACACGCGTCCAACCGCGCGCGCGTCTCGCGCGTCGCCGCCTCGCGACAAATCGCGCACCGCCTCGCCGCGCGTCCCATCGCCCGCGCGCGCGCTCGAGCCGCGCCCAGCACCGCCACGAGATATCCCTCCGTCCGTTCGAACGCCTCGGCGTCGCGCGCGATCGCCGCCGCGAGCGCGCTCGCCGCGTCGTCGTCGTCCGCGCCTCTGGTGTGTGTAATCATAATCGTCGTCTCACTGTTTGGCCATAGGTGTGGATTCGCAATCGTCACGACGACGTCGCACGACGCGTCGGCGTCGTCCCGGTCGTCGGCGCTCGTCGCGCGGTGCGCGACGACGACGCGGTCGGTCGTTCGCGACACCGACGGCGCGACGCCGAGGTAGACGCGCGCGGCGTCGAGCTCGGCGTCGAGCGCCATGGTGTGCGGCGTCGGCGGCGCGCGCGGGTGACATAGAGTGTTAGGGGTGCGCACTACGACGTTTGGTATCGTATATTGATCGATATTCGTCCTTCGACGCGCGTTCGCGCGCGCGTATCTGCGCTCGACTCGGCGTCGCGCAACACCTTCCCCCCGCGCGCGCGCGCGCGCGACGGCGCGACGCGACCGACGACGCGCGCGACGACGGCGACGACGACGACGACGACGACGCGACGGGGCGCGACGGTCGCGGGACGCGCGCGATCGAGCGCGCGATGGCGACGCGCGAAGGCGGCGCGAAGAAGAATCGCGGCGCGAGAATCGCGAAACCCTCGATCGACGCGACGATCGTCGGTGGCGCGTGCGTCGTCGCGCTCGCGGGACGCGCGCGCGCGGTGCTCGCGGGAGACGTCCCGTCGGGGGGCGGCTCGGCCGTGGACGGGTACTTCAACTCCGAGAGCACGCTGAAGAGCGCGGTGGACGCGTGCTGGAGCTCGTCGACGACGGTGAACGCGGCGTGCGCGGACGGCGCGGTCGGCATCGCGGATTGGAACGTCGGCGACGTGACGAGCATGCGTGACATGTTCTCCGAAAAGGAGGGCTTTAACGCCGACTTGAGTCGTTGGAACACGAAGTCGGTGACGACCATGAGTGCCATGTTCAACGGCGCGACGAGCTTCAACGGCGACATGCCGAACTGGAACGTCGAGAAGGTGACGCACATGACTCACATGTTCCGAGACGCGACGAGCTTCAACGGCGACATGCCGAACTGGAACGTCGAGGCGGTGACGAACATGGCTCAAGTGTTCTCCGGCGCGACGAGCTTCAACGGCGACATCTCGAACTGGAACCCGAAGGCGGTGACGGGCATGTATCGCACGTTCTACGGCGCGACGAGCTTCAACGGCGACATCTCGAACTGGAACGTCGAGGCGGTGAAGGACATGAGTCAAGTGTTCAACGGCGCGACGAGCTTCAACGGCGACATCTCGAACTGGAACGTCGAGGCGGTGACGAGCATGCGTGACATGTTCTACGGCGCGACGAACTTCAACGGCGACATCTCAAACTGGAACCCGAAGGCGGTGAAGGACATGAATCAAATGTTCCGAGACGCGACGAGCTTCAACGGCGACATCTCCGCGTGGAACATCCAAGCCGTTACGGACATGTCTAACATGTTCAACAACGCGCGGGCTTTCGCGCGAGACATCACGGGCTGGAACGCGGCGGCGATCGCCGCCGCGCGCGACGCCACCAAAGTTTCCGGCATGTTCAAGAACGCCACGGCGTGGCGCGCGATCTACACCAACACGCAGACGTCTTACTTTTCGGCGAACGACGGCCCGCCGCATTTGTGGACCGCCGGCGCCGCCGCTCCCGGCGCCGGCGCCGCCGCTCCCGGCGCCTCCGTCGCAGACTTCCCCGAGTGGGGCGTCGCCCTCGTCGCCCTCTCGCTCGCGCTCTCCACGATCACGTCCATCGTCGTCATCGCGCGCGCGCTGTGCGCGCCCAAGATTCTCGTTCCCGCCGCGCGGTGGTCCGCGCGCGTCTGAGCGCGCCGTCGGCGCGACTTCGACGTCGACGCAACTTTTTATCCACGCAATCAACATCCATGCACCGCATTAAACCGTCTTCGAACGCCGCGCGCTCGACGAACCGCGATCGCGGCGCCGACCCTCGACGCGGCGTTCGATACCGACGCCGCGTTCACGGAGCGCGCCAACGCGCACCTCTGGAACCTATGAATGACGCGAATCGCGCATCAGATACCGCATTCACGCGCTCTAACGCGTACATCTCAACCCTGATCCGCGCGATAAATGACGCGAATCGCGCATCAGATACCGCATTCACGCGCTCTAACGCGTACATCTCAACCCTGATCCGCGCGATAAATGACGCGAATCGCGCATCAGATACCGCATTCACGCGCTCTAACGCGTACATCTCAACCCTGATCCGCGCGATAAATGACGCGAATCCCTCGCGCCGCGCGCGGCCGCGGCGTCGGCGCGACGTCGCACTCGCGCGCGCGCTCGACGCCCGACCGCCGCTCTCGCGCGCGCGCGCCGAATCCGCGCCCTCGCCGAATCCGCGCGCGCTCGCGAGCGATGGCGACGCCGCGCGCGGCGGCGGCGGCGGTGGCGGCGCGACCGTCGACGCCGCGCCGACGCGCGCGCGCGCGCGCGGGCGACGGGCGACACCTCGACGCGACGGCGGACGCGGTGCGCGCGGCGGGCGTCGCGGCGCGGCGCGCGGCGCCGCGAACGGGACGCGCGGAGGACGGGGAGGAGGACGCGCGGGGGCGACGCGCGGTGTACGTGGAGACGTACGGGTGCCAGATGAACGTGAACGACTCGGAGGTGATGATGGCGGTGCTCGAGGGCGCGGGGTACGACGAGACGAAGGAGGTGAACGACGCGGACGTGATTCTGATCAACACGTGCGCGATTCGGGATAAGGCGGAGGCGAAAATTTGGCAGCGGTTGGCGTACTTTCGATCGCTGGGGAACGGGAAGAAACGGAGCGAAAAGCCGGTGGTGGGCGTGCTGGGATGCATGGCGGAGAGGATCAAGGAGAAGTTGTTGGAGGCGGATAGGCTGGCGGACATCGTGGCGGGACCGGACGCGTATAGGGATTTGCCGAATCTCATCGACGCCGTCGTCGGGAATCCGGGAGGGAAGGCGATGAACGTGCAGTTGAGCGTGGAGGAGACGTACGCGGACATCATTCCCGTGCGCGAGGCGGGGTCGCACTCGGCTTTTGTCACCATCATGCGCGGGTGCGACAACGCGTGCGCGTTTTGCATCGTGCCGTACACGCGCGGACGCGAGCGCTCGCGCGATTTGGCGAGCATCATGTACGAGATTCGTCTTTTGAGCGAACAAGGGGTGAAAGAGGTCACTTTGCTCGGGCAAAACGTGAACTCGTACGCGGGAGAGCCCGCGAGCGCGACGACGACGGATTTCTTGAGCTCACTGCGAGGCGAATCCAAAGACCCGATCGCCGAGCTCGCGAACGCGTCGACGGAACGTTTGGCGAGCGCGAGCGGTAGCGCGTTCGTCGGCTACGCCGATGGCTTCGCGAGTCGGTACGATCCCGAGCGCAAGCGAGCGGGGACGATTCAATTCGCCGAGTTGCTCGATAAAGTCGCGAGCGTGGATCCCGAGATGCGCATTCGTTTCACGTCGCCGCACCCGAAGGATTTCCCCGACGACGTCTTGCGAGTGATTCGCGATCGACCCAACGTGTCGAAGTGCTTGCACATGCCCGCGCAGAGCGGGTCGTCGGCTACCTTGGAGCGCATGGCGCGTGGGTACACGCGCGAGTCTTACTTTGCCCTCATCGATCGCGTCAAGGCGATGATTCCGGGGTGCGCCATCACCACGGATATCATCAGCGGCTTTTGCGGCGAGACCGAGGACGATCACGAGGACACCGTGAGTTTGATGAGCGCGATCGGATACGAACAAGCGTTCATGTTCGCTTACAGCGAACGCGAGGGCACGGCGGGGCAAAGACACCAAATCGACGACGTCCCCGAAGACGTGAAGCAGCGGCGTCTGCAGGAAGTCATCGACGCCTTTCGAGCGCGCGCGGCGGAGAAGCAACAGATGGAGATCGGTTCCACGCATTGCGTGTTGGTGGAGGGTCCGAGTAAGAAAAACTCCGACGAGTGGACGGGGAAGACGGACACATCGAAGTGGGTGGTGTTCGAAAAGAATGATGCCATCGGCAAGTACGCCGGCGACGAAGACGCGCCGACGAGCGGGTCGTACGGCGTCAAGCCTGGAGATTACGTCGCCGTTCGCGTCACTGGGTGCAGTACGGGGACGTTATTTGGTCAAGTTCTCGGTAAGACGAGTTTGGTAGAGTTTCAAAACTTGCACGGCGCGCAGTGGACGACGCCAAAGTCGAGCAACGGCGCGAGCGCGCGTTGACGCGAGCGATGTAAAATTACACACAATCTAATCATTATTCATCTTTCGTCGACGACCGATTCTTCTTCCGCTTCATCCTTCGCCCGCACGTATCGTCTCTTCAAGCCGAGCGCCAACGCGACGTCTTCCGCGACGTCTTCTGCTCGAGTGTCCACGACGCACGTGACGTAAAACGGTCCCTCCTGCCCCGTGCGCGCCGTGCGTCCGCATCGGTGCACGTGCATCTCCATGGACGGCGCCGCGCCGTACTGCACGACGTGATGTAATTGCGGAAAATCGATTCCACGCGCCGCGAGATCGGTGCACACGCACGTGGTGAGCTCACCGGAGATGAAATCGTCGAGGACGACGCCGCGCTCCTTCGCCTTGCCGTGAAACGCGAGCGCGACGACGTCGCGCTCGTCGAGTTTTTGCACGACTTCATCCGCCTCTTCGGGAGAGTTGACGAAGATGAGCGTTTTGTACTGTTTGTGCCGTTCGAGCGCGTCGGCCAAGGCGGCGAATTTCGCCTCGGCACCGTCGACGTCGTCCACGCGCGTCTTGAGCTGCGGATGCACGCGACCGAATTGCGCCGTCGAGATCCACTCGAATTCGTCCGCCGCTTCCGCCGGAAATGCGTCGAGCAGAGGCTGCGCCTCGCGCATCGTAGCCGCGGCGAAAACGTACTGCACGCGCGCGTCGAATCGATTGACCCCACCCTCGCCGTACGTCGCGGCGATGATACCGCCGACGTCGCGAGCGAAACCGCTCGACAACATTTCATCCGCCTCGTCCACGACGACGTGACGCAAACGACCGAGCAACACCCACTCGTCTTTGATGAGTTTCAGCAAGCGCGCGGGCGTGCACACGAGGATATCGGCGTTGCGAAATTCCGGAATCGCCTCCTCGTCTCCCGCGAGCTTCGACTTGTCCGCCGACGTGGATTTCGTCTTTTTCGCTTTGCCCGTCTTGGCGCCGCCCTTGGATTTCGGTCTCACCAACTTCTTCTCCTTCCCGAGCAGCGCGAACACGCTCGGCGTCGGCACGTCCGCGCTCGCGCTGCTCCAATACGCCGCGAGTTCGGCGGCGTGCGCGACCTGTCTCCCCAGCTCCACGCTCGGCGTCAACGCGACGCACGCGGGACAACATCGTCCGCTTCGCTTCGTCCCTTTCCTCCCCGGCGTCGTCATCGACGCCAATATCGGCAGCAGGTACGCGAACGTCTTCCCCGACCCCGTCTCCGCGAGCAACACCGCGGACTTCCCCCGAACGAGCTCCGGAATCGCCAATCGCTGAATCTCCGTCGTCCGCCGCAACCCGGCGTCTCGCGCGTTCGCCGCCAATCCCGCCGGCAATCCCGCCCTCTCGAGCGCGTTCGCCCCCCCCGAATCCCCATTCGCGCCCTCTCGCGCCTCTCTCTCCGCGCGCCGCGCGTCCCTCGCCCTTCTCGCCGCCTCCCACGGCCGTTCCGTCCCTCGCTTATACGCCGTCGCCGCCTTTCCCGAATCCGCCCTCGTCGTCTCCGACCCCCCGTCTCGCCGTCGAATCCTCCCATCCACCGCCCGCGCGTCGACGTCCTCCCCCATCATTCGCGCCCATCCGCTCAGGCCCTCGTCCTCGCCCCAGTACGCGTCTCGCGCGCGCGTCGCGTCGCCTCTTCTCGTCGCGTCGCGTCGTCGCGTCGCCCTCGCGAGCGCCGCCGCGCTCGCCGCGCGAAATCCCGCCTCGTCGTCGTCGTCGTCGCTTCGGCGCGCGTTTGAGTCGCGCGTCAATCGCGCGTATTTCGCGTCGTTCGTCGACGCCCACGAGCGCGCGCGCGGCCGTCGCGCGTCGAGGGCGTCGTCGCCGTCGCGCGTCGAGCCGGCGGCGGCGACGACTCGTCGCGTCGTGTTCGCGTCCGCGCGCCGCGACGCGACGGGAAAACGACGCGACGACGCGACGGGCGTCGCGCGCGGCGCGAATCGCGCGGGCATCGCGCGCTCGACGCGCGCGCGGGAGCGCGGTCGCGAGGTCGGCGCGGCGCGCGACCGATTCGATGCGATACTCCATCATGGGGTTAAAATATATTTATATATGTACTGGTTCGTCTATGGGTTTGTGTGTATTTATATATGTACCGTATGTCCGATGTGTATATTTATGTATAGACGCACACACGACGCCATTCGAGGGTTTCGCGCTGTGCGACGCGCGACCGCACCTCGCGACGCGACGCGCGACGACGAACGACGCGTCGCGAAACGCGCGCGCACGTTTATTTACCGCCGCTCGACGCGACCGCCGAAGCTCGCTCGACGCGACCGCGACGCACACGCGGACGATGATGACGACGACGACGACGACGCCGGCGCGCGCGACGGCGACGCGGGCGACGCTCGCCGCGCGACGCGCGACGTCGATTCGCGGCGCGCGATGCGCGCGACCGACGCACACTGCGACGCTTCAACGCTCAACGCGTCGAGCGCGCGTCGAGATCGCGTGCAGCGCGACGAAGACGGCGCACTCGTACAGCCACACGAACAAGAAGGGTTTGTCGGCGTACGTCGAGCGCGCGAGCGCGCGACAGACGAAGCGCGATCTGATCCCGTTCCGAGTCGGGATGACGCTGAGGGTGGGCGTGACGGTGAAAGAAGGGAATAAGACGCGGGTGCAACCCTTCGAGGGGGTGGTGATCGGGATTCACCGCGCGGGCGTGGCGACGACGGTGACGGTGCGGAAAACCTTGCAGGGGTTCGGCGTGGAGCGAGTGTTTCCGGTGCACTCGCCGTTGTGCACGTTCGAGGAGGTTCGCGGCGCGGGTAAACCGGTGGTACGTATTTTATTGAGCGTCGACGCGGGCGCGACGGCGCGACGGCGCGACGCGGGACGCGCGAGGACGCGAGACGCGACGCGCGCGGATAACCCTCGAGCCGCGCGACGCGGACGACTGACCTCGAGCGATCTCTTCTTCATTTTCTCCGCGCAGGTTCGTCGCGCGAAATTATTCTACCTCCGCCGATTGGTGGGCAAACAAGCGCGCCTGAAGACGCGCTTCGTGTCCAAGCGCGAGGGCAAGACGAGACACGAGATCAAGATGGAAGCCATGCGCGCCGAGGACGCGCGTCTGCAAGCCGTCGCCGACGCCGAAGCCGCCGCCGCCGCCGCCGCCGCCGAGGCCGCCGCCGCCGCCGAGGCCGCCGCCGCCGAGGCCGCCGCCGCCGAGGCCGCGTCTTCGGAGGAACCCGCGGAGTAGAGCTTTTAACGCATCGATTCATCACCACGAACGCGTCTTCGCCTCGACGCCCGGCGCCCGGCGCCGCGCCCCCCCCGGTCACCCTCGCGTCGTCGCGATATCCCTCTTTCACCACCCCGAATACGTACTCAAACCTCATATTTTACCCAACTGTAAACCTAACGAATCCCACTCGCCGCGCCATCGCGCCGCACTCCGCGACGCGCGCGCCATGGCCGCCACGATCACGCTCCGCTCGTCCGACGACGAGACCTTCGAGGTCGACGAGGACGTCGCTTTGTGCGTGCCCGCGCGTGTCGCGACGCGCGAATCGCGACGCGCGAATCGCGACGAAGGAATCGCGTCGAACGATTCGAAACCTCGACGACCGACGACCGACGACCGAGGACTGACGAGACGCGACGACGACGCGCGCGCGACGACAGCCTGTCGGAGACGATTAAATCCATCATCGAGGACACGGAGAACGACGCGCCGGTGCCGCTGCCGAACGTGAACTCGAAGATTTTGACCAAGGTGATCGAGTACTGCAAGTATCACGTCAAGGCGAAGAAGGAGAACGAATCCGAGGCGAACGTGAAGGCGTTCAACAACGATTTCGTCAAGGTGGACCAGGCGACGCTGTTTGAAATCATTCTGGCGGCGAATTACTTGAACATGAAGGGGCTGCTGGACTTGACGTGCATGACGGTGGCGAACATGATGAAGGGGAAGACGCCGGAGGAGATTCGTAAGACGTTTAACATCAAGAATGATTTCACGCCCGAGGAGGAAGAGGAGGTTAGGAAGGAAAATCAATGGGCGTTCGATTAATCGACGGTGACGACGAGACGAGACGAGACGACGAACGACGAACGACGAGACGAGACGACGAGACTCGAAAAATTTACTGTATCATGAACAACACGATTAGCTAGCGATGACGATGAGAATACGACGACGAAAGAAAACGCATCTTCAAAACGCCGCGTCACAAGTACTCGTTCGCCTTCATCTCCGCGAGCTCGGGTAAGGACACTTCGATCTCGATTTCTTCCTCCTCGCCCTTGGCCGCGAACGACGACGTCTTGATCGTCCACGGTCCGCGGGGCTTGCGAACCTCGGTCAAGTCACCGTTTTCGCCCGCGGGCGCGCATTCGAATCCTTCGTCGCGTCGCGCCAATTGCGCGACGGCTTTCATCGCGAGTTCGAACGCCTGAAGCTCGATGATCGCCGGTCGGGAAATCTCGAGATTGTCGCCGGATTCCTCGTCTAGGGCGATTTTAAAGAATAGCGGCCACAACACGCCGCCGACTTCACCCTCCGCCGCGACTAACGGCCAATCGTGCGCGTCGCGCGCGTCTAAATCCTCGAAAGGCGTCTCCACAGCGCTCGAAAACATGCACGTCTGCCCCTCCAAGCTCGGCTCGACGTCCTCGTTCCCGTGCTCGACCTCAAACGCCACCTGCGCATCCTTCAGCGTCTTGTGCACGTTGAATCCGAAGTTTTCATCCTCGAACGTCCCATCGAACGCGACGAAGCACGTCAACCGCATCGTGACGTCGTCGCGCAGCATTAACCGGTACGCGATTTTCACCGGTCGACGCCGTTCAAGCTTACGCCGAATCCCGCACTCAGCGAACGCCTTCGCCGCGCCGAATAAACTCGCACCGAACCGAGGCGTGAACCCATCGATGGATTCCATCAATCCCGGCAAATGCTGCGTCCCCCAGACCTCGTCATTCTCGCTCGGCCGCATCTGCGGCTCGATTTGCCCTCGCACCACGTCTCGCAACACGCTCTCCGGCACCGGCGCGAAACTCACATCTCGCACGCTCGGTATTTTCGCCATCACCCCATCTCGGCATCCATTGACATACTTACACCCATCGAACGAATCCCACTCCTCGAGCGATTTCCCCGCCAGCGCGCGCGCCGTCGCCGTGCACGCGAACGCCACGCGCGTCGGCTTCGCCGTCGTCCCCTCGCCGTCGCCCTTTTTGCTCGAATTCAGCACCTTTGGATTTTCCGCGACGCGAGACAGAAATTCGACAACCTCTTCGCACGTCGGTTCGTCGTACACCACGTTCCCGCGCTCGTCGTCGCCGTGCGCGTGCGACAGAAATTCTCCAGTCTGCGTGCGGATGACCAAAATCAGCGTTGGACGCGTCGGTTCTTGCTCCTCGGGCGCCTTCTCGCGCGTGTCTTCCGTCGGCACCCAGGCGCGAAGTTTATGCACGTACACGTGCCACGTCACGGCGTCGCTCGCCATCGCGCGCGCGTTCGAAGCGTCGCGAAGTGCGGTGAGGTTTGTCCCGGTGTCCCGCGTCGGGACGCGAAACGCGCCCGCACATCGCGGCGGGCGTCCATGCGGCGCGCGCGACGCGATGGCGACGTGTGAATGGACGCGCGCGATCGTTCGAGCGCGCGCCGCGCGCGCGGAGAGGCGCGCAGACGACGCGCGGGGAGGATTTCGAGCGCAAAAAGTGCGCTCGCGCGCTCGGGCTGGCGCGGGAAAGCGACGCGCGCGGGCCAACGCGACGGTTCGCGCGAGCGAAAACGACGAAAGCGGCGCGGCGTCGAACGCGAGCGTCCGCGAGAGCGAGCCGTATGGGGAAAACGCGGCGAAAAACGCGGCGTATAAGGCTTCGATGTCGGACGCGCAGCTCGAGCTGCATCGCGCTTCGGGACGCGACGTCACGTACGCGCTGAAGATTTCGTACGATGGCGAGCGTTATAATGGATTTCAGTACCAAGGCGAAGACGTGCCGACGATTCAGCGCGAACTCGAGCGCGCGCTCGCGAAGCTGACCGGGATCGATCGAGAACGGCTTCGATTGGGCGCCGCCGGTCGCACCGACGCCGGCGTGCACGCGCGAGGGCAAGTCGCGCACTTTTATTGCGAAAAATCGTTAGGAGAAGACTTGACGCGGTGTCAAAAGGCGATGAACGGGATGTTACCGAAAGACATTCGCGTCGACGCGTTCTGGGAACCCCATCCGTTGTTTCATTCGAGATTTCACGCGAGCGGCAAGACGTACCACTACTACGTGGACGCGCGCGCGACGTCGAGCCCGTTCACGAGAAAGTACGCGCATCAGGTCGGATGGCGCCCGTGCGACGTCGAACTGTTGCGTCAAGCCGCGCAGTTGTTCGTCGGGACGATGGATTACAAAGGGTTTTGCAACACGTCGAGGGATAAATCAAACGAGGACAGGAACACGACGCGAACGATTCGTCGCTTCGACGTCTTCGAGGACGCCGCGGACGACGGATTGATTCGTCTCGAGGTCGAGGGCGACGGATTTTTGTATCGTCAAGTGCGCAACATGGTCGGCGCGCTCTTGGTCGTCGCGAGCGGCAAGCACGACCTGGCGTACCTGCGAACGCTCATCGAAACCAAGGATCGCTCGCGCGCGCCCATGGGCGCGCCCGCGCGCGGCTTGTTTCTTCACGAAGTCTTCTACCCGACCGAGGTCTTAGCGAGACCTCGTTCGGACGACACCGCTTAAACGCGCGCGCGGCGTCGCTCGCGCGTTCGCTCGCCGCGCGCGCCCGCGGGCGCTAAAACTGTATTCTAAAATCGCCCTCGTCCCTAACCGTCGCGTTTGCGCCGCTCGCCCTCCTCGCGCTGCGCCCTCGCCACGTCCTCGTCCTCCCCCGCGTCCAGCATCTCCTGCACCATCGCCCCCACCACGTTATCCCCGTCCGTCGCCAAGTAATGCGCGTAGTGCGCGTGCAAACACTTCACCTGTATCAGCAGCCCCGTCCCGCCGACGTCGTCCCGCGCGTACCCCCCCACGCCTCGATCCCGCAGCGCCTCCACGTGTTCCCCCCCCAACCGCTCGCACATCTCCCGCTCTTTCCCCGTCAACAATCCCCATCGCATCGCCGCGTACCGTCTCTGCTGCGCGTCGAAGATTCGCGCCGTCGCCTCGTCGTCGTCGATTTTTCGCCGCGCCGCCGCCGCGCCGCCGCCGTGCTCCAACCTCCCGACTCGCCTGCACAGCTCGCGATCGCACAGCCACAGCGCGTTCGGCCACGGCGACTCCACCGTCGTCGACCCGCGCCATTTCTTCGCTCGCGCGCGCCGTCGCGCGCGCTCGTCGTCGCCGCGCGCGCGCTGCGTCCGCAGCGGTCGGCACAGCAAAACCGTCGGATTCCCGCGCGCGTCGCGCCGCGCGACGCCCAGGACGTCGACGGACCCGTCGAGGCGCTTGACGGCGCGCGCGTCGTCGATCGTCGAGGCGTCGGCGCGACGCAGCGGCGAAGCGTGCGCCAGGTAACCGTCGGGCATGCGAAGCGTCGCACAATGGCGCGCTGGAAGCGCCGCGCGGCCGCCTCGCGCCGCGCGTGCGCGATCGCGGCGTGCGCGATGGTATTGTCGACCCGCACCGCGCGCGCCGCGCCGACGCGCTCCAGATTCGCGACGCGACGGCTCGACGACGATCGATTCGCGGCGCCCGTCGTGACGCGCGCGACGCCGCGGCGAGGCCACGCGAGCGGCGGCGCCGACGTCGCGGTCCGCGGCGCGCGATTCGCGTCGGACGCGTCGCGCGTGCGGTGCGCGTTCGCGTTCGACGACGGCGAGGTGGTGGTGACGCGAGCGACGGCGGCGCCGCGCGACGAGACGACGCGCGAAAGCGAACGCGTCGTCGTCTGCGTCGCGCCGCGCGCGCGACGCGGCAAACGCGGCGCGGCGCAGATATTGCTGAAAAACGGCGACGACGGCGCGTGGAGCGGGACGGCGGGGAACTGGGCGTACGGCGATGGGAACACGTTCGCGACGTACGAGTACGACGACAGCGACCCGGGGTGCTACGGGTGTCGAGGATCGGCGACGGCGATCGCGAGTCGGCCGAGGGAGACGTGGGCGTTGGTGGGGGATCGCGCGGTGAACGCGGGACCGGCGGAGGGAGGGACGACGATTCGCGTCAAGGCGTTCGGCGCGAACGCGAACGCGAACGCGGTCGGCGGGACGTTTTATCCGGGCGCGAATTTAAAGTGCGGCGTGGCGTGCGCGACGACGGTCGGCAGCGGATGGCTGCGGGTCACGATGCCGGCGAAGTGGATCGCGTACGACGAGATCGAGTGCGTGACGCCGAGGTGGCCGGGGATCGGGGCGACGAGCGGGACGCCGTCGACGACGTGTCACGTTCGAGCGTCGAACGACGGCGGCGAGCGATTCGACGATCTCGTCGCGGCGGGGGGGGACGGCGATGGGACGTTCGCGACGCCGATGGCGAACGCGGCGAAGATTGACTTCACGTACGACGCGAGCGGCGCCGCGCCGAGCGTGAGCTCGGTGGAGACGTCGCGCGCGCCCGCGGCGAGCGCGCGGGGCGCGCGGGGACCGTTCGACGGCGGGACCGTGGTCACCGTGCGAGGGAGCGGGTTTTTATCGAGCTCGAACTTGGCGTGCAAATTTTTCGATCCGCTCGGGAACGAGGTCGTGGTGCGCGCCTCGTACGAGAGCTCGAGCGAGGTTCGATGCGCGTCGCCGTCGCAAATCGCGAGCGTCGACCCGTACGCGGTGGATTACGTCGCGATGACGTCACCGTGCTACGCCTCCGCCGTGCACGTGTCGAACACCGGTCTCGTCGGCTCGTGGAGCGCCGCGAACTCGGCGCCGACGGCGCAGTTCTTCTATTGCGACTTGTACGTCGACTCGAGCGCGGCGTCGGCGTCGAGCGCCGACGGGAGCGCTCTGAAACCGTTCGACACGATTCAACGCGCGCTGCAGTCAGCCTTGACCGGCGTCCAGAGCGCGAGCGACACGCACATCGGGCGCGAGTTCGCCCTCGCGAATCCCACGGCGAACGCGCTGTTGAACGCCGACGTCGTCCGGCTCGCCCCCGGCGCGTACGCCGGCGCCGGCGCCGTCAGGCTCGTCGCCGACCCCACGTCCTCGGTCCGCGTGCGCGCCGCGACGGGCGTCGCGTCCGCCGCCGCCGACCGCGCGTACATCGATTGCGAGGGCTCGAACCCACTCTTCGCCGATCTCGACGCGCAGTCGTCGTCGTCGCGCGTCGCCGTCGTCGTCGACCCCGACGTCGCCGTCGTTCGATGTCGCGACGCCGACGCGAGCGTCTACGGCGTCGAGAGTTGCGAGACCATCGTCGCGACCGATGGGTCGGGCGTCACCGCGCGGACGTGTAATTTCGCCGCCGCCTAGCCCCCGCGCGCGCGCGCCGTCGACGCGCGCGCGGCGACCCGCGACCCGTAACACCGCGCGCGTGCGCGCGCGCGTCCCGGTGGCCACCCCTTTGAGTCCCAATTCGACAACACCCCCCAAGCGCCACGGAACAGTGGTATCATCGAACCGATCGTCGAATGCCGTATTTCGATGGCACTGAGCCCCATTAACTCAGTTGGTTAGAGTGTAGTGCTTATATCCGCCCGGATGTGCCCGAGTCGCGCGCGCGCGCGACGGACGCCTACGCTGGAAACGCTAAAGTCGCGAGATCGAGGCTCGCATGGGGCAGCTCTTTTTTATCGCGCGTCGTCGTCGTCCCGACGCGCGCGATTCGCGCGCGCGCGCGCGCGTCGCGTGCGCGACGAGCGTCCTGGAGTCGTCGCATATAACGTATTTTAAGTGGTATCACTCGACATCTGCGTATACTATATATCGTCTGACTATAACCCATACCCGTGTGTCAGAACACCTGCATTCGCGCCACATCGCGACGCGCACGCGTCCATGGCGCCCGTCGACGGCGCGGACGACCGCGACGCCGACGCGCTCGCGTGCGGATTGCCCACGAACGTCTTCGTCCGCCCCGCGGGCGCGCGCGAACCCGCGGACGTCGTCGACGAGGTCCTGGACGCGCTGCGCCTCGACGCGCTGCGACGCAGTCACGCGCTGCGCGCGCCGCGCGATCGCCTGCGCGTGACGCTCGCGGCGTACGCGATGGATCTGCTGTACAGATTCGCGAACGAAGCGAGGTGCGAGACGAAATCGGGGGCGATGAAGCGCGCGATGGAGGACGCGCTGGGGCGATTCGCGTGCCCGGGGGACGCGGATTACGACTTGGCGAGCGTGTGCGCGGCGCCGAGGACGGACGAGGAGCGGGAGCGGTATCGAAGGTTCGTGCGAAGGTGTCGAGAGGCGATCGCGGTGAGGATGGTGGAGCGGTGTTACGTCGCGGAGGATGGGACGAGGGATAAATTTTGGATGGCGTTCGCGAGGCGACGATTTTTAAACCGACCGCCGCCGAAGATTTCGTGAGCGATGGATCGATCGCGCGAGCGGTGTTCGGTGTTGTGACAAGAGTACATGGCGATGCTTTATTTCGGGACGCGACGCGACGCTACGAAGATGGGAACGAAAACACGTCCGCGGGATGACCGCCGTCGCCGCCGGGGTTGATTCGATTCGCTTGCTTCAACGCCAGCGCCTCCTCCTCGCGCACTTGACGAATCAGCTCGGCTTGGTGCTTCAGTCGCTCGGCGCGGTCGATGTCCAGCTGCGTCGCCGCACGCGATGCGCTCTTTCCTTTTCGCGTCGCCGACGCGTCGCCCGCGTCCATCATCTCGACGTCGTCGGCGCTCGCCGCGTCGACGGCGCCGGCGGCGATCCACTCGTGCGCCAACGCTTGCTCCGCGCTCAACCGCTCGTTGGCGTCGGTTTCGAGTAAACCAGCGACTAAACTCTTCGCGGGATTACTGATGAAATCCCACACCCCGGGCTCCAAGTGATAGATGCCGTCGCGTATGTTTTGATAAAGCACGCTCTCGTCTTCGTGATCGAACGGCGAGTACCCGCTCAAGAGGGCGAACAAAATCACCCCCACGCTCCACATGTCGCACGCGGGAGAGTAAAACTCGTTCTCGTCTTTCGACGTCTCCAATTCTAAAATCTCGGGCGCGATGTACAGCGGGCTCCCGCACACCGTTCGCATCGTCTGTCCCTCGGGCTTGAACCGCGCCAACCCGAAATCGATGAGCTTCACCGTCGGTCGATCCCCGTCGTCGCTCAACAAAATATTCTCCAACTTCAAATCTCTGTGCACGATATCTCTCGCGTGCATGTGCGCCACGGCGTGCAACACCTGCGCGATCACCGACCGCGCCTCGTCCTCCGCGAACGACCCGACGCGCGACACGCGTTCGAGCAACTCGCCGCCCTGGACGAGTTCGCAAATCATAAACACGTTTCGATCCGTCACGTACGTCGCGTACAGCTCCACGACATTCACGTGTCGTATCTCCGAGAGCACCTCCACCTCGCGATCGAACGATCGATCCGTCGGCGCGTACTTGCTCTTATCCACCACCTTGATGGCCACGTCTCGCCCCGTCGCCTTTTCCCGCGCGCGCGCCACCGTACTGAACCCTCCCGTACCGATCTTCTCCAGCACCTCGTACGCGTCCGTGATCGTCGTCACGTCTTTGCATCGCACGAGTTTACCCCTCATCCCTCGGAAGAGACCTCCTTCGTCGTCGCGCGTCTCGCCGTCGCGCGTCCTCGTCGCCGCCCCGTCCCGAGCGCTCGCCGTCGCCGCGCGAATCCTAAATCCCTCTCGTATACACCGCGCGCGCCCTCGATCGCCTCGCGCGTCCCCCCGACCCGGTCGTCACCGCTCGAATCGCGCTCTCCGAGTGTCGCTCGATCGTTTTCGGCCGAGCCCGCGTCGCGGTCGGCGTCGCGCGCGCGCGATTCGCCAATCACAATTCACCAATCCGACCCGAAAATCGCCGTCTCCCGCGTCGATGCCCACCTAGTCGAGCGCTCGACCGCGTTCGCGACCGCCGAGTCGACCGCGTTCGCGCGCTCGACGATCGACGCGCGCGCGCCGCGCTCGAACGCGTCGCGGTGCGCCGATCGCGATCGGCATCGCAAAACTAACAACGACCGTCGACCGCACTGATCGTCGCGCGAAAATATCTTCCGCGACCAGGACGCGATGACCGCGCTCGACGCCGCGGCCGCGGCGGACGAGGCGCTGTCCACGGTGTGGCGCTTCGCGACGTACGCGCTCGCGGCGCTGCTGTACGGGTTCGCGCTGTTCGTCAACCTGTACGTCCTCGCGGCGCTCGACGACCTGCAGGCGGACTTAGTGAACCCGCACGACGCGTCGAGGCGGATCAATCGATTGGTGAATCACGAGATCGCGGCGCACGCGTGCGCGAGCGCGCTGATGCTGTGCGGCGGGCACTACGCGCTGTTCGCGGCGAACGCGCCGATGATGTACTGGGAACATAAGCGGCGCGAGGCGAGGACGCTGCGGATAGACGCGACGGAGATATTCGCGCGCGCCGATAGCGAGAGGAAGATACGAACGCGAAAATTGGCGTTTTTAGGGGTCGTGGAGCTCATCGTGGCGTACAGGGTGACGCACAGCGCGGCGCACGCGCTGTTGACCAAGGCGGGACGGGAGGCGGCGGCGAAGATTTTGAGAGACGCCGCGCACTCGCCCATGTATCACATGTTTTGACGATCGCGCGCGTGATTTTACATTCGCGATTACGCGGCGCTGAGTATCGGATCGGGCGTCGCTTCGCGATCGCGCGGTTCGCGTTTTTAGCGACGATTCGTCGACGCGTCGACGCGTAATCAATGTAATCAATCAACGCGATTCTTAATAAATGAACGCGCGATTCTTACGACCCGCGCGCGCGCTCACCCCCCGTTCGGATCGTCCCGCGTCTTGATCACCCCGTACGCGCTCGAGAACGCCAAAAACCCCCCCACGAAGGGCGTGAAGAACGGATACAGCCGCTCGCTCACGAACCCGTCCACCGCCTCCGGCATCTTCCCGAACGCGCTCACCCCCAAGACGACCCCCAAAACGAATATCACGCCCACGTACGCGAACAAAAACGTCACGTACGCCTCCTCGGTCTCCTGCCCCATGGTCTTCTCGCGCTTCCCCAGCAGCGCGTCCACCGCCGGCGAGTCCACCTCCACCGTCGCGCGTCGCGTCGTCTTCCCCCGTCGTCGCTTCGACTTCGATCGCGGTTCGTACGCGAACGCACGCGGTTCCGCGCCGTCGCGTTGTGCGTCTTCGCGTCGCGCGTCGTCGACGTCGTCGTCGCGCGTCGCGTCGTCGTCGTCGTCGCGCTGTTGTTCCGCCCACGTCTTCTTCGCGCAGATTCGCGTCGCCGGCGGTCGACGCGCCGTCGTTGGACGTCGCGCGTCGACGCGACGTCGCGAGTGTGCGTCGGCGCGAGCGCGCGCGAGGATTCGCGTCGCCATCGTCGCGAAGAGCGGTGCGACGTCACCGCGGGCGTCCGCGTCAAGCGATGGATCCGGCCGCGCTCTAAACCCTAGACGACCGATCGAGATGCGACGACCGATCGCGACTCGACCGCGTCGGACGCGGCGACCGCGAATGCAAACACATCCCACGCGCGCGGTGTGTTGTACGACGACGATATCGTCGTCGTATAACACACCCATTTACTTTTTAGTACACCAAAAAGTAAATGCAATTATGGTATTTCATTATTTCATACGAGTACCCCATAACGACGAGTCGTGACCCATACGGTAAAAATATCACGTCCCGCCAGTCCGGTCCCCATATACTATGAGATTTGTTACGATATATGTACACAGCGTGCGGTGCGGCGGGTGGATGCTCGGTCGTGCGGGTGTGGATGGTGTGGTGTCTTGATGACGAGTCATGACTCGTCGTATGTATGGCACATGTGACACGGCGCCTTACATGTCGCCGCGAATCTGCGGGTACGGATGCGTGCAATAGCCGGTCGTTTCGTCCACGAACTGTCTCGCGCAGTTGCACGGCGGTTCATTGGTGACTATGAGGCCGGAGAGATGGGGCTCGGTGGACAACGCCGCCGCGTCCTCATCGTTCAGAGCGATCACGATCCAGCGCTGATAGACGCGTTGGGCCTTGTCCCCGTTTGATCTCAAGTAAGAGTGCGACTGCGTCTTGACGTACACGTGATACTTTTCAAACCTCGCGTTCGCGTTGGTTTGCCACTCGCGAAGAGCCGCGTCGAACGCTTTGCATCGCCGCTCCCTGAGTGGAAATTTCTCACCTTCCTTTCTCATGAAGAAGGGAATCAAACAGCCGACGGTGAGCAGGCTGCCGAAGAAGCAGCCCACAATATTGGGAGTCTGCGCGATGCACCCGCGACAACCAGCCTCGGGGAAATGTTCGTTCTCGATCGCGTCGAGCTGCTCGACGAACACGTCGTGATACTCTTCCGGAGACATTCCGACGGCTTCGAGCGCGCGCGGCGTCTTCGTCATGTCCGCGCGCCGGAGCATTTGACGCGGTCCGAAGCATCCCTGTCCGCCGTACATCGTCAGGTTCAATCGCACGACCACCTTTACACCGTCCTTCCCTTTGCCGTACACCTCTCGCTTACGCCATTGGGGGCCCAATTTCTTCATTTCTTTGGCCATTTTGGCGCAACATCCCATCGGTGGCGCCTCTTCGACCTCGTCCTTCGCAGTCGTCATCCCCGCGGGCGAGGGCGCGCGATTCACGTCCGCCCCCGTCGACGCCATGGACGCACGCGACGCGATCTGCGCGCCGCAATTCCTCCGCCGGAAAACCGGAGGACTCTAAACCCTACTAAAAATCGAGTTTCAGAAAAGGCCCGTTTTTGGAAGCATGCTAGTGGAACCTGAGTAAAAAGTGGCCAATTCTACAGTCCATGCTCGTACGGTTTTTCATAATACTTTATATCATTATCATATATACCGAATGTCCGAACACACACACACACCATCGCATCGCTAGGGGTGCTTGAATCCGGTATTGGGAATTTCCCAATACGTATCGGCGTATTGGGCCGGTATCGGCCGAATGTCCGAACGCGTAAATCGTATGGGCAAACAGTATTAAACAGCTGATACGAGCTGATACGAGCTGATACGAGCTGATACGAGCTGATACGAGCTGGTACGAGCTGGTACGACGGTGGCGAATCGAATCGAATCGACACATCGCACTCGTCACGCGTATTATACGACAATACATACCGTACAACACCCCACACGAATACCATCAATCATCAATCAATCGCGCGCACGACAAAAGACATCGACGCGCGTCCGACGACGCATCGCCACGACCCACCACACGGCACTCGTCACGCGTATTATACGACAATACATACCGTACAACACACCACACGAAACCCATCAATCAATCGCGCGCACGACAAAAGCCATCGACGCGCGTCCGACGACGCATCGCCACGACCCACCACACGGCACTCGTGACGCGTATTATACGACAATACATACCGTACAACACACCACACGAAACCCATCAATCAATCGCGCGCACGCACCGTTCGAAATCGCGCCTTAGCGCGTCATTCCCGTCGACGCGCCGCGTCATGTCGCGCGACGACGCCGACGCGCTTCGCGCGCGCGAGACGTGCGTCGCGGTCGTGCGCTTCGCGCGAACCCTCGCCCTCGAGCGCGGGCGCGCGAACGACGACGACGCGTCGCGCGCGCACCGCGCGCGGCTGCTGCGACTCCGCGCGCGACTCGCGCGCGTGCGCGCGCAACCGCGACGCGCGCGGCGCGAGCGATGCGCGAGCGACGGCGTCGGCGCGCTGTTGGCGCTGCTGCGACACGCGCCGTGCGCGCACGAGAGCCTCGGCGACGAGAGAAGACGGGACAGGGGATGGACGGGACGCGGGATGGCGAGGACGGGGACGATTCGCGTCGGCGCGGCGCACCAGGCGCGCGTCGAGGCAAAGTGCGCGACGCGCGCGACGTTCGAGCGAGGGAAGATGAGCGAGAGGGAAAAACGGTTGGCGGGTCGCGTCGCGTGGCCGAGGGCGAACGGGACGCGCGCGAAGGCGAAGGCGAGGACGCGCGCGAGCGCGACGAAGGGCGAGGGTTCGAGCGGCGCGGCGCGAGCGAACGGCGAACGCGCGGCGAAGACGGACGCGGTGAAGGATGCGGAGGAAGACGTTTCGAATAATCGACCCGGTGAACGCGGGTTTACGGATGAAGAGATCGCCGCGTCGCGCGCGGCGCTCGAGGAGGAATTGCGGCGCGGCGGCGCGGACGAAGACTCGTTGTTGGGGTTGCGCACCATCGGCGCCGCGGGGGCGCGCGAGGGGTGGGACGACGAGGAGGTGGCCGCGTTCGCGGAGCACGCGACGCGATACGGCGACGATCTCTTTCGCTTGCGCGCCAAGCTGCCGAAGAAATCGATGCGCGACGTCGTGAACTATTACTACAACGTGTGGCAGGTCGGGTTCGCGAATTACGGTCGCGTCGACGTCGAGGGCGCGGAGGAACCGGCGCCGCGCGAGCGAGCGCGACGCGGACCGGCGCCCAAGTACACCGTCGAACAGGTGCGACGGGAGAAGGATGAAAAGTCGCTGCGCGGATTCGTGGATTGGATTCGAGGCGTCGCGATCAACACCAAGCGCGCGATGCTAAACGTTCACCGAGCGCCGACGACGGCGCGCGTAAAGGGCCACATGATGACGCGCTGGCGCACCGTGACGCGGAGCGAGGACGCGGACGACGGCGTCGCGAGAGAGGCGTACTTGAAGGATTTGAAGCGACGCATGACGGCGGCGAGGTTCACGAAGGAGGAACAAGAGGCGGCGGCGAGAATGAAGACGAAAGCGAAATCGTCCAAAGCGTCGTCCGCAAAGGTGACGAAGACCGCGTCGAGTGGTGACGCGGCGACGAAGACGAAGAAGACGGCGTCCGCGCCCGCGGACGGCGCGCCGACGCCGAAGAAACGAAAACGCCGAATCGACGATGGTCAGCCGAAGATTTGTCGAAATTGCCGAGCGATGGAAACGAAACAGTGGCGCTTACCCGTCGAGGGCGCGGGCGTGCTTTGCAACGCGTGCGGGTTACGCGATAGAAAACAAGCGAAGAAGAACGAAGCCAGCGCCGCGGGCGAGACGGAGCCTACGCCAAAGGAAAATAAGACGCCCGATCGGGGGAAGGATGGTTTGAAGAAGAAACGCTCTCCGGGATTGAAACCGACGCCCGACCGCAACTTTCAGCTTTAGTGTCGCGATTGATCGCTACACGCGACGTCGAATTGTTTACGAATACGGGAATTTTGTTGTACTATATTATTCATTCCTTCTTGTTGGCGTCTTGAGCGTTATTTTCTTCTCCGCCCGTCTCGACTGGCTCCGTCGTCGCGGGAGCGGGCGGGGCGGGTTCTTTCTTATACGTCGTTCCCTGAAGATTATTGATCGCCACGGTGATATCGGTGAGCTTGTCGATTGGACTCGTGATATCGCTCTTCATCGCGATTCGCCCCGCCTCGCGCATGCCCGTGATCCACGCCCCGTGCATCGTCGCCGGATAGTGCCTCGTCGTCGCTTCGCCGCTGAAGTGGATGTTCCCCACCGGTTCGCTCATCTCTTCATAATCGTCCCCGGTGGCTCTCGTCGAGCACGAGCTGTAGGCGCCGAACGTGTTTTCATCCTTCCCCCACCGCGTGACGTGACTCGCCACCGGCTTGCCCACGTCTGCCTTTGGGAAAGCGCATCGCAAGTGCGCCAACAAATCTTCCACCACCTCGTCGTCTTCGCGGCTTTCGACTTCGATCGCGGCTTCCCCGGCGCAAAGCGCCAGGATGACGTTTTCGTCGCCCTTGTTGTGGGAATATATCAAAAAGTATCGACCGCGATCGCGCGTGTGCGACTGCACGAAACCAAACGTGTCGCACTTTTCGTCCCAAAATCTTTTTTCAAAGACCAAGATGACCTTGTTCAAGACGCCGAAATTTATGTTCTCTATGGCTTGAAGCTTGCGATGAGGCAACTCCGGGATGAAGGAAATGACGCCGCGCTTCAAAACACCCAGCGGAACGGTGACGAGGACGCAGTCGGCGATGATGTCGACTTCTCGACCGCAGTGCACGATGACGCCCTTGCCGCCGAGCGACTGAGCGTCGGTGATGGATGTCACGCGATGACGATACCAAACTCGTAAATCCTTGCTCAGGGCGTCGATGAAACGCACGTTACCACCCGGCACGACGACGTGATTACCGGTGAAATCGTACGCGTCGTCTTGATCCCACTGCATCAACGACAACTCTTTCGCCTGCGACGCGTTGGCGAATTCCAAATTCGCGATGTGCCAGTTGTGCACGTCCTTGGCCGCGTTTCTAGTCTCCATCGGCAACTTCTCGAGCTCAACATTTATTCTCTTCTCGAGTTCGCGCCCGAGCGATGAGGCGTTGGCGATTTGTCGATCCATCGCCACGCGAAAGAACGACATGTCTTCCAGTATTTTGTTGAAATTTTTCTCCACCATCTCGTCCACTTCGCTATCGACCGTGTCGCCGTTGCGGTCGTACAACGGGCACTCGGGCTGAATGATGTGCGGCTTGATTCCGAGTTGACGCGCGACGACGCAGAGCGGGTTGCCATTCGACCCGCTCAAAATACTTCCTCCGAGATCGGCCCACACTTTCTTGACGTCTTTGTCGCTCTCGGTGACATTTTTAGTCTTCGTCGTTTCCTTCCCCGCCTCGTCGATAAACTCAGCCGGAAACTCGCGCGTGTCCACGCGCCCTCCCAAACGCTCGCTCGATTCCAGAACCACCACTCTGTGCCCAAGATTTTTCAGGTGTTTCGCCGCGGCGAGTCCGGAGATACCGGCGCCGATGACGACGACGGACATCTTTTGCGAGGTCCCTTTCTTCTCCGCGAATTCTTCAAACTTGGACGCCGTGCGCATGACGCCGTAGTTGATGTATCCGAACATCGTGAGATATCTGTGCACCCCGTGCGCGAGGTTGATGAATTTGTTCTTGAACATGTCCGCCGCCGCCGTCGCGGACAAATACTCGCGCGGTTTAGCTCGCCATTTGACGATGAGCGCGTTCCTGATCGCGATGAAATCGCCGTCGTTGTGGGATTCGCCCGGCGGCAGGAACGCGCGCTCGACGTCGGACAAGCCGTCGGTCTCGAGGTTTAATTCAATCGCAATTTCCAAGTCCGCCACGTCCTCCGGTCGCAGCGGTCGCGGAGCGCGCGGCGGCGGCGCGTTTTTCGCCGCGCGCGCGATCATCTCCGCCTTTCTCTCGATCTCTCGTCTGTGCAAGGCTTCCATCTCCGCCTCGTCCCCGGTTTGGACGAACACTTCCGTCAAGCGCGTGGGTTTGCGTCGCTCGCGCTGCGACGTTCGCGTCGGCGGCGTCGGCGCGTCTCCGCGCGTCTCCGGCGCGCGATCGACGACGACGTCTCCGATCTCCTCCGACGTCGTCATCTTCGCCGGCTCTCCCTTTCTGTGATGCCCCTGTCTGAGCGATTCCCCGTTCGCCGTCGCCGCCGTCGCCGTCGCCGCCTCGTCGTCGCCGCCGTCCCGCCGCCGGCGCCCGCTCGCCGCCGCCCCACCCCCTCCGCCCCCTCCCCGCGTCCCTCGATCGTCCCCGATCGATTCCTCGCGCTCCGTCTTCGCTCTCTTCCCCCCCCCCGCGTCTCCCTCCCCCTCCTCGCGCGCTCGATCCCGCGTCTCCGTCGCCCCCCCGTCTCGCCCGCCCGCCCGCCCGCGCTCGCGTCCGCGCGCGCCTCCCTCCCCCGTCCCATCCCGCGCCTCCCTCGCGCCCTCGCTCGCGTCCATCTCGCGCCTCGAGCTCGTCCCCTCATCGCCTCGATGCGCGAACTCCTCCGTCGCGCGTCGCACGCCGCCGAGCACGCGCCGCAGCAGCACGCCGACGCCCATCGCTTCGTCGCGAACGCGCGTTTAATTTTTACCCCTATTGAGCGATCCCGCGTGCTCTTCGACCGATTCCCACGCGTGCCGCGTCGTAAAAATACCCGCTTTCGGGCGATCGCGCGCTCGCGAAAGTTTCGCCGCGCGCGCGACCGCGGTCGTCGTCGCGAAGCGATTTTTGCCCCGAATCCAACGAATTCGCGCCCTGGAGATGGATGGATCGTCGAGCGCCCTCGATCGGCGACGCTTTCGAGCCGCGAGACGCGCTCGACGGCGCGACGCGGCTCGAAGCGCGAGCGATCGCGCGCGATCGCGTCGTCGATCGCGCGCGGCGCGGTCGCGAATCCGCGATCGGCGTCGGCCGTCGTCGAATCCGCGGCGCGATGTGGCGACGATCCGGGCCGCGTCGGCGGTTTCGCGTGCTTCTATACGATGTTTTAGTGCGTATTACGGTATCGAAACGCCCCGTTCGTTTACGTACACGTCGGCGCGTCGCGTCGACGGGCGTCGCGGATTCTCCTACTGATGGGTGTCGCGGGGCGTTTTATGCGGTACTGAGTATCGTATTTTAGGTATACGTCATTCGATGCGCGGCGCGCGCATCGCGGATCCGCGTGTGGTCGCGGATTCTCCTACTGATGGGTGTCGCGGGGCGTTTTATGCGGTACTGAGTATCGTATTTTAGGTATACGTCATTCGATGCGTGGAGCGCGCATCGCGAACGCGCGGCGGCGCCGCGGATCCCGACGCGCGGCGCGACCGGCGCGGCGCGGCGCGGCGTCGAGCGTCGGAACGCGCGTCTCGCGTCGACGCGCGGGTCCGCGACTTCCGACGCCGCGCGAACGGCGCCGCGGACGCGGGATCTCGAACGCGACGACATGCCGTTTCAAATCTACGTCGCGGGACAGCGCCTCGCGTCGGACGCGGTGCTGAGCGACGCGTGGCGAGCGAGCGACGCGCGCGCGCGATTGAAACGACCGAGCGCGACGGACGCGGACGGCGACGACTCGGACGGCGATGGGCGGGACCGCGGGACGCGGGACGACGGGGCGAGGGCGAAGCGCGCGGCGCGGTGACGGACGAAGACGGACGACGCGCGAGCGCGCGCGCGAAAAGGGTTCGAATGGGATGTATTTTTTTTTAATGATCAAACGAAGATGGATTCGTCACGACGGGTCGAGGGCGAGGGGGACCCAACGCTCGAACGCGGCGGGCGAGCCGTACCACGCGCGACCGGCGGCGTCGTCGGCGCCGAGAGGGGTGTGATAGACGTCGTCCAACACGACGTGACGCGCGCCGTCCATGAGGGCGGACTCGACGGGCGTGATGCCGTCGCCGTCGACGGCGGCGCGGCCGCACACTTGCTTGTATCCCTGGCCGAGCGCGAACGCGCCCGCGCTCGCGACGCCGTCGAGCGTCTCCGCGCCGCGCGCGTATTTCCCAGCCACGCACACGCACTCGATGCCGAGATCGCGCGTCAGTTCGCTCGCCGAGCGACAATTCTCGTCGACGTACGTCAGGATCCCTCGCGTTTGATCGACGACGCCCGGGACGTCGCGCGGCGCCGGTTTCATCGGCGAGCCCAGCGTCACCAGTCGCGCGATTCGCCCCACGATCGCCTCGCTCGCGTGTTCGTCGATGAAAACGCGCGCGAGCCATCCTCCGGCGCTGTGCGCGCACAGTATCAGCGCGACGTCGTCGTCGTCGCGCGTCGCTTCCTCGCACGCGTTCGCGAGCGCGTCTAAATACCAGTTCACCGTCGGTTTCGGTCGCAGCGTCCCGCGCCAGTACGCCGGCGTCGCCGCGCCGGCGGCGTTGCGGAGCCAATCGACGCGTCGCACGTCGGCGATCGTCGCGCCGTGCCCGCGCGCGCGCAGGAGCGCGGCGAAGGCGTCGTAATCCGTCCCGGCGTTCCCGAGACCGGGACAGATGACGACGTGCGGCTTCGCGGCCGCGCAGCGCGTCGCGCGCGCGCAGAAGCGACGCGGGCGACGCGAAGACCGCTCGCGCGCGTCGAGGCGCGCGCTCGCGGCGAGCGCGAGCGCGCGCGACGACATGACGCGACGAGGAGTGCCGACGAACGCGGCGAGCGCGACGAACCGCGGGACGAACGAACGACGCGTGAATGAATGCATCGATTAAATGAAGGCGCGATCTTCAGCGCGGTTGAGAAGCGTTAATCCGAGGTTCGTCGCGCGAAGACGAAGCGATCGGCGTCGGTGCTGAGGGCGACGCCGACGCCGGCGCCGCGCTCGTCTCCGGCGGCGGCGCGACCTTCGTAGTATAAACGAATGCGATCGCCCGCCATGGGCACGGCGTAAGGTTTGCCGACGCCTCCTTGATCCCACGCGCCCGCGGCGCCGGCCTCGAGCGCGGGCGCGCTCGGGCGAGTCCACGAGACGCCGTCGCGGGACGTCGCCACGGCGACGCTCGCGACGCCCGGCGCGCTCGACGAGTACGCCTCGTAAAACATTATGAATTCGTCCCGACCGAGCCTGACGACGCACGGCGCCGCCACGCCGGCGTCGTCGAACGAACCGCTCGGCCCGGGGCCGAAGATGGCCTCCGACCCGCGCTTGCTGTACGCGAACCCGTCCGCCGTGAGCGCCAAACCGACGGCGGATTTCCCCGTGCGCACGTCGATCGAGGCGTAGTACACCCGTATGTCCCTCGGTCCCGCGAGCAAAACCTTTGGATCGCGCACACCCCTCGCGTCCCACGCCCCGTCCTCGCCGCGATCGAACACCGCCCCCGTGTGGTGCTCGCCCTCGAACCGCGCCCAGTTCCTGCCGTCTTGCGAAAACGCCAGCCCCGGCCGCGTCGTCGTCGTCGCCGCCGCCGCCCCCGCCGCCGCCCCGTGATCGTACCCGTGATAAAACATCCAGTACACCGACCCTCCCGAGATGGAATCGCTCGAGATCAGCTGCACGTCGCCCAACTGCGTCCCTCTCGTGTCGAACGTCCACCAGTCCTCGCCGTTCGCCCCGAACACTCGTCCGACGTCGATCGACCGCCCGTCGACGTCGTTCCTGTACATCACCGCGTCCGAGTCCCCTCGCCGCCACGTCACGCCGTCCTCCGACGTCGCGATCGCGATCGAATCGTCGCCTCGCGCGTTCGTCGCCGCGTACCACATCGTCCATCGCGTCGCGTCGTCGCCTCGAAACGCCTTCACCACCGGCGCGCCCACGTGCGCGCCGTCGAAAGCGTCGCGCTGTTTGTCGTCGCCGTCGCGCGCCGGCGCGAACACGCGTCCCGCGTCGTCGCCGCCTCCGCGCGCGCGCGTCGTCCGCCGCGACGTCGCCGCGACGTCGCGCGTTCGACGCCTCGTTCGCGTCGCGCGCGCGACGGTCGTCGTCGCCGTCGCGCGCGACATGTCTGTCGCGCGTCGGACGGCGATCGTCGATCGTCGAGCGCGTCGAGCGCGCGTCGCGATGCGACGACGGCGCGCGCGGCGACGCCGCGATCGCGTCGGGCGGGACGTGGCGTTTCGGGCGAATCTTCTTGGCATTCGGTGGTGTTCGTATACGTATGTTTATGTGTGTGTGTGTTTTACGTATTGAAGGGGTCTGAGTGCTATATACAAGGGTTTAGAGCATAGCCCGGCCGCGCGCGCCGTCGCGGCGTCGCGGCGTCGTTCGCGCGCGCGGGGGGCGTTCGCGTCTTTCCATACATGGGAGTCGGATGACCTCGTATACGTGATTATACATCGTATATTGGGCGCGTGAAGCGGTGTATACGTATCGCGTGCGCGGTGCCCCGCCCCGGCCGCGCGCGCGCGCGCGAGACGCCGGCGCGTCGATCGAGACGCGCGCGCGCGAACGCGTCGATCGAGACGCGCGCGCGAACGCTCGACGCGCGCGACGGTCGATCGACGACGCGCATTTGGGCGATCGACGACGCGCGACGAACGCGCGAATCGACGGGCATCGGGAATCGCGAACACCATAGCGATTGCGAGCGATCGCGAACGAGGCGTCGCGAACGAATCGCGTGCGAATCGCGAGGCGGCGGTTCGAGGCGCGCGATGTCGCGACGGTCGAGCTCGGGGATGCCGGGACTCGGATCGCTGAGCTCGGCGGACAAGACGAAGGCGTCGACGATGCGGTTGTTTCAAAAATCGCTGCGAGACATGATCACGGGCATTCGCAGTCACAAGGATTCGCAGAAGGAGTTTATAAATAAATGCCTGAGCGACATACGCGCGGAGGTGGTGAGCTCGGACATCAGGACGAAGGCGGTGGCGATCGAAAAGGCGACGTACCTGCACTCGCTCGGGTATTCGATGCACTGGGCGTCGTTTCACGTGGTGGAATTGATGTCGACGACGAACGTAAAGTATAAGAGAATCGGATACTTGGCGGCGTGTCAAAGTTTTGGGGACGACACGGACGTGGTGCTGTTGATTCCTAATTTGTTGAAGAAGGATTTGGCGTCGCCGAATCCCGCGGAGGCGGCGCTGGCGATTTCGTGCCTGGGGAACATCGTGACGCCGGAGTTGTCGCAGACGCTCGTGGCGGACGTGTACTCGCTGTTGAACAATCATAAGCCGGATTTGCGACGACGAGCGTGCTTGTGCCTGTACAAGTGCTTCTTGCGATATCCCGAGGCGCTGCGACCGTCGTTCGCGCGATTGACAGAATGTCTGGACGACGACGATCAATCCGTGGTGCAGGCGGCGGTGACGGTGCTTTCCGAGCTCGCCATGCACAACCCGAAGACGTACCTACCGCTCGCGCCCAAGTTTTATAAACTCTTGACGTCGAGCTCGTCGAATTGGATGACGATCAAGCTCGTGAAGGTTTTCGGCGCGCTCACGCCGCTCGAGCCGCGACTGGCGAAGAAGCTCGCGGGGCCGATCTCGGAGATTCTCGAAACCACCAACGCCAAGTCGTTGATGTACGAGTGCGTGCGCACGGTGGTGATGGGGATGACGAGTCAAGAAAAGGTCGTCCGCCAAGCGGTGGACAAGCTCAAGGATATGTTGGAGGATCACGATCCAAACATCAAATTTTTGGCGTTGCACGCGTTGACGTTTTTGCTCGATTCGCACCCGCGCATCGTCGCCGAGCACAAGGGGAACATCTTCGAGTGCCTCGACCACGAAGATTCAAACATTCAATACTGTGCGTTGAAAATTGTGTGCGGTTTGGTGACGAAGCGCACGCTCATCGACACCACGGCGCACTTGATGAACGCCATGGGCAAGGCGGATCAACGCTTCAGGGACGAACTCGTGTTGAGCGTGATTCACATCTGCATGAACGAGCGCTACGCCTTGGTGACGGATTTTGTGTGGTATCTTTCCGTCCTCGCGGATCTCATTCGTGTCCCGTGCTCGTCTCACGGCGCGCTCATCGGTGAACAAATCATCGACGTGTGCTTGCGCGTCGAGGTGATTCGCGAAGCCGCGGTGGGCATCTTGGGCCCGCTCTTGCTCGATGACTCATTGCTCGAGCAATCCAACGTCAACAAGACCGTGCCCGGAGCGCTCAAGGCCGTGGCTTGGGTCGTGGGCGAGTATGCGCACTACGTTGTCGATCACGAAGAAATTCTCGACGCGTTGCTGAGCCCGCAAGTCAAGCAACTCCCGGGCGACGCGCAAGCGGTCTACTTGCAAACCATCTTCAAGGTTTACGCCAGTGCGGTGCTGATGTACTCTCAGGGCATTCGCCCCACGGGCGCCTTGGGTGCGCTCCCGGCACCGGCGACGGAGCCTTTGATCGAGCTCGCCGAAAACGGCGGTGAAGACGGCGGCGCGGCGAGCGCGCCGACGCCGGGCAAGTTGGTTCCCGAATCCGAGGACCTCGTCGTGTTGCGTCAAAAAGTCTCGCGCGCGATCGAGCCGTTCACTACGAGTTTTAATCTCGAAGTTCGCGAGCGAAGCTGCCAACTGCAGCAAATGCTCGTCATCGTCGGCTCGTCCGAGGACAAGGAACCGGGCTCGGGAATCGCCATAATCGAAGCTTTCGCCACGGTTTTGAGCGAAGAGATCCAACCGGTGAGTGTCAAGGCGCAGCGTAAGATCGACATCCCCGCCGAGCTCGGCGCGGACGAACCGATGAGCGCGGAGTGGGACTACCTACTCGTCAGCAGCGACGACGAGGACGACGACGAGTACGCGAGCAAAAAGGGCAAGAAGAACAAAAAGAACAAGAAGAAGGACAAGATGGCCAAGGAGATTCGCGACGTCACCGAAATTTTCGGTGCGAAGAAGAGCAAGGAACAAATCGCTCGCGAAGAGCGAGAATCGCGCGAAATGCTCGCCAAGCACAGGGAAAAGATGGGGCAATACTATCTTGAGGGCGACGCCGCGGGCGACGAGAAGAAGAAGTCGAAATCGCCTAAATCTCTCCCCGGTCCGGAGTCTGCGACGATGAACGCGCTCGAAGCTCGATTGGCGAATTACAACGTTGGCCAAGCGGAACGACCGACGATCAAGGGCGAAAGCGAAAGCGAGAGCGAGGAGGAGGAAGTGCCGACGGGGCCGAGGAAGGGCAAGCATTACGATCCCAAAGTCGCCTCTTCGCAGTTGCACGGCGAGCTCGGAGCGTACAACCCCATGAAACCGCTCGATCGCGGTGAGCACTTGCCATCAGTCGAGGCATACCCACGATTCGATCCGTATTCAAAGGACGACGCGGCATTCAACGCGTTTTCCCCGGACGCGGGCAAGCACCACAAGTCTTCAAAGGAGAAAAAGTCGAAGAAGGACAAGTCCAAGTCGAAGAAAAAGAAGGCGAATGGCGAAGGTATCGACGAAGCCGGCGCTAGCAACAAGGGGGGCTCAAAAGAGAAGAAGGCGAAGAAGGAAAAGAAGAGCAGCGAGAAGAAGACGAAGGCGGCGGACGTCGACGGCTTGGCAAAATCGCTCCTAGACGCCGCAGTGTAATTCGTTGTTCATGCACGATCGACGTCATTATCGTGACTGATCGTGTCGCAGGTCGCTCGTTGACGAAGTGTCCACCGTATCACCGTTTCATGTGACCATTAGTCGTGCTGCTGTTGCTGTGTATTAATTACTACCCCACGTTATCGTGAAAAATGACCGCTCGTCTCCCAATTCAAATTTCATTTTCGCGACGAAAAAAACGCCCGCACAGCGCACACTTTGACGCTCGGCATCCGTGCGACGCGTTCTGCAACTATTTACAGCACCGACGCCCGCACGAACAGTCATGACAGTGACGTGGGCCGATGCAGGAAATGCCAGCGCGAAGCTCACACTCGAGGACGTTCGTGGGTGGGCCGTGGAGTATGGGTTCGTGAAGACGAGCGTGCCGTCCGATCGTCCGATCGCCCAACGCGTCGATCTCGCGGCGTTTTTCAAGGTTTACAACACGAATGCGTTTTCAACGTTTAAAGATAAATTCAAGAAGAAGCGATTGAAACCGCCGAATGAGACCCAGGTGAGCTAACTGCGGGCACTCGACGTCTCCGGCGGCGCGATCGACTGAGCGAACACACGACTGACGGGTTTCGTGAACGTAGGATGCTGACGATGACGACGACGACGAGTTGACAGAAGAACAAATCGCTACTTTTCTATCTGAATATGAACAACACAAAGACTACGAGACGCTCAAGTGGCGATACGTCAAACGTCCAGGAGCCCAAGCTGCGCGCACAGAAGCGTGGTACGGATGCTACGGCCCGACTCAGTACCTCAAACACGGCGAGAACAAGGAGAAAGCTCCTGTTTGGCGAGAAGACGGATCCATCGATTACGGTGGACGCGCGAAATGGGACGCCTGGGACGCGTGTAAAGGAATGACTGAGCAGGAAGCCAAGATTGCGTTCGTGCGCGCCATTCGCTCGGCTTTGGCGGCTCCGCACGAAAACTTTTACTGACAACTGCCTCATGCCTTCCTGGCCAACGTGCGTTGCTTTGTGGCCACTTGAACAATCTTCTCTTCGACCTGTCACGTGGTGAAAAATGCGCTGGTTAGTCCACGAACTTTATTAATGAGACAAGACGCACCTTTAAGCCTTTTCGCCGGCGCACCGAGTCCATGAGTTGTCGTGCTATGTTGGGTCCGACGTCACCCTCTTCACCGTATTCTTCTCGCTCTTCTTCCGTGGTCGGCGTAAAAAATGGATCCATATCTATGGGGCTCCAGTGACTAAATACTAATTGCGCTGTGGACGCCCCTGAGGTTTGCGCGCGGAGCTGATCGACAAAGCCAAACGCCGTCGCCACCGGCAGGTAGGCGTGGATCACGAACACCCCCGTGCCCTCGCGAATGGTCTCCGACAACACTTGCGATCGGCGTTTACCGAGCACGGCGTAAGTACCTCCGAGTGCGTCCGCAGTGGTAGTGATGACCGCCAAGTACATCGCCTCGACAAGACGCGTTCCGGCCTTGAGCACGGCTTTGCGAATCGCGTCTCGAACCGCATTGATGATTTGACCCGAGAGCGGACCAAACTGATCGCCATCTGTATCTTCGACGGTACGGTCGTCATCTTCATTGCCTCGATTCACGGCAACGTTCAGCGTTATCTGCACTCCAGTCAGCGGTTCGTCGCAGAGCGGGCCGCGATCGGTCGCCATCTGAAATCCCGTCAACACGCTTCCTTGCACCGAGTTCAAATCAAAATCAGCCGCGACGTCTTCTGGCGGAGACCCGTCCATGTCATAGGGCTTTCTCACCCCGAGCGCGACGCCCACGTTAGCGTGGCCAAACTCCTTCTCTTCATCATCCACGTCTACGGTGTACGTGCCGACGTTGAGCACGTTTGATCCTACGCGCTTCGGTCCTAGAGCCCACGCCGAACGAAATGTATCCTCCACTACTCCTTCGGGACCTTGCTCATCGTACGTAGCCGCTTCGCGCGCTGCCGTCACTTTCTCAATGAATGCTTTGGCGAGCATTTTGTTCTCGTCGCTTTCGGTGTCTTTGGCGAGCAATATCACCTTGAGCGCATCCGCAGAATCATCCACCGCGCGAACGATGAAGTTGTGAATGGGTTTCGCCGTGCACGTAAACGTCAGACGTCCATTCGCCGTCGACGACGACGCCGTACCCGTGGTCGTGACGCCTTCGCGGAAGGAAATGATTGGCGGGGACACACGTATGGGAACCTTGGCGAATCGCTCGCGCAAATCCGCGACGCATCGCTCGAGATGCACTTCACCCGCCGCCGCGACGACGTGCTCGCCCGTGTCCATCACGCTCACCTCGACAAAGGCGTCAGCTCTATTCAACAGCCGTAAACCTTCGACGAGAGCGTCCATGTCGGTCACGTTTTCGGGTTCAACCGCCACCTTCACGATCGCCGACGCCTGAAACATCATTTCCCCAAACGGCGGGCACTCGAGCGAAGACGAGAGCGTGGCGGACTTTAAAATCGCCCTGTCCAAGCCGCCAATGGCGAGCAAGTTTCCGGCGGGAACTTCATCCACCTTGAACATCCCTTGACCCATCATGAGGTACAGCTCGGTAAGCTCCACTTCTTCGATGTTCGACGCGTCATAATCGCTCGGGTCGTGCTGAGAATTCAACACGTAGAGCTTGTCGCCTTTTCGTACCGTGCCCGAATAAATTCTCGCAAAGGCTAAAAACTTGACGTCGCCACCACCCGCTTCGGTGAGCGCACCTTGGACGTGTACCTTGGGCACAGCTATCATCTTACAGACGAAAATGATCTTGGGCGCGTCATCCGAAGCCTTACCTGCGATTACCGCGCGTCGGGCCTCGTCCAAGCCTTTCGGGCGCGCGCCACGCAGTACGGGCTGTGGCATGACTCGATTGACGCGTCGCGCCGCGGCGGCTACTGGATTCGGCACGCAATTCACCACCATCTCTAATAAACACGATGACATCGGAAGCCAGGCACGCATGACGCTCTGTAGAGCCGCTCGACGATCCGTGTTTTTCAGCTCTCGCTCGCCCACGTCCACCTTGAGTGCTCGAGCGAGGGTGGCCAAATCCTTTTCCACCCACTCGCCGTTTTTTTCGCTCTCCGCCGTGCGATAGATCTTCCAGATCGGCTCCAAAATGCACTGCACGAACAAAGGTTTAAGTTTCCCGTTCGCCACTTTGCGACTGACGATCCGTTTCATCTTCGGGTGGTAATACCAATCTCCGCACAGCGCCTTGGTCAACGCCGCGGACGAGCACCCGAGCTTTTCGGCGTACAAATCCGCGAACGCGTCTGGGCGAAACGCCCATCCATCGATCGCGCTCCCAAACGCCACGTTCCCGCTCGCGATGTTAAACGCCTCTTCCTCATTCACTAAATCTTCTTCGTCTTCGAGATAATCACACGTCGTCGTCGTCGTCGTCGCGTCGTTCTCGCCGCCGTTTTCGCCCCTTCCCTCCTCGTGCGCGTCGAAGGCGCTCAAAAAAGTATCCGCCTGCGATATAAACTTTTCGCTCTCAAACGCGCTCATCAACCCGTTCACCTCGTGCAACAACGACCGTATTCTCTCGTACGCTTCCATCGGCGTGTAACCGAGCTCGACACACACGCGATCGAGCTTATTAAATACCAAGCACGGCTTCAATCGTTCCTCCCACGCCTGTCGCAGCACCGCGTGCGTCTGCACGCACACCCCCTCCACGACGTCCACGACGACCAAGCACCCGTCGCTCAGCCGCGCCGCCGCCGACACTTCGCTGCAAAAATCCACGTGTCCCGGCGAATCGATCACCGTTATCAGCACTCGCTCGACGATTTCTTCGCCGCCCTCGTCGCCGTCGCGCTTTTTCTCGCGCGCCGCCCTCGGCGTGTACAGCAGCGCGATCCCCGCGCTCTTCATCGTGATCCCTCGTCGCTGTTCGTCCTCGTGAAAGTCCATGTACCGCATCTGTCCCGCTTGCTTTTGCGATATGAACCCGTTGTGCGCCACGAGCGCGTCCGTGAGCGTCGTCTTGCCGTGATCGACGTGCGCGAGCACGCACACGTTTCGGCACTGCGCGCCGTCGTCGCGCGCGAATCGCAGCGCGTGCAGCGCTTTCACGGCGTCGTCCATCGCGACGCAGTCCGCGCTCGGTCCTCGGACGCGCCTTCCTCGCCCCGGCTCTCCGCTCTCCGCTCTCCGCTCTCGGCTCTCGGCCTCGGCCTCGCCGCCGTCTGTCGCCCGCGCGCGCGCGCGTTCGTTAGCGCGCCGGTCGCGCGGGCGTCGCGTCGTCCGCGGTTCGCGGTCTCGCACTTTTTCACGCATTGAAGACGCATGTAGACCGATGTGTGTGTGTACATCCCCATATCATAATATATAACACACGGACACGCGTGGCCGTCCGCGACGCGTCCGCGACGTCGCGATTTCGCGCGCGTCCGGGGCGCGGCGCTGGACCCTACCTGATTTATGTATGGACGTCCGGGGTGCGGCGCTGGACCCTACCTGATTTATGTATGGACGCGCCGTGTCGACGCGTCGCGTACGCGAGACCACGCGAGCGGTATCAATCACCGCGTTCGCGTCGATCCATCCTCGCCCGCGTCCCGGCGATCCGTCGGACGGCCGCGGCCGTTGGCGTCGCGTCGACGCCGACGCGACGACGGAGCGCGACGCGCGATGGGCGCGAGGGCGCGCGCGCGAGACGCGAGACGAACGACGCGCGCGTTCGTCGCGATTCTCGCGCTCGCGCTGCGCGCGGCGACGACGCCCGCGGCGGTGCGCGCGACGCGAGCGACGAGAAGACGGACGAAAGACGACGACGACGACGAAGAAAGACGCGACGACGACGAGGGACTGACGGACGGACGCGACGACGCAGGGAACGACGCTGCGATGGCGAAAATTACACGCGTGGGGGGAGAACAAGCTCGGGGAACAGGGACGAGGCACGGTGCGGACGAAACGCCGAAACGCGACGCGACGGGACGACTGACGAGACGCGCGGCGCGGCGGCGAACAGGCGACGAGCGCGGGGACGTGCGCGGAGGGAGAGCTGCCGGAATTAGGATGGGATCTGAACGGTGCGTCGAACTGACGGTGCGCGCGTTGATCCAGCGGCGAACTGACGGTGCGCGCGTTGATCCACGACAGAGACGGTGTCGCGCGTCGTCGCGGGCCTGGACCACGCCGTGGCGCTCACCGCGCGAGGCGAGGCGTACGCGTGGGGGAGCAATCGATGCGGACAGCTCGGCACGGGAGACTTTATAGATGCGCTCACGCCACAAAGGATTTTGAGCTCGCACACGATCGTGGACGTCGCCGTGGGCGTCGAACACACGCTCGCGCTCGCGAGCGACGGCGCGCTCTTGGCATTCGGGTGCAACACGCGAGGCGCGCTCGGGATCGGGTCGGCGAATTTAGGCAGGCACGCGACGCCGCAAACGGTGACGTCGGCAGAGACGTTCACCGCGATAGCCGCGGCGGGCGCGCACAGCGTAGGACTCACCGAACAAGGGGCGGTGTACACGTGGGGGGCAAACAACCAAGGCCAGCTCGGTGCGTCTCGCTTTTTCGCTCGCGCCGCGACGACGCGCACGGCGCGGACGGACGACTGACGACGCGCGCGACGAACAGGGCTCGGTGGATGCGTTTTTCCGGGCGGCCCGGGACGGGATCCGTGCCTGAACGACGTGCACACGGTGAGAGAAACGAACGCTTCGCGTCATGATTTATTAATTAATTTTTTTATTTCGCAGCCCACGAAAGTGCTCGTGATGAACGACGGGCTCGTTTTACCGCCCATTAAATTAATCGCCGCCGGCGGAGGCACGTTGGCGGGCGTGGCGCGCGTTCCCATCGGCGGACACACCGTGGCGGTGGCGAAATTAGATAATTCAGTGTACGCGTGGGGCGATAATTTTGCCGGACAGTTGGGTACGTCATCAGAGCGCGCCTCGAGCGATTCTGACGTTTCCACAGGCGTGCCGCAGGTATACTTCAACGCGTCGTCATCCGCGTACTTTAACAACACTCCGACGTACACCCCGAACAAGGTACGGCGCATTTTTCTCGCGCAGGATGCACATTTAATTAATTAATTAATTCGCAGTACGACGCGACTACCGGAGAGTATTACAACCGTCACGAAAAACCCATGGTCGTGCACGCACACGCCATCGTCGTCGCGAGCGGCACCAGCGTGCAAGCGAATAAGACGATTCTCCCGGCGATCAAGCAAATAGACGCGGGGATCGCGCACACGATTATGCTACTCGAGACGGGTGAAATTTTCACGTGGGGGGACAATTACTACGGTCAACTCGGGCTCGGATACGCGTCGCGTCAGAACACGCCGCACATGTTCTACGTCACGCGCTTTCGCGACGTTCCGCAGATGATTGACAAGCCCACGCGCGTGAAGAAGTTTGACTTTGTCGAAGAGACGGTGGTGAATTCTGTACCGATTAATTATACCATCACCGGGTACGTTTCGCGCGGAATCAACGCCCAAGAATCGGTGACGAATCGTACCTTTACTGACTCCGTTCGCGCGTAGGACGATAAAGGAAGAGGGCAACGCGATATTCACACAGGTGCGAAATTAATTTTGATTAATTTAATTATTTCTCGTCGAGAAGCGCGCAAAGACTGATTGAGCGCGCTCTGCGCGGCGTATCACGCAGGTCAGCGCCGGTGGTCACGTCTCCATGGCGATCACGTCCAACAATAAGCTATTCATATGGTACGTGCGACCGCACGCCGCGACCACCAACGCAGCCGCAGACTGACGCTGAAATTTTCGTTTTCTCGCGCGCAAGGGGCGATAACTCTGAGGGTCAGCTCGGCGCTTGTGGATGCGGAGGATGCGTCGCGTACGACGCCGCGGACACGGGCGTATGCACAGTCAATTCCACGGCAGCGTGTCCATGTAATTGCGGGGGACAAGGCACGTGCGTGTACACCCCTGCTTCGGCGGCGAACAACTTTATCGCGACAAACGAAGGTAAATGCGTCACCTACGGCACAGGCGCCGAGGCGGTGGCCAAGTGCAATTGCGCTAAAGGCGCTCTAAATCCTACTCTGAACCCTCCCCGGATGGTGGGGCAGATAAGTCTCATGGATGAACCGATGGTGTCTGATTTGAGCTACGAAAAGCAGTTCACGACGGTGACGTACGCGAGCGCCGGTGGCGGCGCCATGTTCGCCATATCCGAATCCAACTGCAAAGACGACGCTGACGGCGTCGTGTGCTCTGGACGAGGACAGTGCTTAGCTGATGGTTCGTGCAACTGTAACGACGGCTCTGGTGGACCGACGTGTGAGAACGTGTGCCCGCTGGCGACGGATGAGGACGAGGCGCTATTCTCCCGATACGGTCTCGACGAAAACATCGCCGGTGAAAAGTGCGCGGGCCACGGTACGTGCGATCCAATCACCGCGGAGTGCATTTGTGACCCCGGCTTTTTCGGCCCGCGCTGCACGTACATCTGCCGTCGCGATGCAAACCTGAAAGTCTGTTCCGGGAACGGCACGTGCGTCTACAACCCCGAAACCTCCTCGTCGCCCTACTGCGAATGTGACCGCTTCCAAAATCCGGGAGAGTGTGCGCAGCGTGGTCTACAGCTCTATCCTCAAGGTTGGTGCAGCTTTCACGGTGGTGAAGCCACGGGAGGCTTTGCGAGCTGTTTCGTCGCCGGCGTTTGCGGCGACTGCGAGAGTCCCGCCGCGGGACGCTTCGATTCGCCCCTCGTCCTCGTCCTCTTGTTCGCCGCCGTCGTCGTCTTCGTCTTCGGCGACGATTCGCATCGAGACGGCATCGCGTAAATCTTTGAATATCTTCCCTCGTTCGTCCGAGCGTGACTTGTAATCCACGCACGCAAGCACGCGAACGCCCGGCTCGCCCGCGCGCCGCGGCTGCGCTTTGGACCAGTCGAGCGCGAGAATCGCTCGAACCGACACACTCGAGCGCTCGTCGCCGCGCGCGAGCGGGCACCCGCGCGAAGACGCGACGGAAACGAAACAAACGATCACCGGGACGTGTCGACGCGCGATTCTCGCGCGATAACGACGCGTCGAACGCGCGCGACGTTGCGAAATGTCTCGAGGGGGACAACGCTCGGCGTCGACGTTTGACGACCCGGGGACGTCGCTGAGCGACGCTCGCGGACGAGGAAGCGCGCACGATGGGTCTCGAAACGCCTCAGGGTCGCTGCGCGCGACGAATGGGAGCAGGAGCGCGAATGGATCGGACACGGCGAGCCGAACGGTGAACGGCGGCGGCGCGAACGCGGCGCTCGAACTGGCGGCGACGACGTGCGATGAGTTGGCGCGCGTGCTCGAGTCGCGACGGTACGGACGAGAGAGTGCGAATTTAGGCAGCGAAGCGATGAAGACGATCGAGACGATCGAGCGCGTGTTGAAGCGAAATAGAGAAAATTTGAGGGAATTTTTCAGCGCGTGTTTTCAGCCAATTTTGTGTCGGTTGTTTTCGTTCGACGGATCATCCAGTGAGGGGTGGATGAACGCCGCGTTCACCACCGGAAGCGAGAGAGATGTGAAAGACTTGTTGGATTTCTTATCTCCGGAGGGATCGTTGATCCGAGCGATGTTGATCGCAGATTCGGACAAGTTGGTGCAGTTCGCGTTTCCGCTCGATCGTCTGCCGGAACGAACACAAAGAATGTTACAGACGGAAAGCGGAGCGATGGCGCTGAACCGATCACCCCCATACGCTGGTTGCATTAAACGAGACAGTGTGGGGAAGTATCAGGTGCATTTGGGGCTGTATCATTACTTCATGTTTTGGACGGCATATTTCGCGATGCGACCGGGGGGAAGACGAGGGTCGTCGTCATCGTCGCTTTATTCTGCGGGACAAAGTCCGTCTTACAAGAGTGGAAGTGGTCCTTTCGGTGGCACTGGATCTCCAATCAGTAGTGGTGCTGCGTTTCTCGGTGGGCAGTGGCCATCGACGCCGTCTTTGATGCAACGCGCGCCGTCGAAGCGCGTGCATCCGTATCGCGAGTTGTTACTCTCGCACTTGAAATTCTTTCTTCCGCGCGAGGAGACGGGAAAGAGTTGGGGCGGTGGCGGTAAAAGTGGTGATGATAAGGCGAATGCGGTGCAAGCTGAGTTTCTGGTGAGCATTTTGAGCGAATTTTGGATGCCCGTGGAGGAGGCGCGGGGGCCGCAGTCGGGCGACGGCGCTCGAGGCGCGACCGGATCGCCGTTTCGAAGCTCGTTCCCAGCCATGGGTCGCGTCGTCGACGCTGCTATGCGCCAGGCAAACATGAGCCCAGTGCGTTCGAGCGGCGATGCGCACCGACGAGACGGCACGCGCAGGTATGCGTACAACCCACCCGCGGTGGATCACGTCAACGCGGTGACACTCTTGATTACGTACTTGTTTGCCGAACTTCCAGATCGTCGACCGGAGAACTTAGAGGCGATGAAAACCATCGAGCGCGCGCGTGAGATGATCCAACGCCCGCTGTATTGCTTTTTACGCGATGCCTTTACGCAGTGGCCGACTGAAAGCTCGACAAATACGGAACCCATGGTGACGCTTTGGGTGGCGTATTTTGCGCCGTGGTGCGCCAAATATCCGCAGAGTCAGACGAAGTCGTCGTCGAGCGGATCGAAGCGCTCAGGATCACCGCGCGCCATGCTTACTTCTCCACTCAAATCTAGCGGTAGTGGATCTTCATCAAAGGTGGCGGGGTACGACGACGCGTTGCTCTCGCGCGGAAAAGAGTTCAAGTTTGACGATCAAGTTGTCGACACTCCTGGGGTGTTTTCCCACGTTCGTCACGTGTTGAAGAGCATTCCGTTCTACCATGAACTGATGAAGCATTTCTTAGAACTGTGCTGTAAGCGCGTGCCGCTCGACGCCGAGGGCACGGCGACCGTGTTGCTGGCGGCTTTGGAACCGCTCGCGGCGGCGCCAAAGTTGTTGAAGATCTTACAAGACGTTGAAGACGGCTACGCCGAGTTTGTTCTGGACCCATTCAAGGGAACTCTGAAAACTATGCAAGCGCGAGAAGATTTAGCGGCGAACGCGGAATCATACTACCCTCTCATTCGCTCTCAGCTCCAAGAATGGGAACCCGACGTCGACCCCGTGACGCTTGGCGACACGCTTCCGGGAACGCCCGGGTCCGCGGTGAAGAGCTCGCCGCTGAGCAAGTGGCACGGTGCTGCTGCACGCCTAGCGGCAAACAAATCATTCGAATCGGACAAAGCCAATGGGGGAAGTTCCAAGCATTTGCGCATGTTCACACCGGAGACCGACGGGTTGGCGCAAGTTGCCATCGCGCTCATTCATCGCCTCGAGCGCGACGCAACGCAAGTGCCTACGTCTCATCCGCTTCGCAAGAAAGTGCCAGCATTTCGAGCGGCCTCGTTCACGGTGTTTCGCTTGGAAAGATTCCGCGATACGCCGTACCTGAAGAGCCCAACGTCGACAAAGTACGTGGACACGGACGCGGGTGAGAATCGTCAAGGATGGTCATCCGCGCGCACGAGCGCGAAAGAAATGTACAAGGGTGAGTGGATGCACAGACCGATCGGTGGAAATGAAATTACTTTGCTCGTGAAAATTTTGGTGCCCATTTCGGTGTTCTTGAACAAAAAGCTCGGACTTGACGGCGTGGCCACGGATGAGGGCGCGAACAAGCGACGAATCGCGTACGCCGACGTGCGTTCGGCGGTGACGGAATCGTGGGCACGCGCGCGGCGAACATCGCGACGGGGCAACCCCGTTGTGGACTATGTGTTCTCGATTTTTGCCGTTTTAGAGGAGGTGACGCTCGGATTGTGTCGTCGTAAAGGGTTGACCGTCAACTTGCGACCTTTTAGCGAGTATCAAATGCTCGCGCTCGCCTGGTGCGCCTACGTCGCGTTCTGGTTCGCGCGCGTGGTTTTGGCCGTGATCACGATGGATTTTGACGAAGATTACTGATGCGCACTACTTTTCTACATAATCTAGACCGCTGCTTGCAATGCCGACGACTTAGCACACGAAGAACCAATAAAATCTAGTCATTCTTTGCGCCAGAACTGCGCTCGCCGCCAGAGCGATGGCTTGTTCGGCGCGTCGATCGCCGATGCGTCCAGCGGCGGCGGCGGCGAGTAGCGCGCCGTCGTTTCTTCGTAAAACAGGCTCAAGAGCTCGCGAAAGCCTAAAGTGAAGAGAAAGCTCAAAACTAATCCGCACACCAGCAAGGCGAACGTCGCCGCGCGTTCGAGCGGCGTCCCGAGCACCCACACGCGATCGAACGCCGCGCCGTTGATGAATCCCGCCGCGGCTTCGCCCACGGTCGTCGCTTCCGCGCCGAGCATGAGGTTCGGCAGCGACGGGACGCACGCCACGAAAGCTCCGACGGTGCCGCACACGAGTGCGGCGCACACGGTGGAGCACAAAAACGTCGTCTTCATCAACAGCACGCGATATCCGTACATCAACTCTCGCGAACGCGCCATCGCCTCGCGAGGCGTCTTTCCCTCGTTCACCAGCACCGGACCCGCGACGGCGAAATCTAGAAGTTTAATCAATCCCAAGTACGGAATCGGAACGGTGATGAGCGAATTCCACGCGACGGACGCCAGCCGTCGTAAATCCAACACGCACAACGACGCCAAAACCCCTCTCGCGTCCTTCAACTCCCCGTGCGCCGCCCTCACCGACCACCCCATCGAATTCACCGCCGCGAGCGCCCCGCGTCGATCCGAGCGCGCCTCTCCCTCTTTCTCTCCCTCGCGCCGCAACACGCACGTTCGCGCGTACTGCGCGCACGCGAACTTCCACGCCGCCACCCCCAGCGCGAACGCCGCCGCCACGATCGGCACCTCGTGCGCCCTGAACAGCGCCAGCGCGAACGTCCCTCCCAGATTCACGCTCTGCGCCCACGCGCCCGCGACGAGCGCAAGCGTCAGCGCGCGTCCCGTCCGCGCGCGCGTTCGCGCGAGCGCCGCCGCCGTCGCCCCGATCGCCGTCGCCAGCGCGTCCTCCTCCCGCGTCGCCCGCGTCGTCGTCGTCGTCCCGCGCGTCGTTCTTCGCGTCGCCGTCGCCGTCGCCGTCGCCGTCGTCGTCGCCGCGCGCGTCGTCGTCGTCGTCGGTCGTCGCGTTCGCGCGCGCGTCTCGCGCGTCGTCGTCGTCGCGCGCGCGCCGACCCGCGCGACGCGCGGACGCGATCGCGAAGAACGTCGCGCGATCGCGCGCGAGACCGTCGGCGCGATCGACGCGCGCGCGACGGTCGTCGTCGCCATCGCGCGCGTCGCGCCGTGCGGGCGGCGACGGCGACGCGCGTCCGCGCGAAGGGTCTCGCGCGCCTTCTAATACGTGACAAAACGTCGTACTGTAGGAAGACGACGGGCATGTGTGCGACGCGCCGTGCGGTCGTCGTCCGCGCGAACCGTCTCGCGCGCCTTCTAATACGTAATAAAACGTCGTACTGTAGGAAGACGACGGCCATGTGTGCGACGCGCCGTGCGGTCGTCGTCCGCGCGAACCGTCTCGCGCGCCTTCTAATACGTAATAAAACGTCGTACTGTAGGAAGACGACGGCCATGTGTGCGACGCGCCGTGCGGTCGTCGTCCGCGCGAACGGTCTCGCGCGCCTTCTAATACGTGACAAAACGTCGTACTGTAGGAAGACGACGGCGATGTGTGCGACGAGGGGAAAGAAGCGCGACCGGCGCGTCGGCGCGTCACTCGGCGACGTCGCGAGGCGCGCGCGCGGTCGACGACCTCGAGCGACGCGCGCGAAGGGCGCGTCGACCGAGCGCCGACGCGAGGACGCCGTCGCGACGCCGTCGCGACGCCGTCGAGACTCGAATCGGATTTGAATTGAAGATTTGAAGATTTGAAGATTTGAATTCGCGACGCGACGCGACGGGACGGGACGGGACGGGACGATGGAGAGCGAGCGCGCGGTGCGCGCGATGGCGCCGGCGCGGGACGATGAGAACGCGATGGTGCGCGGGAAAGCGGCGCGCGCGAGCGGGCGCGAAAGCGCGGGACTTGGGGTCGGGAAGACGGCGGCGGCGAAGACGCCGGGGCGAGCGGCGCTGGGGAACATCACGAACGTCGGCGTCGGGGGGCGAGGCGCGAGCGAACGCGCGCGGGCGAAGGAGGGGAGCGAGGGCGTGAGGGCGCGACAGAGCGCGAGGGCGGGCGAGGCGAAGAGGGCGGAGGCGGAGTCGTCGTCGTTTTTGGAGAGCGTCAAGGCGAAGTTGACGCCGGCGGAGGCCGTAGAGATTCGGCGACTCGCCGAGCGGTACGTGGATGAAACGGACGATATCGAATACTTTGCGGGAAAGACGCGGGAGGAGCAAATGAAGGAGTTAGAGGCGACGCAACGCGCCGACGTGGAGGCGCGCGTACGCGATTTGCTCGGCGACGGTCGAGGGTACGGGCCCTCGTCCGTTCCGGCGCGCTCGACGAGCGCGGATGACGCTTTCTTCCAGACCGGCGTGAAGCATTTGAAGTTAGCCGACGACGTGGGCGCGGGATCGTTCGAGTTGGGGATGACCAAGGACGACGAGTTGGATTTGTGCAACTTTATGAGTCCGTCCAAGGCGATGGGCGACGACGACTACGACGACGGCATGGATTTGCTCCGCTCGGCGCCGTCGATCGATGAGGCTTTGGCATTTTTGGACGACGATATCGATGCCATGCTCGCGGCGTGAGTTTGCGGTGTGAATGAAGTAATAGTAGAGAGTAGCGCGCGAGAGACGCGCCGCTCGCAAAGACGACGCGCGATTTTGTATCTCATCTTGTAAGCGATCGCTCAGTAGTGATGAATATCGCAACCACCGCGCGGCGGGTTGGTTTTTGCCGCGAATATGTGATTACCTAATAATGTCTAGTGCGCCGCGACTAAGATTCAGGACTTAGCGTCGGCTTCGCTCAACGCCGCCGCCCGCGGCGCGAGAAGAGTCGACGCCAGATGGATTTTTTTCGTGACTTTTCCCGCGCTCCCGCGTCGTCGTCACGACGCTCGGGTGTGATCCACGGATGTTTCAACGCCTGGCGCGCCGTCAACCGCTCGTTTGGATCGCGTTCGAGGACGCGTGTCATGAAATCTGTAAAGCCGTCGTCTCCGAGCCGTGCAATTTCGCCGAGGTCTACGCTTTCGCGAAGCACTTTTTGGTACGTATCCCACGCACCGTCGGCTTGGTAAAAGTACCGTCCCGTCGCTAACGCGTGAAGCGTCATTCCGAGCGCCCAAACGTCGGCTTTGAACCCATCGCACGGTTCGCCCTCGCAACACTCGGGGGCGGTGAACGCGGGCGTTCCCGGAGTTTTCCCCACGAATTCGTGCGTCCGCTCGAGCTCCGACGCGTTGGCGTTCGTTTTCGCGTTCGCTTTTGCTTTCGCCCGCGCCTTCGCCTCGCGTCGACTCCCCACTACGATCGGTTTCACGCGTGTCGCGCACCCGAAATCCCCGAGCTTGTACGCGCCGCTCGCGCTCGCGAAGATGTTTTGCGGCTTGACGTCGTAATGCGCGATGTTTCGCGCGTGACACGTCCGCAGCGCGCGCAAAATATCCCGCGCGATCGCCTTCACGTCCGATAAATCAAACCTCTCGAACGTGTCGCGCTCATCGTCCACCACGCTCCCGCGCTCGCAATATTCCATCACGATTTTCGCCGTCGACTCCCGCGCGTCGTTCACCCACTCGTACGCTTGCACCACGTTCGCGCACCGACACTCGCTCTGCATCCTTATCTCTTCCTCCGCCGCGTCCAACAGCGTTCGCGACGATCCCACGCGCACGTTCGCCAATTTTCTTTTATTCAACTCCTTCACCGCGTACGCGTTCGCGCGCCCGCGCCCGCTCGTCGTCGTCGCCGTTTCCTCCCTCCCCGTCGTCCCCGTCGCCTCCGTCCCCGTCCCCGTCCTCGTCCTCGTCCCATCCGTCGTTTCGCTCTTTTCGCTCGCGTATTTGTACACCTCGCCGTACGCGCCTCGTCCGAGCGTCTCGCCTCGCGTCCCGTACGCGCGACGCATTCGCCTCGACGTTCGCCGCGCGCCGCCGCGCGCCGTTCGCCGACCGCCCGTCGCCGCGCGTCGTCCGCAGCACGTCCGCGCGAGGGCGTCGCTCGAGCTCGAGTCCGCGCTCGAGTCCGCGCTCGAGTCCGACGACGCCGTCGCGCGCGTCGGCATGGACGGTCGACGACTCGACGCGTCGCGTCGTGACGATCGCGGCATCGATCGGTGACGGGGCGTCGCGAAAAAGTCGGTCGGTCGGGCGGTCGGCGATGGATGTTCTGGTGCGTCGAATGCGTTCTCACGCACCCTAAACCCTAAACCCTAAAAAAAAATGAGTACATCTACGATGTACTCAAGTCCATCATCGCGCCACGGAATCGATCGCCGACGCGGACGGCGAATCGATCGCGTCGCGCGTCACGTCGCGTCGCGCGCGAAACGACGATCGCGCATGCGCGCGGGCGACGACGCGATAGCGTCCGCGTCGCCGCGCTCGATCGCGGCGCGCGCTTCGACGCCGCGCGATTCGGCGTCGCAGAGAAAGCGGTGCAACTGTAAAAATTCAAAATGTCTCAAGCTGTACTGCGAGTGCTTCGCGAGCGGGAAGTACTGCGACGCGTGCAACTGCGCGGGGTGCAAGAACAACGACGAACACGCGCACGAGCGACAGTCGGCGATCGAACAGACGCTGGAGCGGAATCCGAACGCGTTTCGACCGAAAATCATCAATCAGACGACGAACGGGACGCTCGACGGCGCGGGCGCGGGCGACGGCGCGACGACGGAGGCGAGGCACAATCGTGGGTGTCACTGTAAACGGAGCGGGTGCTTGAAAAAGTATTGCGAGTGCTTTCAGGCGGCGATATATTGCGTGGAACGGTGTCGGTGCGCGGAGTGTAAGAATTTCGAGGGGAGCGAGGCGCACGAGGAGGTGAAGCGAACGCACGGACCCGACGCGAGGTTTCACGATCACGCGAGTGCGGTGGCGTCGCCGAGCCCGGGGCGGAGGAAGATGCTCGCGACGCAACAGACGATGAGCGGGCGCGAGGGCGGACACGCGCTCGTTCAGGCGTCGCCGAAGCGTGGAAATCAGAGGGCGTCGATGGAGAGCGATTCGAGCGGCGGCGGCGAACGCGGGGCGTCGTCGCGGTATCAGAAGCGCGCGCCGTCGCGCGAAGCGGTGTCGGTGCCGTTGATGCATAATCTGGTGCAGCAAGGCGCGGTGGAGGAACTGGCGCGCATTTTACTCTGCGTCGCGGATGAGACGAAGGCGTCGACGCCGAGCGACGGCGCTCGCGTCGGCGTCGCCGCCGTCGCCGAGCTCGCGGCGAACGCGACGAACGAACGTCACGGAAACGACGCGAAGGACGATGATGAAACTTTAGACGATTTGATGTGCGACGAAGCCGCGGATGAGATTCGAGGCGCCGCGAAAGTCGCCGCGAGCCACGCCGCCGCCAAAGCCGCGTACGCCGACCGCGAGCGCGCGCTCTTGGGCGAGCTCGAGCGCGTGGTTTCGCGCCTGACGCACAACGCCAAGGCGCGCGTGGAGCACGCGAAGAAGCAGCAGCGCGCGGTGAAGCAGCGCGTGGCGTAGCGTAGCAAAAGAGTAGCGGCGCTCCACCGTCGACGATTTGTAGCGACGCCGAGCAACGAAAGCGCCTCATCCTCCACACTCGCGCGCGCTCGGACGCCGTTTGCGACGTCCGACGCCGTGTAAAAACGAAAACACATCACACATCGCGTCGCACGTCGGTCGGCGCCCTACCTCGCGCGCTCGAGCGCGTCGTTTGAGGCGCGAAAGCGTTCGTCAGGGCATGTCCGCTTCATCCCTTTCGACGCCTCGAACGTCGCGCGTTCGCCGTTTCACCGCGCGCGATCGCGCGTTTCAACGCCGACGATGCGGCGCGCGCCGCGCGCGCGCGTCGAGCGACGCGGCGACGACGAGAATCGCGCTCGACCGCGTCGAAAAGGCGAAAGAGACCAAACGCTTGGACCTGAGCGGGCTCGGCTTGCGAGAGATTCCGGGCGAAGCGCGAGAATTGAGCGATTTGATCGAATTGCAGGTGTCGAATAATTTATTGTACGAAATACCGGGCGATTTGATCGCGAGGTTTGAGAAATTGGAGCGATTGGGATGCGCCGGGAATCGCCTGCGAGCGCTGCCGCGCGAGGTCGGGGGGTTGAAGTCGTTGCGGGGAATCTGGGCGCACGGGAATTTGTTGAATCGCGTGCCCGAAGAGATTGGCAATTGTGAGAGTTTGCGAAATTTAGTGCTCGGGGGCAATCGCCTGCGCGAGCTGCCGAAGACGTTGGGGAACTTGAAGAACTTGGAAGAGCTTTCGGCGCCGGGAAATCAGCTGACGTCGCTGCCGGATTTGGGATCGATGCCGCTGTTGCGAGAGATTGATTTACACGGGAACGCGATAGAGGCGTTACCGGAAGATATGTCGGGCCTAAAAGCGCTGGAGACGCTGAGCTTACAAGGGAACAAGCTGAAGACGATTCCCAAGAGCGCCGCGACGCTGCGACGTTTGCGGGCGTTGAATTTAGCCGAAAACGTCGTCGAACGACTTCCGAGCGAAATATCTGAGATGACGATGTTGACATCGCTTTGGTTGTACTCAAACGCCTTGAAAGAGTTACCGGAGACGATGAAAAAGATGCCGTCGCTTCGTCAGCTGTGGATCGAGGGCAACCCGGAGATTGCGGTCGACGGCGCGCTCGACGACTTTGTCGCCGCGATGGCGGGTCACAAGACGCTGAAAACGCTCGGCGTCGACCAACACCAGATCGCGCGCTCAAAAACGCGCGATGAATTCGTTTCAGAGGCGGAAATCCCCGAAGAGGCCCCGGATGGATACTTCAAGCTCGTGCGATGGGACTCGGCGAATGGCGACTCGCGCGCGCCCGTACTCATCGTATCGTTTGGAAGCGCCCCGGGCGTGCCCAACTGGGGCGGATTGTTGAAAAAACTTCAAAAGAACGCGAAAAGTGGGGACACGTACGACGTGCTGTACGTGTGCGACGTCGAGAGATCGTGGTACATGTCCAACGTCATGAGTGTCGATCAAGACGCCGAGTTTGAGCGATGGTCATCCTATCTGCGAAATGCGTGCGAAAACTACGAGCGCGTGCTGTACATCGGTGATTCTATGGGCGCAAGCGCGTCGTTGATGTTCGCCGAGCACGCCACGCGCGTGCTAGCTTTTTGCCCGCAAGTCGATTTATACGCTGCGAGCATACGCCCGTCGCGCTCGCAAGCGTGGTTTCGCCGTTTCAAGCGCGTGCTCACGTCTGGTCTCGAGAAATCCGCCGCGAAAGTGTCTGTCCACACAGGCTCGTGGGATCACGACAAACATCAAGCTTCGCTGCTACCACAAACCAAGATTGAGCACGTGGTGCATCGCGTGGATTCGCACAGACTCGCTCTAGCGCTCGACGGCGAAGAGAAATTGTTGCCGATCATCCAGGGCGCTTTTGAGAGCGAAATCGCGATCGCGCGCGGTGAAGTCGCCGTATCCGCTAGCGGCGATGGCGCGAACGTGGGTAAGTCTCACAGCGCGTTAGATGCGTTCGCGCCTTGGCAAAGTATAGAACTCAAGTAGAATTCGTTGTCGGCGGCGTTTGTTTGTTCGCGCGGGGTAAAAGTTCGTCGCGTCGCGCGTTTCGCGCCGAATTTCTCATCTCTAATATCATGTACATCATTTCTACGCGTCTACTATTTTTCACGATTTTTTCAAAGCCTTGGCGATGGCGAACGCGAGGGTCGGCGGGGCGAGCTCGGACGCCGTCTCGCCGTGCGCGTTTCGAAGCGTGGCATCCGCGCCGTGTCGTAACAGCGCATCCACCGCGTGCTTGCGATTGAACAAGCACGCCAAGTGTAACAACGTCATCCCAGAATTATCCTTCGCGTTTACATCCACGCCATGTTCGTCGAGAAGACGCTCGAGCCCGATCGCGTCGTTCGCCTTGATGGCTTCGCGCGCGCCCGCGCTCGAGGCGTCGTACGACGCCAAACCGTCGTTCCCGTTCGCGACACCACCATTCGTCGTGAGAAGCGTCGCACGATTCAACATAAACGACGACGTGGCCATCGGCGTCGTTTGCATCGTCGTCGTTCGCGTCGTCGTCTCTCGCATCTCCTCCTCTTCGAACGCGCTCCCGCTCGAATCGTCCCTCCGCGCCTCCCCTTCCCCTCGTTCGCCCAGCGCGTCGCTCGTCCCGTGCACGCGCATCGTCGATCGCAGTAAACTCTCCAAACCACCACCACGCCTCGGAATCGGCGCGTCGTCGTCGTCGTCGTCGTCGTCGTCCTCACCCGCGCTCGCGCCGTTGTCTCGTTCGCCGTCCGTCCTCGAGCCTTCGACCCCTCCCGCGTCACCTCTCACCCCCAGCGTCGCCCGTTCCCGCGCCCCTCCCGTTCCCGCGCTCGTAAAAAATTCCACGACCTCATCGCACGCGCGCAATTCCCGATCGCGTCCCACGGCGTCGAGTATGAACTGAAATCCTTCCCTGCGCGTCTCGCGCACCGCCGGCGTTCGCACCAGCGCCTTCTTCGGCATCGTCGGCAATCGCGCCTCGTGCCTTCCTCGCGCCGTCAGCGCGCGATGCAGCGCTTCGAACGCGCTGTACCGCTTGTGCGCGCGAAACGTCACCGCCTCGCGCGTCGTCGTCCGGTCGTCGTCGCAATCTTTCTCGTTCCCATCGTCGTCATCGGTTTTCGCGCGCGCGCGCGCGATGGCGACGTACCGAGGCACGTCCGTGACGAGCGCGACCTCGTAGTACTCCGTCGTCGTCGGCGCGCCCGTGTCGCGATCGACGAGCGGCGCGCCGTCGCCGACGACGACGCGAAACATGTCGCGATGTGACGACGCCGGTCGCGACGCGACGCCCGCGCGTCACTCCTCGACGTCGCGCGCGTCTCGAGCGCGCGACCGCATGCCGCGCGGACCGCGCGCGAGCGCGAGCGGCGCCGTCGGACGCGCGGACGCGCCGTACGACGCGCTGAATCGCGTGCGCGAGAGCGGCGAGGGCGTCGATGAAATTCATCGACGTTGGCGCGCCGCGCACGCGTCTGGAGACGCGCCCGAGATCGAATTCGCGCGCGGGAGCGAGGGATTACTGCCGGAGTACGACGTCATCGTCGTCGGCGCGGGACTGAGCGGATGCACGATCGCCGAGCGGTGCTCGAGGGCGCTGGGGATGAAGGTGTTGACGCTCGAGCGGCGCGCGCACGCGGGGGGGAATTGCTACGATTACGTCGACGCGCGGAGCGGGATACGATGCTCGAAGTACGGCGCGCATTTGTTTCACACGAAACACGCGCGCGTGTGGGAATACGTGACGCGGTTCAGTGAGTGGGTGCCTTTCGATCATCGCGTGCTCGGTCGGGTGACGCGGACGAGCGCGAGCGAGGAGGGGAAGCGAGCGCGCGTGCTCGTGCCCATACCGCCGACGCGAGCGACGGTGAACGCGCTGTTCGATGATGCAGACGTGCGGAGCGATGAAGATATGGAGGCGTGGTACGAACGGGAGAGGATTCATCCCGAGGGCGGGCGGGCGCCGGCGAACGGCGAGGAGGCGGCGCTGTCGCGCGTCGGACCGCGGTTGTATGAGGCGATATTTAAGCATTACACGAAGAAACAGTGGGATAAGTACCCCGAAGAGTTAGACGCGAGCGTGTTGATGCGGTTGCCGTGTCGAACGAGCGCGGACGATCGGTACTTTAACGACCCGTGGCAGGCGTTGCCGAGACGCGGGTACACGAGAATTTTTGAAAACATGCTTCACGGGGACGAGAACATCACCGTTCGGCTGAATTGCGATTATTTCGCGATGAAGCGGGATGGAACTCTTCCCAAACACAAATTTTTAGTGTACACGGGACAGATTGACTCGTACTACGCCGCGCTTGGTATGCCAAAGTTGGAGTACCGCTCGTTGCGCTTTGAGGAAGAGTACGTCGAGGGCGTTAAAGACGAAGACGCCGACGATGCCGATGCCGACGACGACAGCGGCTTGTTTTTCCAAGAGGCGATGGTGGTGAATTATCCTGGCCCTGACGTTCCGTTCACGCGTATCGTCGAGTATAAACACATGCCGAACCAACCCGAAGGTAGACATCGCGAACCGGGCACGCTCGTCGCCCGCGAGTACTCGAGCGCGACGGGCGAGCCGTATTACCCCGTCCCCAACCCCGAAAACCGCGCACTGTACGAAAAATACGCGGAATTAGCGAAACATGAACCTGGGGTCGCCTTCGTCGGTCGTTTGGCGAGTTACAAGTACTTCAACATGGACGAAGCCGTGTTAAACGCGCTCGAAATGTTTGACAACTTGCGAGACACCGGCGCGTTGGTCGTCAAGGAAAAATCTTGATCAATTCGCGTGGTCGTGTTTTTGGGTCTCCGTCGCGTCGAACGAGTTCTACACGTTGTTTCTGTGGATGTCAAATTTTTCTAGAATTTTTACCGTCACTCGACCGTCGATTCGACCGCGCGATGCACAGGTCGATATCCGCCGCGCGCGGCTTGGCGCCGCGACCATCAGCGAGCCGCATTCGCACGCGCGCGCGCTACCGCAAGAGGCGTGAACCGCCGTGCGATCGACATGGGTGTATCAAACACCGCCGTGTGCGCGTTCGGCGTGCAATTCTTCGGCTATATCGCGCTGTCGACGGCGCTAGAGCTCTGGTTTTACGTCGACTGGAGCGGCAAACGCGACTCGAGCGCGACGCATTCGCGCAAAATACAGCGCCACAAACGCGCGTGCGGCACCGTTCGCGCGCACAAAAGTGACCCATGGGGGCTTCCATTGTATCAGCTGCTGTGCGCGAGAAAACCGAGGCCGGATGGGCGAGACGAGTGTTTTGAGCATCATCGATTGTTCGCGTCTGTGAATTTGCTGACTTCGGCGACGTTTGCGGGCGTCGTCGGCGAGACGGTGAATCGCGGGGCGCCGTACACTTCCCTATACGGCGGCTCGGCGTTTGATTTGAATTGTGGAATTTTAGCGTGCGTCTGGGCTTTCGTGAAAGCGGTGGCGTGGCAGAGCGTCGCCGAGTACGCGTGGCATCGAGCGATGCACTCGCGGTTCGCCTACGCGAGATGGCACAAGGCGCACCACGCGTACGCGAGCCCGTGCGTGTGGTGCGATTTGTGCATACACCCACTCGAGGCGTTGGGGTATTATGTGATATTGTACAGCCCGGCGTTCGTGATACCGATGCCGAAGGCGAGCTTTTTGGCGTACATTTGCGTCATGGGCGTGGCGGGAGTCTTAGATCACAGCGGCGTCGACGTCGCCGTGCGCGCGAGAGGGTGCGGCGTCGCCGTGTACGACACTAAGTTTCACGACTTGCACCACGCGCGGTTCAACGTCAACTACGCGTTTCCGTTTGATTTCATCGATCGCGCGTGCGGGACGTACGCCGAAATCAAACGCGACGCGCGCGCCGGGTAGGATTGTCGTGGATTAAATTAAAAGCACGATTAGGATTAGGACGACCCATTAGGATGTTTCATTAAGAGCGCGATCGGGACGATCGATCGATCGGTCGAGCGACGTCGTCGCGTTCGACGACGACGCGTCTCGCGTCTGCTCCGCGCCGCGTTCGCGCCGCGTGGTCGTTTCACACACGGCCCGACGCCGCGATGGATGTGCGATCGCGCGTCCGCGGCGTCGCCATCGACGCGCGCGTTTCGCGATGGCGACGCTCGCGGCGCGCACCGACGGCACGCCGGACGCGCGCGAGGTGTGGCGACGCGCGCGCGATGACGAGCGCGCGACGCGCGCGCGCGAGGACGCGATGCGAGACGAGGTGCGACGACGACGACGGATTCGACGACGGATTCGGATTCGACGACGGATTCGACTGGACCCGACTGACGACGAGGGCCGATCGCAGGCGAACGCGATGCGAGCGACGATCAAGGAGCTGCGCGACGAACGCGCCGCGCTGTTGGCGCGCGAGGAGCGCGTGACGCACATGGTGGACGTCGCCGATCGAGAGTACCGCGCGGAGAGGAAACGGTTCGAGAGCGCGCTCGCGGAGACGCGAGACGAGGTGAAGGCGCTGCGAGCGAAAGCGGCGAGCGAGGCGAACGAACGCGAACGGGATCGCGCGCGGCGCGGCGCGATGGAGCGCGAGAGCGCGGACGCGCGCGAGGTCGAAGCGGCGCTGTCGAGACGGAGGGACGCGCTCGAACGCGAGGTGGAGGCGCTCAAGGAAACGAATCGCGAGCTTCGTAAGGAAGCGGTGCGCGCGAAAACCACGGGGCAACGCGCGGAGTGGCTCGAAGGCGAGGCGGAGCAAACGCGCGCGAGATTGAGCGCGAGCGAGGCGACGGTGAAGCAACTCAGGGCGGATTTACAATTTGAAAAGTCAAACGCGACAAAGTTTGAGAGCAAGCTCATCGCCGTCGTCAAGGAAAAAGAAGCATTGGAAAAGGCTCACCAGGCCAAGGACGCAAAGATCGAGCAGCTGCAGAATCGCGTGGACGAGCAGGTGAAGAAACTAGGCGCGGCGTCGAGCGAACTTCAATCGCTCGCGGCAACGAAGCGCAAGGACGCCGACTTGAGCGCGCGCGAACACGAATTAAAGGTGAGCTACGCCGCGCTGAAAGCGCGAGAGGCGTCGTGCGCGAGTCGTGAGAAGGCGTTGGCGTTGAAGAAGGATGTCGGCGCGCGAACCGAGGCGTCGGCGGCACTGCCGTCGGCGTCGATGACGCCGACTCTGGCGACTACGCCGGCGTCGACGTCCAAGCCGCCCATCTCCAGATTTGCCGATATCGCGCGACGATACGTGTTCACGCCCGGTTTGAACCCGCGCGCGAACGACACACCGACGAAGACGACGCCACTGAGCGCAAAGTCCAAGCAGCTCTTCGCCGCGGTGGTGGACAAGGCGCAAAGCGCGGCCAAGGCGAGCGCGAGCAAGGCGGAGCGGGCCAAGACGGCGACCGCGGTCGGGATGTTCAACGCGCTTCAATCCGTGGTGGGGTTCAAGGACGGCACCGCGTCCACGTCTGAGCCGAAGAAGATCGCCGCACCCGCGCTGACGCCGTCTAAGAAGACTTTAGAGACGCACTTTCCGTCGTCACCGACGAAACCGACGCCCGCGAACGAGAAACCGGCCGAGGAAAAGGCGTCGGAGAAGAAATTTTCGTTGGAAGAATCCGAGCGTCCATCGACGCGTCGATCCCGACGCGCGGCGCCGACCGCGACCGAGACGGAGGACGCGCCGAAACCGAAGAAGGCGCCGGCGAAGAAGAAGGCGAAGGCGGCGGAACCGGCGACGGAACCGGCGACGGAACCGACGACGCGAAAGCGCGGTCGAACCGCGAAGAAACCGTCGACGTCCGAACCCGAGCGCGAGGCCGATGCGGACGACGAACCGGAGGTGAAGTGCGGACGCGGCCGTCCGCGCAAAACCGTCGCGGAGGACGACGTGAACGCGCCCAAGCCCGCCTCGCGACCGCGAGGTCGACCGAAGAAGTCCGAAGCGGCGTCGACGGCGAAAGCCGACCCGCTCAAGCACTTGCAAGATTTCTTAAGTTCAGGCCCGAAGGAAGCGGCGCCGACGACGCGTCGATCAACGCGAAGTCGCCGCGCGTGAGCGCGTTCGGACGACTGAAGAATAGAGATTTGATGAAATAATACACGACGCGCGTTTTAGCACACGAATCTCGTCCATCTCGTCCATCGTAACAACTTACAACAACGCGCGATGATCGACGTCTACGCGGTTCGATCTCCTACTAAAACGTTTTCTTTTGCTTTGGAAACTTGCTCGGCCACGACCCGTTGGGCTGCGATTTCGCCGCCGACCGAGAGGGCTTGACGTCCAACGCCGCCTCCAACGCGTCCGCGAGCGTGTTGCACCGCACGAGTTCGATGCCAGTCTTTTTACCCATCTCTGGCGAGCTTCCAGCCTCGGGCAAGAGCACGCGCTTGAACCCCATCGTCGCCGCCTCGGCGATGCGACGCTCGGCTTGCATCACCGGTCGCAACTCGCCGCCCAAGCCGACTTCGCCGAAGAAGCACATATCTGGCGGAAGCGGTTTCTCGACGAAACTACTCGCGATCGCCAGCGCGACGGCGACATCCGTGGATGGATCTTCGAGCTTCATACCACCCACGATGTTGATGAAGACGTCGTGCTTTTGCAGGCGTCGACCGAGGACGAATTTCGCGAGCACGGCGAGCAAGAGTTGCATGCGTTCGAATCGCAGACCGACGGCGGTGCGAATCGGCGGCGCGCTCATTCCACCACCTTCGCCCGCATCCGCGCGCTCGTTCGTGAGCGCTTGGACTTCGAGCATGAACGGTCGCGAGCCTTGCACCGTCACCGTCGGCGCCGCGGAGACGTCTGGGCTCAAGATGCGTTCGCCGAGGAAGAGCGCCGACGGCGACGCCACAGGTTTCATGCCCCCGTCGCTCATTTGAAACACCCCGACTTCGTCCGTGGAGCCGTAGCGATTCTTGTGCCCGCGCAAGATGCGCACGGCTCGATCGGCGTCGCCCTCCAAGTAAAGCACGACGTCGACGATGTGCTCCAACACGCGCGGACCCGCTATGTCGCCGGATTTCGTGACGTGACCGATGATGAACACCGGCATCCCCGTCGTTTTCGCCGCGTGCAACAGCGCGGTGGCGCACTCGCGCACCTGAGACACGCTTCCCGGGCTTCCCGTGGCGTCTTCCAAGAACACGGTTTGAATGGAATCCACCACGAGCGCCGCGGGCTTGAGCGTCGACACCGCCTCGAGAATATTTTCCAGGCGCGTTGCGCTGTATAAATAAATCCCGTTCGGATCAATCCCCATGCGCTCGGCGCGTCCGGCGACTTGCTCCACGGACTCTTCGCCAGACGCGTAAAGCACGCCTCCCGCGGCGATCGATTCGTTCGCGCCGTCTTCTTCGCCCTCTCGTTCCTCGCCTCGCGCGCCCAGAAGTCCCGCGAGCTGTAACAAAATCGTCGACTTCCCCACCCCCGGATCGCCACCGACGAGAATCATCCCGCCCGGAACCACTCCCCCGCCTAACACCCGCTCGATCTCCTTCCCCAATTCCTCTCTCAACCGCATCCTCGGCATCGTTTGCCTCTCCCCGTTCGCTCGCGGCCTCAGCACGTCCCCGAGCGCTCGCGGCGCGCTCGTCTCCGCGACCCACCCGAGCGCTCGCGCGCCGTCGCTCGCGCGTCCTCGCCCGTTCGCGTTCCCGCGCGTCGTCGCGTTCTCCGCCATCCGCGCCACCGCTCGCGCGCCCGCCCCGCCGCCCGCGCTCGCCTTCCCCGCGCCGCCTCCCGAGGTCGGCGCCAGCGCGATCGCCTTCATCGTGTCCCAGCTCTTGCACGCCGGGCACTGTCCCAGCCACTGCCGCGAGTCCTCGCCGCACTCGGCGCACACGTACGCCGTCTTCGTCTGCGACCCCGCGCCGCGAGATCCGGATCCGGCGCGCGCGACGACGCCGCGTCGCGTCGTCGTCGCGAATCCACTCGCGGTCGACGTCGTCGACGCGCGCGCGCCGGTGCCGTGATTCGAGCGCGGATTCGCGCCGCGATTTCGATGCCGTCGACCGCGCCGATCGCGCGTCGTCGTCGAGGGCGTCGCGCGCGGCGAGGTCGTCGAGATCGTCGTCGCGAATCGGCGCATCGTCGTCGCGAACGCGCGCGCGGTGACGGTCGTCGAGCGCGCCTCGAGCGCGACGCGCGCGAGCAGGGACGCCGCGGCGCGACCGCGCATGCGACGCGGCGCGACGTGACGACGCGACGCGCGCCAGAACGCGTTCGAACGCGCGAATCGATCGGTCATTCGCGTCACTCATCTCCACTCGAATGCGTCACCCGAACGCGCATTTAAGGCACGTGATGGACCGACGGCGCGGAGCGACGCGGAGCGAAGAATGCACGCGACGCGGTGACGTGGAATGATTTCAGAATCGTCACGATTGAAACATCGAACGCGAGAGCGCGCGCGAACGCTCGCGGTCGCGGCGACGCGCGTCGCGAAGACGCGCGAGCTCGTCGTGGGGCTCGGCGTCGTACGGATCCAAGCGGAGACACGCGGCGAAGTCGCGCTCGGCGGCGGCGAAATCGCCGCGACCGACGAAGGCGCGACCGCGACGACACAAGATGCGCGCGTCGTCGGGCGACGCGCGCAAATACTCGGATAAATGCTCGATCGCTTCGCCGTAGAGCTTAAGACCCATGCACGCGGCGCCGAGGTTGCGGAGGCACGCCGCGCGGTTTTTCAAGCACTCGTCGGCGTCGAACGGGTTCTTGCCCTTGACGAGATTCATGATCCCGAGCGCCTGCGCGTAACACTCGCGCGCTTCCGCGAATTCTCGACGCTCGTAGTGCGCGTTGCCCTTGCATCGCAATTCGCACTGCTCGTTCAGCGCGCCGACCAAGTCTTTGGTCTCTAGATTCGCCTCGCGCGTGGTTCGCTTCTTGAACGCGTCGTGTCCATCGTTTTTGGAATCGCTCAGATAGTTCACCATGAAGCGCTCGATCTCTTCCTCCGACGCCCGTCCTTCGTCCAGCGCCGTCTGCATCTCCGAAAGCATCCGCAACACCAACGGATTCGTCGCCCACTTGCCGAAATCGCCGTTGGCGTCGTTGCGAAACGTCGAAATCACCGCGCGCAGCGCGCGCGTCCTCAAAAACGGCGCCACGTTCCGCTGCGCCTCCTCGTTCGATCGCAGCACGGCGTCGCGAAAATCCATCGCGTCCACCCTGTGCGCGATTCGATCGAGTTTCCGCAGTTCCTGCCGCTGATGCTCCCGCATCAGCGGCGCGTTTTCCTCCGATTTGCAAAACGCTTGGAAATCCCGCGCGAACGCGTCGTCGTCCATCCCACCGCCGCGCGACGCGCCGCGCGCGCCGAACCGCGCGCCGACGCCGTCGAAATCGCCGGCGTCCACGGAGGCGTCCATGGCACCGGCGTCGGCGTCACGACACCGCGCACGCGTCGCCCTCTGACGAACGACGGACGAAAAAAACGCTCGCCGAGACGCGCGTCGACGGGCCATCGCGCGCTGGTTTTGAACGATTAGGTCAAACGCGCGCGTACCACGCGTCGAGGTTCGACGCGTTTCCTCGAACGACGCATCGAGGTTCGACCGATGTTTCGATCGATCGATCGATCGGCGCGATCGCGGCCGCGTCGCGTGATCGCGTCGTCGCGATCGTCGACGCGACACGGCGACGCGCGTTCGCGAATCGTCCATCGCGACGCGCGCACGGAGCGCGCGAGCGATCCGACACCGACCGCGCCGATGATCGCCCGCGCGCCGACGCTCGCGGCGACGCGCGGCGCGACGACGCGCGCGGCGACGCGACGAGGCGAAGGCGCGGGACGCGCGCGCGGCGCGGCGACGCGCCGGGGCGCGACGAACGACGCGGACGCGAAGACGACGACGGCGACGACGACGACGACGGCGCGACGGACGTTCGTGCTCGACGGCGCGCGGGGGGCGATCGCGATGGCGATGGTGATGGCGCGGGCGGAGAACGCGCGCGCGCTGCTGCAGCCGAACGACGAGGAGGACGAGGCGTTCTTGGCCAAGGCGCGGGAAAACCGCGCGCAGAGGATACAGAGCGAGGTGGCGAAGGAGAAAAAGTACGTCAACGATACGGGGTATAAACAAGACGAACCGACCGCGAAGGTGCAGTTGGCGGTGTATAAATTGTCGAAGAGCGGCGCGCAAATCGCGAGCGGGAACCTGAGCGACGCGGCGAGCGAACTCGGCAAGGGGGATTGGGTGACCTACGCCGTCGACGGCGCCAAGGCGTTGAACGCGTCGAGCGATGGAAGCGATTTCGCGTCGAGCGTCAAGGCGCTCGAAAAGGCGTGTGAGAACGGTGACGACGCCGCGGCGAAGTCGGCGTATCGCGCGAGCGCCGAGGCGTTAAAGGCGCTCGCCGCGAGCGCGGGCGTCGCCGACAAGCTGCGATTGTTGTGAGCGATCGATCGATCGATCGATCGAGCGCCGATGACGACGACGTCCACGTTCGTTCGTGACTTTGTTTTGTGATGAAAGTTTTCTAAACATATTATATGATACACGTCCCCGTCCCGCGTCGCTCACGCGTCGAAGAGCGTCGATTCCGGGTCAAAGTACGCCTTGGCGTCCTTCGCCTTGACCTGCTTCACGAGTGCGGCGTACTTGCCCATCAAAGGCTTGACGATTTGCCACACCGGCGTGAACACCCACGGGGGTTCGATGAGCAGCACCTGAGAGATGCGCTTGGGAAAGTAGTCGAAGATGCACTTGATGAAAAACTTGACGAAGTCGATGTCGGCGTTCTTCATCGTGAACCCGCGCAGGTCGAACACGCACATCAGCGTCTCCGGCGCGCCCGCGCCCTCACCGCGCAACTGCTCCAGCGCTTCGTCGACGAGTTTCACGCACAATCGACACGTTCGCGAGAGTTCGCGCGTCTCCACGTCGTGCTTCGTCAGCGTGACGTACACCACCGGCCGATTCTGCGCGTCGCGCTCGCCGAGCAGCACAGCCTTGCCGCTCGCCGCTTCTTCCGCGACTTCGCTCGAGAGTTTCAGTTCGCTCTCTCCGTACCCCGAGCGTCGCCATTCGAGATATTTCAGCGTCTTAGCGCGCGCCTTATCCGCGTCCAATTTCCTGTCCCGCAGAAACCACGCGAGCAACCAATCGGGCGCCGACGCCAATAGCTCCGCGTCGTCCGACGCGTCGTCCGAGGCGTCGTCGCGAGACGCGCGCATGACGGCGACGCCTCGCTCGATCGCGTCGTCGTCGAAAACGTCGAGCGTCAAACCGGCGTCCGCCGCGGCGACGCGCGGCGATCTTCGACACCGCGACGCGCGACGCGCGCGCGCCACGTTACGCCCGCATGGCGTCGCGCGCGCGCTCTGTCGCGTCTCTAACGTCGCACCCCGCTGGATCGTCATCGTCGACGTCAGACGGCGCGCGCGAGTGCGGCGCGTCGTCGTCGACGGCGAGCGGCGACGCCGTCGTCGAACGCTCGCATCGCGCGAACTCTCGCAAATCTCTCGCGCGCAGTTCGCCGCGATACACTTGCTCGCACACGTGCAAAACGCGTTTTAAATCCCGCTCGCACCGCTCGAGCTTGATTCGCATCGCCTCGCATCGCCTGTTCGCGTCGCTCTCGGCGTTGCGCGCGCGCTCGCGAATCGCGTACGCCTCGTCCCGCTCGCGATTGACGAGTTCGTACGCCGATTTCAGCGCGTCTCGCTCCTCTTGCAGCGACGATGCCGTCGACGACGCTCGTCGCGCGTCGTTCGAGTTCGTCCCATCGCTCTTCGTCCTCGTCTTCGTCTTCGTCTTCGTCGTCGTCGTCGTCGTCGTCGTCGTCGTCGAGACTCTTCGTTTCGCCGCTTCGTCATCCTTCGTCGAACCGCCGCGTCGCCGACCGCCCCGCGCCACGGCGTCGTCGACTCGCGCGACGATCGTCGTGCTCACGCGAGCCTCTGACAGCAGCGCTCGCCGCGCGCGCCGTCGTCGCGGCGACGCGTTCGCGTCGTCGTCGTCGTCGTCGTCGTCGTCGTCGTCGTGTATTTTTATCGCCGCGCGACGCCGATCGATGCGCGACGCGCAGCGACTCACCGCGCGACGACGACGCGCGTCGACGTCGTCGCGATCGGACGCGATCGCGCGAACGACAACTCGATGGGCCAGGGACGTGGAGCGACCGCTCGCGCGCGCGCGAAGGCGCGCGCGATCCATCGCGAGTCGCGTCGTGACGATTCGATTCGAGCGTGCGAGTGTTTTTCGTTTTCATCAAAGTCGCGCGCGTTCATCGCAATCGTTTCGCGCGTGTTCACCCCTCGTCGGTCCTCGTGACTTCGCCGCCCCGCGAGTCCTACGCGTCGCCGTCGCGTCGCAACTCTCGCTCGCCGTCGTCGTCGACGTCGTCGTCTCGCCTCGTCTCGTCGTCGTCGTCGTCGTCGTCGTCGGTCCGCGTCGTCGTCATCGCCTCGATCTCTCATCACCGCGACGTTCGCCGCGACAACCGCTCGACACGAACGAAACGTTTGCGTTCATTCGCGGCCGCGTCGTCCGCGCGTCAGCGCGCGTCGCCCGCGCGTCGTCGCGAACGACGACGTGTCCGAGATCTCGAGAGTGACGAAGTAAGTCCGACGTCTCGACGACGCGATGATCGTCCGACGTCTCGCGCTCGAGCGTCGTCGAGACGTCATCAACGCGCCTCGTCACGATTGCCCTCGTTCCGCGCCATGTCGCATCGCGTCGCGTCGTCGCCGTCGCGCGTCGCGATGCGACGTCGCGATGCGACGTCGCGATGCGACGTCGCGATGCGAGTGAACTCGAACCGTCGCGCGCGCCGACGCGAAAAACGACCCGTAAGCGCCAAAACGCACCGTCGCGATCACGAACGCTCCAGTGGGATCGCGCTTTAACCCGACCTCAACTTTTCTCGAGCTTTCGCTCAGATCAAGTGTAGTATCTGTTCTATTATGTTTAAACACATAATGAGGCTTTCTTAAGCCTTCATTAGTTTAACCGAATTTCTTCAGAGGGCGTTATTCAAACAGGCTTGTTTACAAGTCGAATACGCGAGCATGTTCTTGGCCTTGCACTTTGCCTCGAACGTGTACCTCGATTGCCCGCGTCATTGGCACCGCACGCGAATGTGATTTCGCTCCACCGTCCAGCCCGCGCGAAACATCGCTCGCGACGCCGCATCGAACGCGCGTGCGCGTGCCGTTCGTTTTTTAAATCAATATAATGTTGCATCATCGCATCTACGAGCCGTTTCGCGCGCGCGGTAGTCAACTCAAAACACGCTTCGCCCGAGCGCGGCTTCGACCAAAGCCGTGCCGACGAAGCCCACCATGGCTAACCGCCCGTGCGCGCGCTCGACGTCGGGGTTTAAATTCAACGCCTCCATCGCCAAGAACCCGCTCATCCCTTTCTTTTCCTTCAACCCGTTCGGGTCGGCGCCGTACTCTTGCGGATTAAACTCGAAAGGCGATATGGATGCCCACGCGATGAGACAACACAGCGCCACGGCGACGAAGCCGCCCGTCGCCGTCGACGCTTGATTCGCCAGCGTCGCCCCCGATTGCGCTTCGATTTGCGCGCCGATGGCGTACCCGGCCATCGCGCACCGTCCCGCGATCGTTTCGTACGCCCAATCAGAAGCGCCAGACGCGGCGTCTTCCACCGCCGGCGCGTCGTCTTTTACCGCGCGCGTTCGCGTCGCGACGCGTCGTCGCGCGCGCGCCGTCGTCGCTCTCGTCGTCGCCCTCGTCGTCGTCACGCTCGCGTTCGTCCGAACGCGCGCCGCCGGCATGACGAGCGAAACGCGACGCGACGAGTCGATGAGTGGCGCGACGTCGACGCGCGCGGCACGAGCGATTGAGTGATTGAAACGACGATTGACGACCGCACGCGTTCGCGCGCCGCGCGATCGTCGTCGATGTCGACGACGCGCGCGATGCGCGTCGCGCTCGACGCGACGAGCGCGCGCGGCGCGCGACGACGCGAGCGATTCGAGCGTAAACATCGCGCGCCGATCTCGATGCGCGTCTCCGACGGTGGCGCGGATAACGTCGTCGGTCGTCGCGCGCGATGCGGCGACGCGCGATCGGCGCCGATCCGCGGCTCGCGCGTCCTGACGGCGGCGTCGCCTGGGAATCAGTCGTCGACGTCGGAATCGATCGATCGACTCGGGAGTCGATCGAACGACACGAGTGGAACGTCTTCTTCGCCCGCGGCGCCGGCGCCGGCGCCGCTGACGCCGCCGAACGCGTCGCAGCGGCGCGTGATCGATCAGATGATCACGCTGCGCACGCGATTGAACGAACGCGTGGCCAAGGCGAACGCGTTCGCGAAGTTTTTAGAGAAAACGCTCGTGGAGCGAGACGCGGATTTGGTAAACGCGAGACGCGCGTTGGCGCGCGCGGCGATGGAGGCGGAGACGCTGCGGGGACTGGCCGAGGACGCGCGACGCGGGAACGGTGCGCCCGACGCCTTGATCGCCCGACTCGATCGCATGGCGAAAGCGCTCAAGGAAGACGCCGACGACGCCGATGCGCACTGCCTGCGCCAAGTTCCGGTGGCTTGGCAAGGCAACGCGTCGGACGTGCGCCTGATGGGATCGTTCGACGACTGGACGCGAGGCTTTCACTTATCGCCCGAGTGGCACGGCCACGGCGACGGCATGAGCGACACGTTCGCGTGCACGTGTTTACTCCCGCCCGGGACGTACGAGGTTAAATTTTTAGTCGACGGCGAATGGCGCACGACGGATGATTGGAAAACCGTCGGCGAAGGTTTCGAGCGCAACATGCTTCTCGAAGTTCGCTGACCGCGGCGAATTCGGACGCCCGAATTCCTCGCGCGAGCTGTGTACGCATACATTCTGACAACATCACATTCTTATTCATTGAATCCCGACGGACGCGCGCGCGTCCGTATCGTCCGCGCGACTCGAAGCGATTTGACTTCGACCTCGACTTCGGCGCCCAGACTGCCCGATCACGCCTCGGCCGCGCGGAATCGCGCCGCCGCCGAATTCGCGCGACGCGTCGCCATCTCGCGTCGCGCGCGCGCATCGCGCATGGCGCGCGCGCACGAATCCGAGTCCGCGACGACGTCCGCGCTGTCGCCGACGCGATACGCGCACGAGGAGCGCGTGTTGCGCACGCCGCACGACGTCGAGGCGTGGTGCGACTACCTCGACGCGATCGACGCTGGCGACGAAAATGACGACGACGACGACGCGTCGCGCGCGATCGATCGGTACATGATATACGAACGGGCGATAAAACATAACGCACACTCGTATAAACTGTGGTACCGGTACCTCACCGAGCGCGCGCGACGCGATCGAGGCGCGCGATTCGACGACGCCGCGCGAGCGAAGACGCGCGCGTGCTTCGAACGCGCGCTGACGACGATGCATAAAATGCCGAAGATATGGATAATGGCGATAGAATACGTGAGAGATGCGTGCGCGTTGATCACGGAGACGCGAAGGATGTGCGATCGCGCGCTGCGGGCGTTACCGGTGACGCAACACGAACGCGTGTGGGCGCCGTACGTGGAGTTTATTCGGCGAGACTTTGTGCCGATTTCGACGGCGCGGCGAGTGTACAGGCGGTATTTGAAATTCGAGCCAGGGCACGCGGAGGAGTACGTCGAGTTTTTGCGTAAAAAGCAGTGCCACGGCGAGGTGGCGAGTAAACTCGCCGAACTCGTCAACGACGACAGCTTCCAGTCGCTCGCCGGTAAGTCCAAGCACGCGTTGTGGCTCGAACTGTGCGACGTCGTCACCAAGCACCCGCCCTCGTCGGACGCCGCGGACGAGACCGATCGCGCGCTGGACGTCGACGCCATCTTGCGCGGGGGAATTCGAACGTTCACAAACGAGGTCGGGAGGTTGTGGACGGCGCTCGCGGATTATTACATTCGCCGCGGCTTGTTTGAAGCCGCGCGAGACGTGTACGAGGAGGGCGTCGAGAGCGTCTCCACCGTGCGCGACTTTTCGTTGATTTTCGATGCGTACGCGCAGTTCGAAGAGTCCGTCATCAGCGCGAAGATGGAAGCCGGCGAGGACGAAGACGAAGACGAGGACGCGGACGACTCGTCGACCGCGGATCCGTCGATCGACTTCGTGTTGCGCGACGACTCGTACGCGAGCGTGGAGCTTTTGCTCGCGCGATTAGAACACCTCATGGAACGGCGACCGGAATTGCTTTCGTCGGTAATGCTGAGACAAAACCCGCACAACGTGCACGAGTGGGAAAAGCGCGTGGCGCTGTTCGAAGGACAACCGACGAAGCAAATCTTGACGTACACGGAAGCCGTCAAAACGGTGAAACCGGAGCTCGCCAACGGACGCGTCGCGTCGCTTTGGGTCGGATTCGCAAAGTTTTACGAAGACCACGGAGACTTGGAGAGCGCGCAGACGGTGTTTGAGAAAGCCGTGGGCGCCGAACGCGCGGCGACGTTCAAGACGGCGGACGATTTAGCGACGTGTTGGTGCGAGTACGCAGAGATGCATTTGCGGCACAAAAATTACGACGAGGCGTTGGCGGTGATGCGTCGAGCGACGACACCGCGCGAAGGCTTCCGCGAACCTCGCACGGCGGCGGAATACGACGCGCTGCCGGCGCGAGACAAGGTTTTCAAATCGCTCAAGATGTGGACGTTGCGCGTCGACTTGGAAGAATCCTTGGGCGACTTGAAGTCGACCAAGGCGGTGTACGACGAGATGATTTCGATCAAGGTGGCGACGCCGCAGATACTGTTGAACTACACGCACTTGCTCCAAGAGCACAATTTCTTTGAAGACGCGTTTCAAGTCTTCGAGCGCGGGGTGAATAGTTTCAAATTTCCGTACTCGCGCGAGCTGTGGGCGGCGTATCTCACGCTCTTCGTCGCGCGTTTCAAGGGCTCGAAACTCGAGCGCGCGCGAGACTTGTTCGAGCAAGTGATTGAAGAAGCCCCGGCGAAGGAGTCGAAGCAATTTTTCTTGGCGTACGCCAAACTCGAAGAGGATTACGGCCTCGCCAAGCGGGCGATGGACGTGTACGAGCGCGCCGTCAAGCGCGTGCCCGTGGACGAGAGACTGGGGGTGTACGACGTCTACGTGGCCAAGGCGATGGAATTTTTCGGCGTCGCCAAGGTGCGCGACGTCTTCACGCGCGCCGCGGACGACGGCGAGCTGTCGAACGACGTGAGCAAGACGTTGACGACTAGGTTTGCGGAGTTTGAGCGCAAACTCGGCGAGATCGATCGCGCGCGCGCCCTGTACGCGCACGCGTCGCAGTTTAGCGATCCCACAAAGGATGCAGATTTCTGGTCGACGTGGCACGAATTTGAGGTTCGTCACGGCAACGAAGAGACGTTTCGAGAAATGCTTCGAATCAAGCGCGCCGTCGCCGCGAGCTTTTCCGACACCCACTTCAACGTCTCCGTCGTCGCGCCGGACGTCGACGCGGCGAAGAAGACGACGGATTCGGGCGACGCCATGGCGCGACTCGACGCCGCCCACGAGGCGCACGCGGCGGAGAACGCGGCTTCCATGCCCGGCTTCGTGCGTTCGCACGTCGAAGGCGCGTCGCCGCCCGCCGCCGCCGTCGCTGTCGACGCGGGCGACGACGCCGAGATCGATTTGGACGCCCTGGAAGCGCCCGCCGGCGTGTTCTCCGGCGTCAAGCGCGACGCCGCCGCCGCCGGTCTCGGCGCCATGGCGCGATTTAAGAGCGCGCGCGCGAACGATGACGAGTAGAGCGACGACTCCAGCGCGGGGCAGCGCGCGCGAATAGTAAAAAAGAAAGAACAAATCTCATCAATGAAATCATCAAAATGGAAAACATTGATAGGAAGTCAAGAAACTTGTATCCAAATTCGACCGCTCACTCACTCACTCTTTCACTTTCAAAAAAATCAAGGCTGGATTTAGCCAGTTCGGCACTGGTCAAGCCCCCTTTGACAAACGTTATCCTTTTTAGGGTTTAGGGTTTAGGGTTTAGGGTTTAGGGTTTAGGGTTTAGGGTTTAGGGTTTAGGGTTTAGGGTTTAGGGTTTAGGGTTTAGGGTTTAGGGTTTAGGGTTTAGGGTTTAGGGTTTAGGGTTTAGGGTTTAGGGTTTAGGGTTTAGGGTTTAGGGTTTAGGGTTTAGGGTTTAGGGTTTAGG